ATCATCGTTGTCGAACAAAAGCGTCTCGTAGCCGTGTGAATGTTTCGGTAACTGATGCACTTTTTTCGATTTATATTTTTTTATATACAAAATATCTGCCATAAATATATATAGAAACATACGGAGATGTGGTTGTACACATATGTATGTTTTGCTAAAGTTGATAATTTTTCGCGCTCGAGTTGTAAGTACATGAGAGTTGGAAAAGAGAAATCCAACGCAGCAAACTTCCTCCTTCGGACCGAAAATGGCAAAGAAATTTCTTATTCATTTGAATGATTTATGAAACGAAGTGCAAGAAAGGAAAAATAAGCAACTAACAAGATTAAAGTACATACACACGATCATCACACACCGCACAGTGAACAGTGATCGGATGCTTCGGATGGAATGCATTTTGCTCTGATTACGTGTCTAATGAATCACCTTTGGAACATTAACTCCCCTCATGCAGCTTGCATATACATTTATGCAGCACACATAAATGTGAATACGCAAGCGACATGATGAATCGCGCCGATGCGCGACTCAGTTTCAAGCGTGAACAGAAATGAAGGAAGCGAAAGAGAGAAAAAAAAACAATCCAATCGCGTCGGTGTCCAAAACCAACAAATTTGGTGTGGTGTGTTACACTCAAAGCCACAGTCTATCATTTTACACAGCCTCACCGCTTTTGCGCAGATTAGATTTCAAATGTCTAGCCATACGGCAAACAAAAATATCCACAACGAATGCACACCGGGAGCGAGAAAAAAATACCAACAGCAGCAGCAGTCACAAAGCAATCAGCGAGAAAAAGTAAACACAATAGCAGCGGCGGTGAATTAAAATAGAAAAAAAATTGGTGTAAAAAAACCAGGAAAAAAAATCGCATATGTATGAAATCTAACCGTCATCTATATCAAATTTAGAAATTAAGAAAAGAGAGACAGACGTGTTGCAAACGAGAGAAATCAAGGAAAGTATTGCAGCCGACGCGCGCGCGTGTGTTTTTCTCTTTCTTCCTATCTCGCCATACACCAGAAACAGACTCTATAATTTCACTGCGATAAAAGAATAGAAATTAATAGAATGAAGAAAGAAAAATCAGATTTGGCATGCGGCATATTTCTTTTCCTTCATTGTATCGTGTGTGTATGCGCCTTTCCTTCGGCAACAACAGCAGCCAAATCGATTTAAGTAATCAACTTCCTCTACCGCACGTTCCAATACCATTTCACTCAATTTCATTTTCTAATGGCATTTTTCTTTCACTCCTCCAAGTGAATTTGCAGCACCGGCACATTTGGTATTAGAGAAGAAAAAAAACGCACACACAAAAAACGACAATAAAACCAAATGCACAATACGAAAAAGGTACAAAAAAACACTCATAGAAACAAAATTCTGTTCCGCGGTGTGTTTAAGAGCCGCGTGGAAAAAAACCATATGGATTCAAGTCTCTCTATGTGTTTTTTTTCGTATTGAGTGTGTGCAAAATTACATTTAATTTTTACTTTCCTTTTCAAGCATTCATTCATTTCGATGATATGCGAGATATCTAAGTTTTTTTTCTCTCTCTCTCTCTCTCTCTCTCTTAAACTGTGCTACCACGGAATAAAGGCGAGATGCCAACCGCGCCGTGACAGAGCACACCACACAGCACCAGTTATCGCCTCGCCTCGCACACCGAAGGCGCATATACTCGTATTGTTTGCTCGTAAACAGATGGTATATCCGGCATCTTATCTTTTTTATTAGCGTAAAAAAACGCAACAGCGGTAGTTGATCGCAAACTCTAGTTTTGTTCATGCCGAAAAAAAGGAAAGCAGAAAAAAACACAAGCATCCAGAGAAAGAAATCAACTAGATGATGATGATGATGAAAAAGGTAGAAAAAAAATCTGACAACATCACCTCTGTTTTTTACGCACATTGCAAAACACACAGAGTATAGGCATTTCGAAACGCCACCACCACCGTCAATAATAGTACATCAGTTGAAGGATCTCTCATTGTATCGAAAAGAAGAGAAAAAAAACACACATAACCATCGAAAGCGATCACAGTAGCACACAGCGTAAATGAGAGAATAGAAAATAACAACAACAATTCCAATGGAGAACGAGCTCTTAAGATTCCTTTTGCTCGCATTTTTCGTAGTTTTGTTTTCACTCTCTCTCTCTGCGTCGCCGCCTCCTCTTCGATTGAACGTGATACCTTGGTGCATGTACCACATACCCACTGAGCGATCGGCACACGTATCGAAACAATCGGAATAGAAGAGCAACAAAATGTGCAAGACGAGAAGTGGAAGGAAGAGAAAAAAACAACAACTCACAACACAACACGTACTCCAACACACACCAACTATCCACATCATATGCTATTCTCACTCTCGATTAAGGGAAATCAATCGATGGCACACGCTACTTTCCCTTCGAACCACAGTCATCACCCAACAATAGACACACAACAACTACCAATTACTGCATTTTTTTTCTTTATGACTATTTTTTCTCTCCTCATGTACAATCGTTTTGTGGGCTGTTGTTTTATTTTCATCGCTTTTACTTATGCGCCCGTCATAACTTTTTTTTTTCCATTCGTTCTGGAGGCATTTCCATTTTTTTATGATTTCACTTTTTTCTCGATTTAATCATTTTTTTGGCTCGAAGTTTTTTTTTTGCGTGCTATCAATGTGGCACACCAGAAAAAATGCCAGAAGTTAAGTGAAACCGAAAGAATGGAGAGCGAGAGAAATGACAACAGAAGTCGAAGTAAAAGTGAAAAATAGGAAACATGCGAAGTAGACACAACAAAAGGCTAGAAAACAACAGTAATTCTATTTAAATAGGATCGATCAAATTTGGTTGCTTCCTTATTTTTTTCCATGATTATGTGATACATGCCGGGGATTTTTTTTGCTGGCTCTCCGGTCCTCTCTTTTGTTACCTACGAATTTTAAAAGCGTTTTTATCGCATTGAAGAACAAAAAAATTAATAGGCAAAAAATAATCGATGAAAATTAAATGTTTGTTTTTATTAGATGCATATTTATTGACATTTATTCAGTATTTATCCGCTATACTTCTGTTAAGCAGTCAAAATCGGCCACAAAAAAACTTCTTCTTCCGACCAGACAAATGGACTGCCAAACAGACACCAGACAATTCGGTTAGTTTACAGTTAGCCGTACGTGTGTCGCAGAGCGGCACTTAAATGCGTCGAATCCGGAATTGATTTCTATGCACACAAATTGCGATAAATGACAAGATTTCTTCCACCAAATGAATGATTTTCCAAATGATTTACCAAAATGCATGAAAAATGTTGAATAAAAACTCGTCAAATTTGTTCAAAATAATTTTTTTTTTCACAAATAATTCGCATTATTAGCTCGAATTACAATTTTAATAAAATATCAATTTGATATGATTTGAATATTAGCAATACCATTCGGAAGTTTGCATATTTTTTGCATGAAAAATACCACTTCTGCGAATCAAATGTGTCGCTGTTGCACAACAAATAACGTAACTAATAATAACGTGGTTGAACGACCGACGGCCGGAATCGGAGTCAACACATTTTATGATTCATTAATTAGAAAAAATATGGACGTTCGTTCCACATTTCACGTCTGTGCGTTTGTCAAATTGTACAAGTGCTATTCATAATTAATACGGAGAATGGGCCAAAATGCCTATATGCCTCGTTTGTCGTCAATTGACACACAATCCGGATATTATTTTTATCGTTTTTAGCTATCATTGACCACAAATATGGTCATAATTTCGTCTTGTTCATGATAATGAATATTCGTGATATCAATGAAATGCCCAATTTTTCAGTTCATACACCCGACCCAATTACATGTTTTATCATTGCTTTTGTGACGCAGAACAATCAACCCAGAAGTGTGAATGATTCATATCGCGACTTTTTTTCCCTACATTTCTAAATATTAGTTGAATGAGTATGTATTCAAACAAATACAAAATCAAAAAACCCATACAGAGACAGACACATTCACATTTGCATAGACGTTGCGAGAAAAAAAAATCCACAGCGAAAAAATTGTTTTTCATTTGATCATTATTAGTTTCTTGTTTCTTGTGTGGATACAAACGGAATCGATGGTTTGACTTGATTCCAAAATTCCAAATTAAATTGCGTAATACACTTCGAATGATCGAAAGCGAAAATCGAGTGTTTGAACAATTCTTTTATCATTCATGGAATTCATCGAATTCTCTAACATCTCCATTTAAACTAAGTGTCAAATTTTATCTTGAAATATTTTGATTAATTAAATGCCTCAGATTCCAACGCAAAATTCCACATAATATTTGAAAAGCAATCAAATAAGTTTTTCAAAGCAACATTTGTCTTGAAAACTTCAATAACAGTAATAAATTGAGTCAACATTAACATTTCAAACTAATACATTCGTTAAAAAACGAATCGCAGTACTTTCCAATAAGAACATCAATGAAAGTCAGTTGTGAACATTTTACTGAATACATAATACGTTGAGAACAAGTGAAAAGTAGTTATAAAGAAGCTTTCGATTCAGAAATTTACATGAACTTGAACTCTGAGTCCGTTGTATACTTTTAGCGACTGATCAAACCAACGTCGTAGCCAATGCAATTGCTTTTGCAAAGAGCGATCGAATGAGTGTGGGCATTAAAGTGGGTATTCTTATTCCAGTCTGCATTGATTCGCCTATTGAGCGTTAGGGGGCGCTTGCGATGGCTTGTATTCACATCGAGAGCAGCTGCATTTTTACTGTTAATACAATAAAGAGTGTACACCACAGGCACACGACTAAGAACTCAATACACACTGAAAAAGTCACGCAGAATGAGCCAAACACACCCTCACATACAAGTAATATTACATACTACTGCATGGGATTGCGTCTATAAAAAACCGAAATCTTTTCAATTCAGGCGCTCAAAAAGCGAACGAAAGGGAAAATTTTATACGAATTGGTCTAACAAGCCGGCAATTCCGAAGAGATGCTTGATGCGCAGGTCCATTGCAAATCTCCGTTTCTTTGATGTTATCGCATCCAATTCGTATGGCAAGCTGTTATTATTCACATCAATACATTCAGTTTGTGCTCAGCTGTGAATCGAGTCGTTTGTGTTTTGATGCCACGATAATAAACAATCCGCCGTTTGTTCGCAAAACCACTTCCCACCTATCAACAAAATGTGTATTCTTCACTGTCAGAGCGGTTCACTGTCGCCAATAATTTGAAAAAGGAAATGGATAAATCAAAAACCAGTGTTAAATAGATTCGGAAATTTGGTGCCAGCATTCTTCAGTCTTCACACACCCAGTGTCATTTTATCATTCAATCAGTTTGGGCTCTCATCCTAAATCATTTGTGTATAACATTTCTGGAGTAGTGTTTTGTTTGTGTTTGTTGGTACAGCGTTTGATTTTCGTACACCGCATCAGTGGTGGGCTCCCAATAGATTTGCTCAAGCCGAAATTCAAAAAGGAACATTTTGCATTCAGTTGTATGTTTGTCGAATAAATTAAGTAAATGCGTTCAGCAGGAGGGTTCCCTCCACACGAAAAGCCATTGCCTGCGATTAGTGTGAAAAGGACACACGCATACATGCACATACATAAATAACGAAACCGTAAACACGAACATATGCAGCAAAGTGGGTTTAATTTTCGGTTTGTTTCATCAACGCACCATAGCTGAAATACCCCGAATGTTTCATTGCCTCTTTTTTTTCATCTAGCATGGCAATAAAATAAAAATTCGACACAGCGTACGAAATTACTAACAAAACAGCGGCAAAAGCAGAAACAACATCGACCAAGTCCAACAGTAGTAATAAACACTTCGAGTGGGATGAGTGCAAATAATTGTAAACAGTGAAGAGTAGAAGCGTTCATAAATGTATGCGTTCCGTAGAAAATTCCACGTCGAATATTTGCCAGACCAATGCCACGAACACGAAGCTAAAACATACCTTTGAAATTGAATTTTTGTGAAAAGGGCCGAGAGTAAATTAACGAAAGTAAATTCAGTTCAGAATTTCAGGTAACAGCGTAAAGAGTGTTTAATGTTTGTACGATGGAGGAAGAGTTGCGGTGTCCGTTGTGTAAAGGGATCTATGTAAATCCAGTGTTATTGCCGTGTTATCATGGTCTGTGCTTAACATGTGCCCTGGACACTCAGGTACAAATCGCCAACAACAACGACAGTTGTTCAACGAATAGTTCAACGATAGTAACAACCCAAGTGCCCGCGAGTCATCAAAATCCGTCTGCCGCACACATATCAACATTGCCTCGCAACAATTCGGGCGAGAGTACGGCAAATTCGAGTGCATCAGAGAGTATTTCTTCGGATCAAGAGGCGGATAAAGTCAGTATTTTGAGTGAGGCCGACTCAGGTGTCATTTGTACATCACGACCCAGTTCGTATGCTGGAACGCCAAATTTTCAAGCACTTTTGTTTCCGCCGTCTGGAGGTGCGGTCTACTCATTAGCATGTCCCATTTGTCGTAAAATTGTGTTTTTCGACGACGGCGGTGCACGCAATTTACCACCCTATCGAACTATGGAATCGATAATCAATCGATTTGGTGAACGCGAAACGTTGCGATGCCAAATGTGTGAAATAGAACCAAAAATCGCAACCGTCGTGTGTGAACAGTGCCAAATTCGGTATTGTGATAGTTGTCGCGAATTGTGTCATCCAGCTCGTGGCCCTTTGGCAAAACATAGTTTGGTTTCACCGCGCGATGGTAGTAAAACAGCGACTCGCGAATCCATTTGCATTGAACACTGCACCGAACCATTGGCTCTGTATTGTTTGACGTGTAAAATTGCCTTATGCCAACAATGCTTGAGTGACAACCGCCATCAATCACATGAAATACAATCAATCGCAATCATTTGTAAATCACAGAAGGTAAATGGAATTTAAAATTGACACTATCAAATTGTTATTTCTATTTAAGCGGGAAAATTTGTTCGATTTAATTGACAATATCAAATTGATGACTTCAACAGAACATCAGAACATAATTGATGTATATTCTCGAACTTTGATTCGACTTTTTCATTTAGTTTATATTTAACAGCAATTTTATTAACATGAATAGAGACAAAAAAAAAATTGAATTAAATCACAGTGAATTCTACAGCCGTATTAATTCTTATTATTGTGCCATTTTTGTTCAATGACCCTTGGTGTGCACATAAAAATGATTCGACATTTAATCCTATCATTTATCCCATAATCGAATTGAACCGACTGAACAAATGGTGAGTTGGAGCCAAATGAGGTGGCTCAATTCAATAATAGCTTCAACATAATCGAACGTAATTCAATTAAATTTTAAATAAATTTTTCAACACTCCATTGTATATCAGTTTGAATGAATGAATACGGGCATTGTTCATTTCAATTTATTTCCGAGATTTCACTCTCAGAGAATGCTTAGTTCGTTCAATCGAAATATGTATTCGAATTTTAAAGAAAATTTTCCAATGCTGAGATGATGTTTCAACTTGATTTTTGAGGTTTTCCTTTTCATTTGGTATTAAATGTAAGGAATGAACATAAAACGTTGGAAATGCCTTTTCCACAAATATCAAATATTGTCAATTATTTCAGCTGTTGAGAGTTTGAAGTGCCGACTCAAGTTCGGCATAAAGAATCTGTTGCGGGAAATGAACACATTTGCTCGGATTCACAGTTCTTGGAACTTGCCCATCCAATAACATTAAACAGATTTCACGCGTTGCATTTTCATACCTCTTTGAATAAGTCCTATTGAAATCAACTGAATGTTATTGAGTCTATTCAAATTTCATTGCGTTTTGCGTGAGTACCGAAACTGTTAATCAAAGTAATCCACTTTAATGGCAGATTTCTGCTCTGAATCGAGTGCGCAATATCGATGATAGCGTAAGCAAAGAGAACAATTTCCTTAAGTATACATAGAAGTGCTTGTGTCAGCAAAGAGATAAGCTCAAGGCTCCATAATGGGCAATAAACATTTATCAAAAGCCGAACGAAGAAAATTAACTTGAGATGGGTATAATCTGCATTATGGCAAATGTGGACAATTTCATCCGTTCAACTTATCAATGCAGCATTTTATTTTTATTTATTCTGTTGATCAACAGTTTTGTTTGAGATGCGTTGAATGTAAACTACGTTGAGCTCAATTTATGGGTCGTTTAAGAGGCTCTTATGTTGCGTGAGTTGACTGCAATCGATGTGATGATTGCCGGAGCTAATTTAAATGCAATTTTATTTGTGTACTTATTTTCTTCGGAGGATTTTAGCTAATTCTAAGGTTTTGCTCAAACACTTTACTAATTCTAAGACTTTATTTATTCAGACAGAACTCTCACATAATCTGCAACAATTATCGGAGAAAGCCAGATCAACAACGGAGTTCATTCAAAGACTCAAGGGAATGAGTGATAAAGTAACGGTAACTGTCTGACTTTCTTTTGATCTTTTCTTTTGCATAAGTCATATCTGACAAAGATCGACTTTTATAAACTTCTAAAAAGTAATTTCTGTTTGACATGGAGCATGCGAGTTTAAATTAGTGTTTTACCATAAAACGAATTAGTTTCATTAATTCTGATTTATGCAAAATCAGGAATCAAGCAGTGAATTCCATCAAATGGTGGCAATGCAATGCGAATCTTTAATTCAAATGATTCGACAGCGGCGTGATTACCTGTTAGAAACCATTGGACTGGACAAAGAGCATAAATTGCGAATACTAAAGGTGATATATGTTTCAAACACATAGCACACATGCACACTTGGTGTGGTTTGATATCATGTTGTACTAATTGAATTTCATTGTGATTAAACAGGAGCAGCAAATTAATTGCACGGCGAAACTGCAACAGACGACGGGTTTAATTCAATTTTGCATTGAAACGCTCAAAGAGACTGACAATGCTACATTTCTACAGGTAGAGCGCGTGCATCTGTTTCGAATTCCAGTTATTTTACGCGAATTCGTGGTTTATTTACAAATCATCGCCCCAATAAATTTCATAAATTAGTTAATTAATCTCGGTCATGTTGGTTTCGTGTTATAGGTGGGGACGGGGCTAATAAATCGTGTTGCTGACACCGATGTGAGATGGCATCAAGAGGTAACAAATGCAGCACCACGAGTATCACCCACCATTGATCTCACGCTAGACGATTTGTCGGTTAAACGTGCAATTGACAATCTCAATTTTATTAAAATCAAATGTAAGTTGCTCTTTTTTTTCTCTCTCGCATTTTTGCCTATTACCTTGGTCGGTGTTATGTTGAATTGAAAAACGCTTTAATTCATTTTGGTGCTGTATTTAAATTGCTTTAGCTGGCAGAGACTGCGATGAACGCTTACAAACAGGTAATTAACGATAAACTCTCAAACGCTTCATCTCCACCTTCGCCATGCAATCAAATTACATTCAATTTACATTCATTTTCATCTAAAATGTGAATTTATTAGCAACGAAGTTAATAAAACGATAATTTAAAACACGTTTTTTTTATCTCTTTCTGAATTTTTATTTCTTTAGTGCCATCAACTCCAACAATAATTCATGAAGAGTGCTCGACCGTGAATAATTCGGTTACTGTTGCCTGGAAAGCATTCAATCCCATGTCGAGCGATGGATACGTACTTGAATTGGACGATGGCAGTGGCGGAGAATTTCGGGTTGGTAGAAATTCTGCCGTTTTCTCTCTCTCTCTCTCCGTCAAATGATTGAATCAATCCAATTTTTTCCTCGTTTATCCTCGTTTTTTTTCATTTTTTAACACGAATAGGAAGTTTTTTGCGGGAAGGAAACCATTTGTACGGTAGATGGGTTGCATTTTAATTCCATGTACAATGCACGCGTCAAAGCGTTCAACAGTTTTTGCGAGGGAGAATATTCGAAAATGATTGGCCTACACACGGCCGAGGGTGAGTCATAAAAAGAGTTTTTCAATTGGAAATTTCATTTGTTGTGCATTTTTGAAATTAAAACGTTTGCATTTCTTTTTGTGTCAAACAGTCGCTTGGTTTGCATTCGATCCGGCGTTGAGTGATGCAAACAGCAGTGGTTTAGCAGTTTCGAATGATTTATCAACGGTTTCAGTCGATGGATGGGAACATCAAGTTGCATTGGGTTCGGTTGGATTCTCGAGGGGTGTCCATTACTGGGAATTTACAGTCAATAAATACACTGGTGATACAGATCCAGCATTTGGCATTGCCCGAATTGATGTGGCCAGAGATCGGATGCTTGGTGAGTATAGGAAAAATACACGAATCGATTCCTTTTTCGAAAGCGGAGTTCGAACTTTTGTGATATATTTTTTCTTCATTCTAATGTGAACCCAAAGAATAATCATCATATTTTCAACTAAATTTCAGGCAAGGACGACAAAGGTTTCGCCATGTACATCGATCATAAACGTTCTTGGTTCCAACACAATTCAGTGCACGAGCGTCGTGTGGAAGGTGGCATCTCAAACGGCAGCGCCGTAGGAATTTTATTGGACTTGGATCGACACACCTTGAGTTTTCTTGTCAACAGAATGCCTCAAGGTTCGATAGCTTTCCGTGATTTATACGGTGTATTTTATCCAGCTGTCAGTCTTAATCGCGGCACAACACTCACTTTGCATGCAGGATTACCGGCACCACATATCGACTGTTTGCACTGAACGATGAGACATTTATAACTACAAACAAGAAATGATTGATACGGTAGTAAATAAGATGATTTGAAGCAAATAAAAAGAAGCCGCTTTAATAATCTAAACAAAAAAGAGCAAATACAAACAGAACGAGTATAATATTTTAATCGTGTTTATAATTAGAACAGCACGAGTTTGTTTTGTAACAATAAACATTCCGACCGGTTGAATTTGGAACAAAATGTCAAAATTATGAATGAATTTATGGGGTTTTGTCTATTTTTATTGCACTAACACCCACAATATTCATGTATTTCATTCATTTCAATGAGAAATTACAGTGCAGTGATAAGAAGTTATAAATAGTATTAATAAAAATTTACGACCTTTTCATAAGACGATTATATTTTCGAAACTGAATAACTGCAACGATAGCTGGAAGTAAACTCTTTTATGGGTCAGCTTTTTTAAACGTTGGGTAATTTTCAAAGCGATGTGCTACCTTTGAAAGGTACTCCAAAAATTCATAACCAAAACGAAGTTTCGCCGGTTGCGAGCATGTTTTTTCTTGTTATCGTGTTGACTAACAGCTGTTACGAGTATGACGAGGCATTTTTTGCGTATATTTGCACGTCATGAATACCATTGACTCCATTCACTGTCCTACAGTTTGTCATCGTTAAACGATCATTAGAATATACGAACGACGTTGAACGAATTAAATCAATCAGCGCTTTCATTCTGGTGTGTCTCTTTCATAGAACGAAATTCGGTATTTTTAAATAGATAGATTTTTGTAATATCGAAAAAAACGTACAAAAAAATGCAAATGGGGGATCAAAAAATAATTTACACACTTTTTAATGGCAGCACCGAACAAATGTCCATAAAATCGAAGTTTTATAAATACGCACAAATAAGCGAAAAAGAAGTAAAATTCAGTGAAAACAAATCTATTCATAAATACGGAGAGAATGACCATTTATTTGGACACAATTAAGTCTTTCAGATGTCAAGAGCCGTCATATTTTGTTGTATTTCATGCATGTGCTGATTCAAATCGAATCATCGATGTTTAGTGTTTTTGATATTTGTCCATGGAATATTTTCGGGAGGATCAAAATGTATTAGCCGTCAATTTTTCGTTTTGAATTTCAGTTCACACTTAGAACGTTTCAATTTGTAACGATTTTAAATTCAATTCTCAATAAGTTGAAACGCTCACGAACATTTCTTTTTATTGACTAATCGTGAAAAAAACTTAAAAAATCAAATCGTTGTGAATGAAAAAGTGATAGTATATGCAAAATATGAATGGTTTCAATCAAGAAAGAAAACTCCTGAGCATATCTTATCAAAAGTCATAACAATATATTACCTAGGCATATATATTCTAGGCAAAACAAACCGTAGAAATTTACACACACTAAACAGAAAACACCATTTTTCGTTGAGGTAACTTATCTTTTTGGGGTATATATTTAAATGGAATTCCATGAATAGCAACATGTTAAAGACCTTCATAGAAAATAACGAAGAAATAATAAATAAAAAAATTATCAGAAAGGAATTCAATGGATTTTTTTGTATGTTTCAACTCGAGCGTTGCAGATCAGAGTGGTACAAAAACGAATCTGGTGTAAGTAAATGAGTTCTGATGTATGAGAACCTTCAAATATACGAAATATACGTCCCAAGGAAAATGAACCACATGATCGAAGGTTCTGAAATGAATGAATCTCTTTTTTTAGCGTGGCATTCGCCGCATTGATGATATACATCACATGTATGACGACATCTAAAAGCGGAAATTTTTCAACTAAGCACTAAACCATGTGTTCAGCATACATTGTTTTTTGCGAATGTAAATTTGCGCATGCGTTGACAATTTAAATCTAATTGCTGGATGATTTGCATTGCTAAACGCTCTTGAATGGAAATCGTAGAATGGATTTAATTGAGTTCAAAAAATCATTGAAGCATTTTGCCTAATGACATCGATAAATTGTTAGTGTTTGCGCACGCGAGCAACTGACAAGAATGAGATGCTTGACCGAAAATCAATTGCTAGCCGAACCGTACAACATAGACAGATATTCAAGTGTGTTGATGTAAATATTAGATTACAGCATAAAAACGGCTCCTCTACAAAACACGTGCAGTGTGTTGATAAGAGTGAGTGTGTCCGAATGCTCGGCACCAAAGAGAGAAGGAACAACGATACGAACCGAAGCGACGTCGACGACGACGACAACGACGACAGCACCGACAGAGCACACACTGGGTATCTACTATATCGTAAGAAAATAAGGCCGTAGACACTGGGCGTCCATTAGACAGTTCGAATAAATAAAACCAAACGGCACGCTCATGCGATCAGTTGAGAGCGGAAAGTAGCATCAGTTTGACAACGCACAGCCAAAGCAATCTCTCGCTCTCAATTTCCCAAACAATAAAACATTTTCTGGCAAAAAATTTCGCGTTGATTTGTACGTTGCACATTGTGTTTAGTGTGACATTGGACTTTTTCGTACTGAATCGCGCTTATACCGTCAAATTTGTGCATAAACAATAATATTGCTGTATTTAAATTTAGTTTTTGGCCAGTGCTCACGTTTTCATCGATGCGGCTCAGAATACTGTGACTTTTTTTTAATTCGATTTGTCTTTGTCGTTTCATATTTAACATCAATTTTTGATTTCGATTTTTTTTTGCTCCGGCACGTATTTCACCAGTATTTTCCTTTGTATAAACAGTTTCTTTTTTGAAGTTTGGCACATTAATAGCATCGTCGATGTGAGATCGACATTTAAATAATTTGATGCGAATAACAAATAGCTTCGTGAATGTTGAATGATAAACTGTGATCCAACTATTTTTATTACCGATTCGTTGTGCCGCATATCATCAGTTTGGTGATTCGATTGCAGTATATTTGATGCAGTTGTATAATATCGGTCGACAATTTTACCCACTTAACTGTAGTCTTTATTTGTAACCAATTTTTATACGTACAAAATGACGGTCGCCACCAAAGATATTCCATCCAGTGAACAGAGAAACAGTACCAGAAACCAATACCTTGCCACAATTATCGGTAAATTTGAAATTAATTGCAAAGAGTGTTCAATAGAAAGTCAATTTGAGTTGGGTTGAGCTGAGTTGTGTCAACACTCAGTTACGTCTGACGTCTAATAATGTATGCATACTATCTGGCAATTTCTATTCGTCTCAACTGTATAAACAACCGTGTTTGAACAACGAAACGTGTGAGAGAAGCCATTAGGAGTTTTGAGACTCATTAAAATTAAATTAAATATTCGAAGAGATGCATTTCTTTTCGCCCAAAATACTCAACAAGTTCAACGAATTTCTCCCTGAACTCTCTCGAAAACGAGTTTTATTTTAATCCTATTATCGTTCCTTTAGCTTGATGACATGCATAAAATTGTTTCTGTTTTCTTCTTCTTCTTCAAATTTGTTGTGTTTTCAGTGAATTTGACCACTATTTTATATGGATATGCATCTGGCTGGACCAGTTCAAGTCTACTCATTTTGGAATCGGATGAACTTACGCCGCTCGTTGATGGAGCAATGAATCAAGAGCAACGATCGTGGGTCACATCACTTTTTGCCATATCTGGTGTGGTTGGAACGATCTGTTATTATTTTATTGCCGATTTTTTAGGACGAAAATTACCTCTTTGGAGTCTGGCTATTCCCCATGGAGTAAGTATTATTTCACTTTGGTTTGGATTAGTTTTGCTAATTGAAGACAAAAACTATGAAGAAAATTAAGAACTATGGACCTCAAAAATAGCCCAAATTTAGTCTAACAACATTTCATTGAGAATGTTAAATTAAAATCTCTTCAATTTGCGTCTATTTCAGATAAGCTGGATTCTTATCGAGTACGGCATATATCCATGGCAATTGTATTTGTCGAGAATATTAGCTGGTTTGGTTTCTGGTGGTGGTTTTGCTCTGGTTCCAATTTTCATTTCTGAAATATCCGAGTCACAGTATGTATCCATTTCGGTTCTGAACGAAAAAATCTCTGCCACTTTGCGAATTCTCATGTAATGTATATCATAATCTTGAAATTCAAAAATATTAAAACATACATGATAAAGAAAATATTTTCGGTGGCGGAAAGGAAAAAGATAAAATTGGGATTTTTTTTAAATTGATATAAAAGAGAATTTTTCGAATTATTTCACTAGAAAAGATAAAAAAAAAACATATATCGACAAGAATTTCAATCAAAACTTATCTCGTTTATATTAGTATTCGGGGTCGGCTTGGTTCACTTTTGATGCTTTCGGCCAACTCTGGATTTTTATTTGGATTCTTGGCCGGTTACTACCTTTCATACTTTGAAATACCGTATTTTGGGATCATTCTATCGATAGTATTCTTAGTGTCTTTTACGTACTTCCCTGAAACGCCATCATTCCTATTGCGATGCAAAAAAGAAGAGGTAATGCTTCATTTCAATGCCAATATCAACTCATATCACATATTCGGCCGTCACATATTTGGTCTTTATATTTAAATCATCCCTTTCCCTTTTTACAGCTAGCGGAACGTTCTTTTAGATTCTATCGAAATGTCAAGAAAGGTGAACCAATGCCAGAAAATATTGGCAAAGAATGGGATGAACTTCAAAAAGGGCTAGAAGAAATGATGAAATCGAAGAGCAAAATCAAAAACAATTTCGAATATAAGGATTTGTGTAAGTAAAATTGGCTTGAATCAACCACAAATTTTATTTGTAATAATTTTATTTTAAGCGCGGTTTTCGAATGTAATGACCTAGTTTGTTTACAGAAACTTAATCCCATAACCCAAACACTTAGCACATATTCAGTGCTGAATTTTATTTGAATGTTGTTTATCGACGAAATGCTTAGCTAAGCTTAATGGAATATGTTTAAAATACGGCACGTACTTTTTTTTAACAATTGTTTTCAACACTCTTGCGTTGGCGAAACATATTCATTTGCTCAACCCGATTATTCTCACAAATATTCCTTACTCATATCTTATCACTCAGTTTAATTTTTTCCTGGTGAATCATCAGCAATTATGTTCAAATATTTTTTTTCGTTTGGAACTGAGAATTTATTTTTCTATATTAAGAATATTGCCGATAAAAGTGATTTATTTCTCGACGAATCTGGGGTCTTTTTTCTGAATTCCAACTTTAAATTTATTAATCAATTTTGATTGATCATAGTGAAAACAAATTATTTCAGTGATCAAGACACAATTTATAGCTCGCCAAATGAATTGTTGTGTTTTATTTTTCAGTTAAAACGCGTGCTGGTCGTAAGGCGCTCATAATTGGCATTGTTTTTGTCTTCATGCATGAGTTCTGTGGAGTTTTTACGATGCTCAAGTAAGTTCATGAAAACAAAATATATTGAATCAATCATTTTTAATTGTTTTTTGTCTCAATATAAAAATTTTAGCTATACGGCGAAGATTTTCCTTGAGAGCGGTTCAACCATTTCACCAAAACTCTCGGCAATAATCGTTGGACTGATTCAATTGATTGGAACCTATTTCGCGACATTCTTTGTTGATCGTCTGGGCCGTAAGATCCTCTTAGTTTTGTCTTCAATCGGAACGGCTATATGCCTGGCATGTCTTGGTGCATATTCATACGCACATTCAATCGGAATCGATGTCAAGCCATACTCATGGGTATCGATTGCCAGTTTCTCCGGCATGATGTTTTTGGCAGCCGTTGGACTGATACCTCTTATGTTTGTCGTCATTGCTGAAGTGATGCCTGAGAAGGTAAAGTATTCCACTTTTTTTTATTTGTATAAAAAATGAGTAGTTGACCATTTTCTCCACTTTCCAATAGGTTCGAAGTATTGGATGTACAATTTGTTTCTGTCTGTCCTGGGTGCTGGCATTTTTGATGGTGAAATTCTTTGAATCAGTTATCGATCAAATTGGCTTGTTCGGGTGTATGTTTTTGTTCTCCATTTGTACCGTGTTTGGGGCCATCTTCATCATTATATTCATTCCAGAGACTAAAGGAAAAACTTATGCGGAAATTGCTGCCATTTTAGATCGTTAAAATTATTCAATGTTGTTTCATAAACACATTTTGAAAAAAAAATCCTTTTAAGATGCATGTTGATAGATATGATATTGAGATTTATGAATTTTTATATAAGAACTTACTCATGTCTTGTACTTACGTCGTTGATACTTATTTTTATCTAGATTTTTATACAGAAAAACTTATTGTTGAAAATAAATGGTAAAAAAAAGAATGATGTTGTTTTAGATTTTTCGTGACCAAAGTTGGATTCAAGGAAACAAACTCAAGGCTAGAAAAAGAATTTTCTGCTCTAAAAATCTCATCAAACTTTATCAAAATTGTTTTTACTTCCTTTCACAGCCGTAAATTTTCATTTATTTCTACTTGAATTCGGTGTTTGATCTTCTTCAATCAATGATTATGTAGTTTGTTCAATTTCATTTATTTTATTTTATTTTATTTATTTCCCTAATCAAAAGGAACCTATACGATATAAATTCAGTTCCAGCCGACCATCATTGGACCATTTTCCAAAAGAAAGAAATTGAAAAGAAAATCGTCTAGTGAGTGGAAGTAGCAAAAGAATCTTCGTACCACTTTCTTCTAACAAAAGATTTTGTTTTTTTTTCGTCCATTTCAAAAGGATTTCTTTATTTATTTATTTTATCATCTTCTCACAATTATTCTATAAATTAATTTTAATATCAATTTATGATTACATAAAAAAGAAATGGAATAGAATATGAAAAACAAACAATAAATTACATGACAGCATTTGGAAATTTAGCGTAATTTGCCAATGTTTTTGTTTGAGTACACACACGGTGAGAATGCGAATTAATTTCAGGTTATTTTTTTCTTCTCCTTTAAAATTGTAACATGTTTATTCGGTATACAGACACTTTCGATTTTAAACAGGACAAATACTCCATATTTTGTGTGTGTGTGTTTGGGAAACTTTACTCGTGTTCATTTTGATGGTGGTTTTTATGGTGTGTTTATTTAGAATTCTCGTGTATTTTACATTTATGACAGTTTTTTCTGTTAAATACAATATGTATATTGCTCTAGATGACACAATAGTCGATTGTGTACTTCAAAACAAATACTCTCTCAACGAAAAGAATAAATGTCAAATTACTAGAATGCATGTTGATTTTTATGCCGCTGTGCTGAATGATGATGGTCTTGATCTTATTTTCTTCTTCTTCTTTCTCTTCTTTTTTTTTTAGCTAATTTTCATATTTTCTGTTGTTTCTTTTTTATTCGGTTGTGCTGTTTATGAGGTATCCATATCACTTGATTTTTGCGTAAATATCAACTTTTTTATGAAACCAACTATAGTAATCGGCTACGGCGATTTGTGTTTGATTAAGTGCTTTGCCTAGATTTTCGGGTGAAAGTCGTCCGCTGTACATTAGAGTTTCATTTTTTTAATCAACAAATATGAAAAAGAGAAAAAAATACGAATGTTATCAGTGAAACGGTCCAAAGGAAAAGGGAAAAATATATATTCATTATGCAATAATTCTGAATCGAGTATAGGTACTCACACAAAGACTTTTGTTTGAAGAAACTCCCCGCTGTTTTTGTAAACGGTTGCGCTGGTGCTAGAAATAACGTTCCACGTTGAAATCGATGCGTCGGAAATTTTCTGTGGCAAGCCAGGTGCGTATTGTTCGATCTGTTGGGGCAAATGCAAAACGATTAATTTATAACGTTGAATAGTTACTACGCTTGAGAAAATGGCATCATATTGAGTAATATGATAGAGCGAGCTATCGCAATTGACAAATTTAACAATTGTTCAAAGAAAATTCGATGAATCGATGACCTCGAAAATGTGCTGACAATCGCATAGCGATTGACAACACATTGTCGAAATGCCATCGAATCGGCAAATTTGCCTACGTTCAATTTCAATGACATGTAAAAAAAAAACACTTACGAAATTGACAACTACTGGAGTTTTCGCTGCGACGTACTCTTTTGTGACAACCCATCCATTTTTAGCAGAGGTCAATCCAACGATACCCAAGTCTTTCAAGAATAAACCGTATGGTTTCAAAGTGACATAGGTAATGTTTGCGTAAATGGGTACATTTACTTCAGCCCATTGGTAGCCACGTGCGCTGGTCGACAACGACTTCGTCCAGGCAACTTCTACGTATGGCAATGCACCGGTGTCTTTCAAGAATTTGCCAGCAGCCGATTTCTCAAACACACCATCGTTACGTTGTGTGTCATAAGCTAAAAGTCCACCAATTGCTGCGAACACCAACAAACTACCAAAGAAGTATGGGCAACATGATCCATTTGATGTGGATTTTCCCTTCTTTTGTGTTTTTTCCTGCGATGGCTGTTGAACAATAACGAGGTTATTAGTTTATTTTACAATTGCGTGACACAAAACATTCATAAAAACACAACAAATTTCACAACAGTGACGTAAAATTGTGTGAATAATTGAAAATGAAAAAAAAATCATTCAAAGAAAATTACTCACTTTCTTAGCAACTTTGGCTTGTTTCTGTTGTTTTTTGTTATTCGCTCCAGCCATGATTTGTAGAGTTTAGTTTTAAATCTGTAAAAAAAATTCCAAAAATAAGAATTTAATGGTGTGTATCAACTGAAACTTGTGAACTGAACTGAACCAAACGAGGTTCTAAATGATGTCTATTTAAATCGTTCAACGTTGATGAACTTCCATAACTAGACAAAAATAGATAATTTGGAATGTCAAAAGTGATTGGACACAGAGATGATGATGATGACGACGACGACGACAAAGACGACGACCCAAAGAATATGCAATGGTGTTTAGAATGTTCGAAAATCCATTAAGTGATCAAACAGGTATCCGAGATTCACCAAACCCATTTAGTCATGTCATCACACACACACACGCAGACAATAGCTTGGTTGCACATTTAAAACAGACGCATTTGTTTAATTGTCTCGTCACTTACGAAACGAGTATTTTATATTCGATTTCATTTCAGGTCCATCTAAATCAATACCTCGTTTGCGAAATGTTTGTTGGCGGTTGACACTGTCAACTAAGTGTGAGAGAAACAAAAACTGATTGATTTGCGTGTAACTTTGTATGTTTTCTGTTCAAATTTAATTGCGTATAAATCGATTTGAAACCAACAACTTTGAAAAAATAAAAACGCTAAAATTGACTTTTCCCGGACCTGTGTCAGCCCAATGTGAAAACTGTCAATATCTAAATAATTGCGTTGCAATTGCGAAGCAGTCGAGATGAACCAATATCATTAATAACATGATAAATATATTTCGTTTTTCTTTCATTCTCGCCTTCTTAATGCGATGTGCGTCTGTACGGAAAACGGAGATAGAATGCGATGTAAAACATCATGGCGACGGTGGCGCGGTGTGTGCGCGAAAGAGACTAATAGATACAACAATATAAAAATCAATAGAAAAAATGAAAACCAACCAAATAGAGAACGATGTTGACGACGACGACACAAACGGTTCGATTTGTTATAAATTTCCCTAACTCTTTGGATTTCTATTTCAACTTTCGATTAGCACATTTCTTTGGCACTGACACTTTCACAATTGCCGTGTGATCAGACGTGAAAACAACGATGAAAAATCACAGTTTAGATGCTCTCTGTTTTTCTTCAATTGAGAAATTCACACACAGTGAGAGTGTGAAGCGTAAATCACAAATTGGAAACCCGTTGAAAATCCTTTCGGTGTGTAAACGTGTACACGAATTTTATTTTGGAAACTGGTCAGAATTTCTGGTGACAACACAACAGTTTTTCTTTTCTTTTTCGTTCACTCGTTCTTCAGCTAGAGAGTTACCTTCTTCTCTATACAGTTGTACAGCAAGCAAACAGCCAGACATGAAATGCTGAAGCAGAGAACCGCACAAATGCTCTTTGTACGAGTAACGCACACATTGACGATTCCAAAATCTAACAAATACCATTGCACAAGCAACAAAAAAAAAACTAACCGACAATACCGACTAATACCACGGACATGTGTGTGTGAGATATCTTCAAAGATTTACAACGTATACTCGTCAATTGAAGCGCACACACATACGCAACGTAAACGCATCGGCATCGTGTGCTTGCCTGGTGTCAAGCGGCTAAATTATCGCATACATAATTTCAACTGAATTGATATTCCCTTTTCTTTTTTTTCTACTGGTTTTGGTTTTTTATGATTTCATTCGTGAATCCACGAGTACAATTGCGATTGGGAAGAGAAACGCCACCAAAGAAAATAACTGGATTGGATTAATCTAATTCCAGCGTTGATAACCGAATCGATGTATTTGATCTTTGATATTGAAAAAAAAAGTTCGAAAATTCGTGAAGCAAATTAGAATGAAAAAAAAACACACGCTTCGCCACGATTTGAACTTTGCAATGATAATAAATTGGGTGTCGAGTTGATGATTCGAACTTCTTCACCAAATGACTTTTTTCACTATGATTTTTTAGTTGGAAAATTTCACCAGAGATAACTTTCTCACTTACCGCCCGAGAGATGTAAAACAGAATTCTTTTTTTCTTTTTTTTCTTTCTCTTTTCCGTAACGTTATGGCACCAACGTTGCTTTCCAACTACCTATCGGTTACTGATTGCCAATGCTAAAACTTCAACGTATGTCGACGTGTTAAAAACTCACCGCTTTTTCATACATGACTGTTTTTTTTCTCGCTCTGTCTCTCTCTCTCTCTCTCTCTCTCTCTCTCTCACTCACTCATACGATGCCGCACATTCGGCGCGGTGCGTATGTATGCGAGCAGACATTCTACGTATGTGAAACATGTTTTATGTCAGTGGGCATTCGATGTGTGCGTGCGTGAAATGGAAAAATTCAAATTGTTTCTGTTAGCGTTTTGTGGGCAAAACTTGTTTCTAAGTGCACACAAACGAACATGCAGTTCGTTTATTTGATCTATTCTATCGATATGGAAACAATAGCAATAAAAATACGCATTCAAATGCATCGGCTGTGGGAACAATTGTTTTAATTGATGACATCGATACAAATCAACTCACACATAGTATTTGAATGACAATTAACCAACATGTAGAAAGAGACAAACTGACGTTTGTGCGGTGTCGTTACTTGTTGGTTTTCCAGTGCCAAACGGCCCCTAGCAAATGGAATAATCGTTCACATTGGTACGAAATACAGTATAAGAGCTCAATGCACTTTGAATTCAAACTGAAGGGTTTCTGTTCTCCAACTGATTTTAACCGAAAAAAATGACCGACGCGATGGTTTTTTAACGAATTTTTATCCGCGTGATGAGGGAAAAGCGACCAAAAAAAGAACTTGAATCTTTTTATAGAATGAAAAATTGTGTGAGGGAAAATAACAAGAAGCAAAAGAATTTCTAGGACAAGTTTATATTCTAAACGAGATTCTATTTTCGTTCCGATTTGATTGAAATTCTTTATTTTTCTGCAGGCAAATCGATAGAATGCAATAATTATATAAATATCCGATTGTATTACTCAGCAATGATAACAATTTATATTATTCAACAGAAAATAGTTTATATTTATGGTCGCTGAATGGCATTCGCATCGCATAAATATAGCAACAATAAATGAAACGAACAGTCATGACACCGAATGAAAATGAAAACAGTGAATCAATCGAAAACATAGATTGAAATTGTTTTTGAAAATTGTTAACTGATTCCATGGAAATCAATCAAGTCGCATTTCAAAATGCCATGTTTGTTTCTGTCTATCTATTGTGCATGGCTGTTTTTATCATGTGTGCAATATGCCTCTGTGTGTTTTCTTCCATTCTTTGTCCGCGTTCATGAACACGGTTTGCGTCTTTGTTCCGTGTATTCGCACATGTTTTGACAAGGTAGAGGAAACGGTACAAGGCAAAAATAAACGAAAGATCGACTGTACTTGACGTTGCTGCTGCGTTTATTTCAAAGACTGAACACACACGAAAATTTTATGAACGTACATAACTGACCGAAAAGAAAAGACACACAAACTGTGGCATAGAGAGATATAGTGTGTGAATGAGTGAGTAATGCAAAGGAAAAATCACCCCAAAAACATATTGCGACTGTTGATTGCCTAGGTGTATGCGAATCTATATGTGAATGTGTAATGTAAATCACTGATTTCTGCTACATATAGCCAGCGGGGAAATGCATTTTGAGAACAAGACGCAACCAAACGTAACATTTTGGCATTGTACATGATTTGAATAGAAAAAAAGCGTAGTCATGGATTCAAATGGTCTTCTCTTGTGCCGTTGTACATAGATATAAGACGCACATGCATGAATATATATGTATATCCTGCCAACATAAGCGAAACACATTCACACGAAACCGTCTCGTCCACACGCTGAATCGCATCGGATCGGATTGAATAAATGTGCTATGGCGGTTGATGCGCATGTACCCAAATAGAGTGCTACGTATGGCTATAATTTGCAGCGTTGGCATATGGTCTGTGTGATTTTTGCTTGGCATTCGATCCAACTGTTAGTGGTAGGTTGATGGAAAATATGCACCACCCTGCAAAATAACGCATTCAAACAAACAAACAAACGAACGAGAAGAGAGAAAAAAATCGCGTCGTGTATGTCGATACGGCATGACGAATATAACGACTTGTGTGCACAACATCGATTGTGTCGATGTGAATGTAGCCTGAATTCTGGTGTGTTGTGTCTAAATAAAACACGTATACGTGAACATGCAATAGCAAAAACACACCATCATCGTGCCATACCATTAGTCTTTTCCAAAGTGATGCGACTGCTGCCAGTGTGAAAAATAAAATATCCGTAGTTTTCGTACAGTCGTTTCCATTGTTTGTTGGCTGGCATTTTAGTTGTTGCAAAAAGTCTGAAGAAAAACCACATCAGGCGAACGAGAAAAAATATAACCCAAACACGGATCCGTTGAATCGAAAAACCGAAAAAATAAGCCCAATCACCACCACCAAATAAGGAAACGAAGCGAAAAGCAAAGAATAAACACCGAGAGAGAAGAAAAATTTATACGATTTGGAACCTCAATTTCAATCCATTAAATATCATCAACGAGTGAAAAGGGTTTGTTGCACGCAGTCAATATTGAATAGAAGAAAATATTTCTTCGTACGAATTCGGTTTTCGCAAATGACAAGCTTCAATTGTTCTGAATGAAATATATCGTGATAAAATTTACATAGAAGAATCGATTCGAAAATAAGTTGATAGTGCGTGTTGACACGGAATCGATAAAATTCGAACTACCGCAAATCAAAGAGCAACAAAAAAAAACACTGAACTAAACGGAACGAAACGAAACGAAAAGTAGAAAAAAATCACACATGCAAAAACATTACAGAGGAAATTGACGGAAAAAAAATTGTGCAAAGCAAGCCAAACGACAACAGTGGAAATTTCGCCATTTGTAAAAGTGCCGCATTCTAGTTTTTGTTTGACCATCAACCTGAGAACATAGTGTGTAGCGAAAAGAAAGCAAACCGTTTTGAGAGACTCAAGAGCACAAAGAATTAAAGCAAAAGGAAAAATTTAAGCCATCCAATACAAGCCACCCACGATCGACGTAATTTATCATTACGGGGATTAGGCCGGTTGAGAAAATCGGAGAGGTGGTTTTACGAAAAACGCGAAGTAACAGCATTAGCATCATCAACGATATACACCGCTCCAACGAGCCGAGCCAGCGCCAAACTTACAACTCAAATCCTGATTGGGATAAAGGGGAATATTGAAAAGAACATATTTTACACAAAATCGAACAAAAAGGAAAATACACAAACAACAAAAGCCTCACCGTTTCTTCTCACAAGGCCTATATCCCATCGACATTTCTTGTTTGCACACACACACACACACACACATTAGAGGATAAACAGGAGATAATCATTGTTGATTGGGCATACAATCAATGACTATGAATATTGCATAAATCAAAATCAGAACGCGCGTTCTAATGTGGAAAGCTTCAGCTGTGATTTAAATCATTTCTACATTTTTATAAGAAATCAAATAACAAAAAATAAGGAGAACAAGAATAAAACCAACATATTATAAAACATAGATTTAAACAGAGGAATCGAAGAACCGTATGACTATCACGAGAATTTAAGTTTGCCGTTTTCTTTGGTGGACATTTTTTTCTCATCGCTGTCCAAGTGTGTATGTGTCAGTGTGTTTTGTTTGTTTTTTTTTCTGAGACATACAACAAATTGAGCCCATACAATCCGAATCACATTCAATAAGAAGGAAGTGAGACGCAAACACAGAGACCGAACTAGTGAAACCATATTGAAGTTGCCGAAGTCAGAGTAACAGCAATTAAAAGCACTTAATTAACTGTTATCATCTGATTTGTAAGTATATCATTTATTCAGAACGAGAGCATGTGTGCCATACATGGACACCTCTCACTCGCTCATTCTCACACTCAATCCATCCATTTCTCTCACTCTCACTCTCTCATTCAACTCATTTGAAAAATTCATCAACCACTTAATCTGTGTGTAGCTATTTTCAGTGCAGCGTGGCACTGGCATGAAAAAAATACGCTTTTCCCTATCAAAGTAATTACATTTTCATATCATTTATTAGACACTTGAGCATTAGTCATATTTTCAACAGCTCTTTCCAGCTGTACTTTTCCAACACTAACACACACATTTCTAACAACTTCAGATCAACAAAAATAAATATTGAAATGAAAACGAGCGTTTTATCGATTTTTATGTGCCAACTTCTCTTATACCATGATTTATGGGGTTAAAATCATTTCCACTACATTATGTTCTTCTCTTGTAAAAGTTTTTGCACTGTCTTTCATCACACATTTATGCAAACAATCAAAACAGAAATGACTAATCATTTTTCCTTTACTGATACTCTCTCTCTCTCTGTGTGTGTGTGTTTCTCTTTGAGCAATTTTGAATAATAAAAAAACATTTCCATTGTTCGTTTCATACCCTCGAATAATTTTCCTCCAAAAACTTTGTTTGCATTCCTTGTAATGGAAAACTTTTGCCTATTAGACATTGTTTAATGGCACATTTTTAGTCGTTGTGAATGTCGCACCTAACGCATTTCAAAGTACATACACACAAATTTTCGTCGTCATTTCATTTTTTGACAACACAAAACAATAGCGTTGTCGACGGCGACGAAAATGACGATGTACAGCGTGCTTTTACGTATTTCGATGAAAATGGAGAAGGATCAATGCACAATGTGAAACAAAACGCATAAATTACGTTATTTCAAACACTAAATTATGCAGGAAAACAACCCATAAAAAAAGGAATCTAAATAGAAACATTTTCAATGCGATGGAAATCATGTAGAACGAAGAAAGTTAAAAAAAAAGAAGAAAACATAGAGAACTTGGTGTATTTGTTTCGATGAAGGTCGAGCGCTGTTCGCAGCCACACTTGTCCAAAAAAACACACACACACACATTCCAAGTTGAATGCAGAATTTTTTTCGCTTTACGTCAGCCGAATTTACAGACGACACATCTCGAATATAAATTTTCGGGATGGATAAGAGACATCATTTTTAGTTTAAAGTTGTCCTCTCTCGCTCTCTGCATGTATATAAAATGCAATGAAAAGTTGACAAAAATGAAATACATTGCCATTGAAAAAGCAATTTTTTCTGCTGTAAAAGGATGCTATTTTATTCAAGAATTTATCTCATGCTTGAGATTCAAGAGATAGTTTCCATCTTATTTGCACTAATTAGTCTTGTTGATGTGCTCTCTCTCTCTTGCTGAATGAGAGTGTACACATGTATTTGTGCTTTTCCATTTGAATTATAAACGCAACCAGCATAAATCCGTAAACATACTGCTAAAGTCTGAAGGAGCGCATAATATAGCACACTCAACAATTCAATGCAAACGAATGTGTGCTGTGGTTTCTATAGTTGTAAGTTTGAAGGTGTCGAAACATGCACGCCGACCATGATTCCACGCCTGTTCGCATTCGATTCCGATAGTTTAACTTTCTCGCTTTTCGACCTCATCGATATATTATAGAACCACACATATTATTACAGTATACGTACTCCGAAGCGAGGCAATTTTATTTTTTCTCTGCTCTTTATGCTTCGCTCACCGAATTCGGAAACACAATGGAATTGTGAATGTGAAATTGGTTGGAATCGAATCAAGCGTCAATTGTTAGAATGCTTATTTTCATTGATTAGCTTATTAATCAGCTAAGAATAGACAATAGATTTTTCCATTTAATCCATATTCCACCCCCGCAGAAAGTTAACACTGCCAACTAATTGCACCTTTTGTTTTCTCTCTTTCTCTGCCCTTTTTTTCTTTACAGAAATGGAAATCATACCGGAAGGTGTACACTTTCGATTGGTGCAAGACGATGAGCTTCCAGCTATTTTGGAGCATTTAAAGCGATATTTGCCGGAGGCAATAAAGGTTTGCGCTTTCAATTTTTCAGCTCAAAACATCTAATTAGGCCGAATTTGTACATTTATTGAAACGAAATACACGTTCACTGCAGATACCATGTGAAGTGAATGTTGAGCAGTGTGCTTTAGTGAAATATTGGGGATTTTAGTTTTATTTTCCTCTCTCACTGTGTGTATTAAAATTAGATTTTGAGCTTGCGAATTATTTCGGGTTTCAATCTGGTATTCGCATGGAAATCGATGGAAAATACACATCCATCGACAGTACTACGGTACCTGTTGTTGGAAATGTGCTTTTCCAAAACACGCGCTCAGGCGAGCAGTTTGGATGTGTGCATAGGCATACTGTGTATGCGAATGAGTGTGTACACGAATCAATCTTGTGTGAAATTGTAGGCAGCAAAGAGAGAGCGTATTGTGCTGGGGATTTGCGTGCAATTATACATGGCGCACAATGAGTGACGAGTGTGCATCAACTGTTTGCCTGTTCCGTTTTTTTGTTTTTTTTTCATTTCATTATTGTTTTGAAAACATCAACTTATACACTTTCGCTTGACAGATGTTAAAGGTTGTGCCTGTTAATTTAATTGGACACCGGAAAATTGCGGTGGAAAGTTTAATCGGCACGCTTGAGCACATTTCAAAATAACAAAAAAACGGGCAAAATATAAATATATTTTGTTTAAAGTGCATGCATTGTGTACTTGCGCGTCAATTTCAATTTGACCTTGTCTTTAACCAGCCAGACTCAAGGTCTGCAGCAGTCCGTTTTTAATTTCGATTCATTTTCGGTATTTGCATTTTCATGAGAATTGTGTGTTTTTTTCTATCGTACATACAATTTCCAGACTCAAACACTCATTGTGTTTTTCCATTTGGTCTGCAGACACTACGTATATATTTGCATGTGTTTGTGTCATGCATGCAAAACTCAAATCGAACAATTCTATTTAACTGCATTGTTATTGCTTGCTAATGAAATGGCTAGCAAAAAAAAGCACACGACATAGAGAGAGGGAAAAAACAAAAAATCCGCGCCAAGACGTCGCTATTTTTTGCCAGCAAGTCTTTTTTTACTGCTGCTGCTGCTCGTTTTGTTTTCATGAATCTATTAATTTTTCCGCGGTCTAATTGGGTCATTGCATGACACTGCTACAACGGGGAAACAGGCGACGTTTCCAGTTTGGCCAACGAACATTTCAACGCGAACTAAGCAAACAAATTACTTATAATACTTGAGTATGCGGCGTCGCTATTAAAACAATAAATAACACTTTCCACTTTGGAAATTGCATGCACGCGCCTTTTTCCCTTTTTTTCAACGAATCGACGACGTCGACGACAGCAGCAGCAGTAGCGACGGCGACTGATGTGTGTTTTTGGCAATAGAACAATCGAACAACACATTTGTCGGCAACAGCATGACGTGTGTTGCGGTTGCCTCATTGCCGAATTTCAATTCAATTTTTTCAAGTGCACACAACACTGTGTGTGAAGAGTATTTATTTATGTTTTGCATAGGCGCGCGGATTCAATTCACAGACACACACACACGCTAAATTATCGCTATAATTTAAATGCACAAGGCAAATCGGATTGTCTTCATTAATTCTACATAATTTATACTGAAGAAACACTCAATTATATTTGAATGAAGTGCTGGTCGATCGATCTAAATGGCAATTGTCGGTCGAACGGTTGGCGGGTCAAATTACATATTCAATGATATGCTACCCCGAAATTATTCCGTCAAATTGATTAGGCCGAGCCCATTTTATTTCAATAACGATTCTCCAGTGGTTAATCTCATGATTCCATTTTATTTCCGTTCCAAATAGTTTCATCAAACAATTAAAACGTACCTGACCGATCCTGTATGGAAATTTTGGTTTTATGTCTCGAAAAAGTGGCCCGATGAACCGATTTGTTTACATTTTCCCGGCTGTACTTTGACGGTAAGATACAATTACGAATTGAAATAGATCGCAGATAGATGACTGTGGCAAATAAAAAACATTGTCTCGTTTCGATACCATTTGGCAGCCAAAGGATAATATTTATGGCAGTTTCGGCATATTCTGTCCGAGCGACCGTTTGGAATGCGTTGACTTGATGGAAACGGAGACTATTCTTATTGATTGGACACTGGAAATGTACCTGAATTTTACGCACATTGGCATTATGAATCAACTTGATCAGTTTTATCAAAAGTACGGTGTGATGGAGCGTTTGTATGGCGATATTTATGTAGCACAAGCACCGTTCAAGCAAATTGAATTGGAAAGGTAAATAAATCGCAATTTTGGTAAATTTTCGCACAAAAGAGAAAAAAAACCATTCAATTACGACGTGGGCTAATTTAATTTTGGTTTATAATTTAGTTTGCCCGATGACGAGGTTGAGATGCGTCCACTGAACATTACCAACGTTCAAGCCATCCATGACCTGTACCCGGCCAGCGAAATTGAATGCGTTGAAGTGTTCGAAAAACTGATTGGCACATTACCAGGTTTTGGTGTGTTTGTGCACGACACCGACGAGCTCTGTGCATGGATGATGCATTCTTATTACGGCGCCATGTTTTCGATGCAAACAAAACCGCAATTTCGCCGTAAAGGGTGAGTTGAACTCAATTTTATTTTCTAAATGGTTGTTTTGAAAACTTCCGCCATTTTGTGTAACAAACATTATAACGTTTTCTCCTTCAATGAACAATATAATTTATTTTCTTCTTTGAAAAACACTTCGTTTCAATTTCGCAAAAAAAGCTATGGAATTCACTTGGCTCAAGCGCTCACAAACAAGGTGATTGAACGTGGCTATACGCCATTTGTAGTAATTCGTCCCGAAAATGACGCTTCGCGAAGTTTGTACACAAAATTAGGTTATAAGAAGGCATACGAAACGGTACGCGTAACATTGCAGCCGAATGTGAGCAACGGTGACACGACCACTGAGAAGCTAAACGGTCACTGTGCCAACGGTCACATCATAGACATCCAAAAAGACGAAGGCATCGAAGATATGCGTGCGGAAATTGTACAAAATATCAGTCCAAATCAAAATGAAGTGGCTAAAGATGAGGGCATCGACAATGGCGAAGAATAAACGACACCGAACGAATTTCAACCAAATGAGAGACAGAAAAAGAGAAGAAAACAACAATTTATGAATTGTGATTCCCACGTTTTAAATTCCCTCTAAATCTTTTTTCCCAAACACACAAAAAAAACAACCAATACATTTCTCTGCAAAATCAACAAAGCTAAAATGATGCAAACTAAACAACAACAAAAAATGCCTAAAAACAATGAAATTAATTTTAAAATAAACTATATATCAGAATGTGGCTGAATGAAACAAAGATGACGGCCCGAATTGCACATGCCGAATGTAGTGAAACAAAAATTGTTCAAGAACATGACCATGAAAAGGAGGAAAGACAAAGAGATTAGGCTTAATTTCAAATGAACACACACAGACACACACACACTTTTTTGTATGGCGATATTATAGTTATATTTTAGCGCGAAAAGTCTTCTACATTTACATAATTAAACATATACTGTATAAACCTTTTTTCTTAGGCGATTTGATTAGCTAGCGGATTGTGATCTATATTTCCATTTGATTTTGTTCTTCTGTTCGTTCTTCTCTGAAAAACATACAATTTTTATGAACAAAAATTCCAATTCTCTATCATTTAATTTTAACTATCCAAGTACGTACATATATAACCTAGAACAAACCAACACGTAATTGAGCATTCCTTTTTGACGAAAGTGCATAGATTTGCGATAATTTTTCTGTGCACCAGACTGAATGAATTGCATGATGAAATTTTTAAAGCAGAAAAACTCATAGCGCGCAAAAGAAAAAGACACGAGAGTATATTTGATTTGTCAAGCTCAAGGATTCCATACCGTAGACATGCAAATAAACATGGGCACTTTTCACACACACATTATTTTGACACCCCTATGCATTTTCCACTATCCCATTATCTTATTCTTATTATTAAAACAAAAAAAGGAAAAGCCTATATACTTTTATACGATTTTTAGTCTTCAAATGAGCGCAAAATCATTATATATGTTAACGAAAGAGGAGGAGAAAAAAAAATTATCGAGTAGAAGAAAACCTTGATTGCATAATCCCCTTCGCAAAATCAACTCAATGCCTGCTTAATGTATTCGGAGCTTGAATTTTTGCACGAATTGCCAAATGCGATTGTGATAAACATTAAGGATTAGCTTTTTCTTCCTCTTCAGTTTTATATTTTAAGAGCGCAGGCATTTATAAATTGAAAATTTTCATGTTATGGCCAGCAGCAGACACTTCTATAGGTATACATACCGATGCAGGTCCGCAATGTTGCACATTTGCTGACAATAAAAGCCACACCAAACACAACAACCAAATTAATGCCCAACAGCAATAGCATTCAACATGTGAAATACTTGAACCGATTCAATGCCAATAACGAATTTTCCAAGGCTTTTAAAATATTCATTTCGATTGCTTTCGTCGTTTTATTTTTCTGTTCTTCAGCATAAATTATTCAAATTCAATAGCAAACAAATATTTTGCTCCATTTTATATGTGATTTAGCGAAGGGAAAAAAACAATGATGAAAAAAAAAACTCGGTCTCCATTTTTCTCATTTATATTATTCTAATTATCCAATATATTTAACGGGGAATATTTACTAATTATAATATCATTTATATTATATACGACGAAGAGAAAAAAATTTGGTCCAAAACAAACAAAAAAAAACATTCGTAGATTCGTTTTCTTATATCTCGCACATACACAACAAAACCACATGAAGAAAATTTCCCAACTATTAAAATCGGAAAATGACACAGAGAAATGAAAATCCGTCGTTAAATTCTATATACAGCCACACATCCACACACTGAGATGAGAGAGAAAGACAGAGATTTGCGTAAACGATCCGTTTGCGGGTTTGCCAGTTTTGCTCACACAATTTATTAACATTTGAGACATGAAAATAAAGCAACACAATAACAACAAATGAAATTAACAAGTATTTTAGGATTTAATCCAAAAAAAATGATTACATGTGCTTTATCATTCAAAAGATCATATCTATTCTAATTTGAAGATGAAACCAATTAAGGTAAAAAAACCTAATTATCTCGTAGTAATAATCAAGCACCAGACCGTTAACATTGAAAACCAAATGAGCGCGAAATAAGAAACACACACACACACACACCGATTGCCTAAAGTAAACGCTTTGTGAGCAGCTCCAGTTAAAATCCGGAAGGAATATACTTTTTGTTGACCTTTTTTTTCTTTACAACTTTTTTACATTTTGATGCACACACTCAGAAAGAACAAAAAAAAACCTAGAAAGACACAGAGAAACTGGATCAAATTTAGCGATCGGTTGTAGTCCGTAAATTAAAGGGGAAGAAGAAAGAAAAAACAACCAAAACGAACGCAACTTACAAAGATTTTAAAAAAATGAAACCGAAGAATAAAAAAAAATATCTAGTTAGTCATTGAAATGAAAAATATATTAAGGCTATAGAGAACGAATGAGATACAAAAAAAAACAAAGTAATTATTGTAAAACAAAACAAATTTGTATTGAATAAAGAACAAAAAACAACAAAACATGCAGATGTATAAACAAAATAACTGTAATAAAAATGATGTGTGACGAGCTCAACAGGCACCGTTTTTGTTGTTGTTGTTGTGTAACTCAAAAAGCCAAGTAAACGAGCAAAAAAAATGGATGGTTATTCTATTGTACACAAAGCCACACACATTTTCATTTCATAAATAAACTATGAATCTTCTAATTGAACCAACCAAATAGTCGGATTTTCTCCTTCTTCTTGTGTTTGTTTATGGTTTTTGAATTGCCGCTAGAAGGAACGTTGAATGGGAAAACTGGAATGCAACCATGCTGCGCCACCATGCGTACATTCTTTCAAACAAATCAATTGAACTGTCGGCTGTCATACGTCGTGACACATTGTTTATTTTATTCACATTATTCATCGTAAGGTAATAAAGTGTTTCTGGTGTGTGTTTTTTATGTGTTTATTTTGATTGTTATTAGTTTTGAAAAAAGATAGATCATTTCCTTGGTTGAATATTGTTTCGACAGCATCGAATCGCAGCGGATTGGGTGAAAAGATGGCCGACAGTTCAGACGAAGAATTTTCAAAAGAATGGATTCCCTACGCAAAGCGACCAGAATGGAAAGATGTTGTACCGCTCGAACAAGACGACGGTGAAAATCCCGTCGTTGTTATCGCATACAGTGAAAGATGCAAGTATTTTAAGCAAGTTCCATCGAATTCAGCCAGTTTTCAATTTAAGTTTTATTTTATTTTCAGTTAAGGACGTTTACAACTACTTCCGTGCGATCATATCGACTGGTGAAAAGTCACTACGTGCATTGCATCTCACCGATGATGCATTGAAATTAAATGCTTCCAATTACACAGTCTGGCAATACAGGTAAATTGATTCAGTCCGGAAGACAAAGTGAACATAATCAAAAGTGAAATTCTGTGTGTTTTGAATGTACAGGCGTGACATTTTGCGTTCACTGGATACCAATTTGAATGAAGAGCTCGAATATACCGAAGAAATTATTTGCCGAAATCCAAAAAGTTACCAGGTTTGGCACCACAGAAGGGTCATTGTAGAATGGTTGAATGATGGCACAAAAGAACTCGAATTGACCGAACAAGTACTTGGACTAGACGCTAAGAACTACCACGCATGGCAACATCGTCAATGGGCCATCAAAACATACAAGTAGGTTAACTGACTGCGACGAGAATTGGATATTTCGCTATTCGCATAAATTATTTATCGCATGAATGGAAGATTGTTCAATTCAATGTTAAAAATTCAATAGAAATATGAAACGTGAAGCTGAAAATCATTCACAGATTCGCAATGTTGTAGTGAAAATTTTAACTGATACCAGTTTTTACAGAACACAATAATAAAAGTAAACCTTTCTTCCTCTCCCTTTCGCCAGTCTTTTCGATAACGAGCTGATTTTCGTTGATCGATTAATTGGAGCGGATTTGCGGAACAATTCTGCATGGAATCAGCGATACTTTGTGTTGAACCACACCGGATTCACACCAGAAGTAATTCAATACGAATTGAACTATGTCATGAATCGCATTCGCTTAGTGAAAAATAATGAAAGCACATGGAATTATCTACGTGGCCTTTTGCAACATGGTACCGGGAAATTGGATCAATACCCAGAGGTAAGCGAAATAAAATTGGCCTAAGTTCGCAAAATAGAGCAACATCATAATTCATAATTCAAACAATGTGCCTTATTTCAACGAAAGTGAAACGTGAACGTTCCACTAACACGGTTTCAAGTTAACAAGTCAAAAGGGTGCGAATATTCGATCCAATTTTTTGCGCATAAAAATTCAGCCCACTGAATAAATTTTCAACGAAGTTATTACGATTTACTTGTTCTTGCTTTTCTGTGATTGTTCAACAGGTTGTCGATTTCTGCGAGGAATTGTATGTGTCAGGCGTGCGATCTCCGTTTCTGTTGGCATTTCTAGTGGATTTGTACCAGGAGAAGCGTCTTGATTGGGACGAAAGCAATAACGAAGACGATCCAAAGCAATTGGAAGAAAAAGTAAACGAGCTGTGTAATCAACTGATATCAACGCATGACACCATCCGTGCCAAGTATTGGGAATACATTCTGAATAAATTCAAGATCAAGCTATCGCGCAGCGGAACAACGTATCAAGAATCCAACACCGATTCCAATCAATTTTAAAGATTGAACCCAGTCATATATTCTAACATGTAATCAGAAACACAATAGTTGAAAAGAAAATAAATCTCCGTTTTTATCACAATGAACAAATTGGCTACGTGTTCTTTCTCAGGCTCAATTTATACGATCGACATAGATAAAGTGTTATCAGAATCTCTGTCATTTTTATTCCATTTATTGCACAGCAATGTCATCGTTTTATATGTATGGGTGAGATTGAGAGTAGTGTATGTTTTTTTCGGATTTATATTTTTAAAAAGTCGAGAATGTTTTTCAATGATTTTGTTTTAAAAAGAAGAGAGAAAGTTTCTCTCGACTCAAAAATAGTTAAAGTAGAGTATGTATTTTGACTGTTCGTGGCTATGATAAAGGCAAGTATGTTTCATAAACCTTAATTTGCGTTAAACAAGAGTATGTTTTTTGTTAGTTTGGAATACCGATAAACAGGAGTATGTTTTTCTGACTTTGGTTCTTGTAAAAGGCGAGTATGTTTGTCCAAATTGGTGAATATTATTATTTTATTTGAATTTAAGTATTTGGCAAACATAATCAATAGAACTAACTCGTAACAATTGAATAAATGGACTAATTTTCTGCAAAACTTTGAAGGGTAACTGTTGTTTTTTATATCATATTTGAGAAGAACACGAAAAAAAACTTCCGATATGAATATATGACTTATTTGTATTTTTTTAGAAAAGTGGTTTATTTTGAGACTATGTTACAATTAGAACTATGTTACTATTTGGATGGTTTACGATAAATGATAACGATTGTAAATATTATTGCGAGATAAACCTTAAATGGTCCTAAAACATACAAAAATCTTACTGAAATTTCCAAAAATCGTCAGTCCGGCGCGAAATATTATATGTTTACTTTGCAAAAAAGAATTTGTTTTGCTCTGAAGTTGCAGCGAATAGCTACTGTCACTTAAATTGCAAATTATGCATCACTAGATCTATTGACTAGATCGAGAGGAGAGTATGTGAAAAATTCTAATATATTTTGAAAGAGGAGAGTATGTTTTCTGATGATTCTGTTGGCGTTGAAGTAGAGTATGTTGTAGTACCGTCTAGCCTCTGCGGTCTTCACGGTTTTCGCGGAACTGATAGGAGATAACAACATGGTGTTTTCGGCAAAGTTGTAGTACTCGAGATCTTCTATAACATTGCTGAAGACACCTATCTCTTATCTCTTATCAGTTGCGCGCAAATCGCGCACATAAAAAAGCAAATTTTATATAGAACTTTTTTTTTCTTATCATTTTTCGCGCTTTTCGTGGAACTGATAAGAGATAAGAGATAACTGACTTCAGCAATGTTATAGAAGACCTCGAGTGCTACAACTTTGCCCAAGACACCAAGTTGTTATCTCTTATCAGTTCCGCGGAAACCGTGGAAAACCGCGAGGACCCGCCAAAAATGAACATACTCGCCTTTAACCATTTTTGAGTCGAAAGAAACTTACTCTTCTCTTTCATAACAAAGTCAGATGAACTTACTCTCCTGTCGATCTAATCAATAGAGATATAATCCTTACTTAAGCAGCAAGTTTCTCCACACGAACAATTTATCCTTTAAAATAATCCCATAATTATTTACACAATTACATTTTCCATCAAGTACTTTTCTTCTGACCAAAATATAACCAAAAGATAATTTTTATTCATTTTGTGATCAGAATATTGGGGAAAAAATTCACTTCAGTTATGGTATTATTGCTGTTTGGGATATGTGGTGAAAAAATGACTTCGTCAATATAACAAATAATGATAATTTGTAACGATTCTATGAGCTTTTTCAAATATTCAACCGATATGCGAATATTTCGCCGATATAGCAATATTTCGTACTAAAATTGGTAGAGATATTTAGGTGACACGCACTTAAGCTATTGCTGAAGTACCGCGTACTTAACTACTTATTTATCAGTAGTTTTATCATGTCATTTCTAGTGTCATTTATTTGTTGTTGGTGATATCAGCATCAATTCTAAAGAACATTTAAAGCTAGCGACCAGTACTACGGCAATTAAGTACTAGCTTAAGTACGCGGCACTTAAACTTTATCAAGTAACATAAACTAAACACAGTTTAGGTTAGATACAGCGCGTTAACCAAAAGTACGTGGCACTTAAACGTGGATTTAAACGAATTCGCTGATGTATGGTTATTCTTCAAAAATAAGCGTTTATCTGCATATTGGCGGATATCGGCGTACATCGGTCTCTATTGTTCTATATTTTTATGTTGAATTCACATTAAATGTACACGATTGACACGAATATTCAATTTATTTCACCAATTCACACAGATATACCAATGAATAGCGACGAAAAGCCAATAACATAGATAATAGCGTACGACCAATTGATATTTTTCCCTAGCAAATAGATATGTACACAGAGATTCTTCTAATTTTGTAAAAAAATGGACTTTACAACGGAAACTGTTTTAAATTTACTGAAAAGTCAACGTACTTTACAGTTTGGCGTGATTCTTCTGATTTTCTGTGATATCTATTCACGAAATTTTGGTATTAAAAAATATACATTTAAAAAGATTGAATGATTATTTAATTAAATTTCTCTCTTGCAGCTATCGGAATATGAGGCTTTGCCCACATCTTTCGGAACAATATGGTTTGCATTTAACTTAGTCACAGGTATGTAAATAAAGTGAATGAAGTGAAGTTTACATCAATAATAATGTTCAAATGTTTCCGTTTTTAGTTATTGTCACAATAAGTTTGAAAATGGCATTGAAAGATTTCGGCACCAAAACTATTTTCCACCTTATAATATTAATAATGTGGGTAACATCAGCTACATTTTCCATGGTTATGCTAGTGCCACCATTACCTATACCCTGGACCGTTAGTAACGGTCCGTTACTACATTTTCACATCATTTATTCCAATAGCTGTAACTACAATAGTAAATTTGGTAGTTCATTTAGTGTTGTTTTTTTATACAATACGTGGAGTGAGTAAATAAATGGATCAGCATTTAGTTTTTCAATTATTTTCCATGGAAAGGAAGAAAATCTTTTAAGAATTTATATTCTCATTTTTATACCTTCAAATTTGCAGACAAACCAAGACCAAAAACTCAAGATCAGTAGAATGGGTGCAAATTACTAGTATATCAATAACATCCTAAGATTGCTATCGATTTCACATATCATGTTTCCGTTCGTTCTGTTCAATATCTCTCTCGTATTTGATGATTTTCTACAATATCAATATGATTTAGGTGGATTGCTTGGTTTTATAGTGGATATTTTATTTCCATTCATGTTTTGGATACCAATATTTAGTAAGTACCCCCTAAAAAAATGTCCATGTAAAAAATTAATTCGAATTTTTCAATTCAATAATGGGAATGTGCGTAACATTTTGGGCTCACCAAAGTCTATCATATGTTGAATTATACACGTACCAATGTTATGCAGATTTGATGGTCAGACCAGTCTTTTGCTGGCATTATGGATAGATGATGAATTTTTCAATCGAAACGACGCATCCAACAATTATTTATTTTATTTATTTATTTTCAATTGGTATGCACAGTGCACACAATAATCTGATATTCAAATATAACTTCTTTTCTTCTTTTCATACAGTCCATATTGATTAGATTTACACACAAATGCGTAAACATTGACCAAATGATGACAAAGTTTCTATAGGGGCCGAGGATGTTGGATCTATCGATTCTTGCATAAATATAAAGATCAACATTTTAAAAGCAAACAAGTCACATCAATGGGCAACCCATTATCACCTTCAATTGCTGAAGAATTCATGTCCCACTTCGAGTCTAAAACCAAATCATTAGGCATTCTACCGAAAGTTTGGTTGAGATACGTCGACGATGTGTTTGCTGTGATAAAGAAAACCAAAATTCAGAATTTGTTTGATTCAATCAACTCACAATTCGAAATGGTCAAATTCACCAAAGAAAAAGAAAATCCAGCCACCCGTTCACTGAATTTTCTGGACTTAAACATCACACGCACAAATGAGAACAAACTTGAATTCGCTATATATCGCAAACCAACATCAACAGACCGATACATAACAGCTGATTCACACTGCTCTCAACAACATAAACTTGCCGCCTTTCATTCGATGATTCATCGTATGTGTGTGTTACCGTTATCGTTAAGCAATTTCCAAAAAGAATATAACTTCATACAGAAATTAGCTGAAACCAACGGCTACAAAAAATCCATGATCGAAAAATTAGTCAAAAACATTCTGACAAAATCCATCGGGCGAATATGTCATCACTATTCAGCCAAAGTCGCAATTCGATCAAGGAAAACACAACGCACGTAGCGTTCAACTATGTGCCGGAAATCAGCAACAAACTCGTTCACACATTTGAGAAAGAAGGAATGAGAATAGTGTACAGCAATAACAACAAGCTGTCAAAATTGCTCGGCACAACGAAAGACGCGATACCAGTACAACAAAAGACCGGCATTTATTGTATTACGTGTAAAATATGCAACAAACAATACATCGAAGAAACAACGAGAGCATTGGGCACCAGGTTCAAAGAGCACGAATACTGCGTTAAGCACAAACACATGCAATCTTCAGTAGGCAAACACGTCTACGATATCAATTTCGATGCACCGCATCAAATCGGCTCTTTCGAAGAGAGCTGCACACTTTTGAAGAATGTCAGCGACTTCAGAAAAATTGATGCCTACGAGTCGCTATACATACACAAGCATAAGCAACACCTCATGAACGCATTGGACGTCGGCAACATTGAATCTCACTTGTTCAAATTCGCAAAATAGCTAATTTCTTTGTATTTGTTTTGTTTTGTTTTTACTTCGATCTCTCTCTCTCTCTCTCTCTCTCTCTCTCTTACTTTCTTCTCATCACATCAAAATGAATATTGTAAACTGTTTATCTCGCCTCACCGATACTCTTACATGTAAACGAAATACTGTTTTGTATTGATTTTATTTAGTCATTTAATCGCCTTGCTGATGATGAGACGTCACACGTCTCGAAATGCATTCGATAATGTTTTTTTGGAATTAAAAAGTAAATGATTTGAGTTTCGCTGAACATGACTCCTTTGTAGTCAATAAAGAGCCGCGATGTGATACACAATTTTAAAATGAGCTGTTTAATCAACTGATATCAACGCATGCCATCACTCTGCCAAGTATTAGGAATACGTTCTGAATAAATTCGAGATCAAGATATCGCGCAGTGGAACATCGATTCAAGAATACAACATCAACTCCAAACAAATTTGAAAGTTGAAAAAAATCATACATTTGAAGAAAATGAAATGAAAGTAAGTTGAAAAGAAAATAAATCTCTGTTTTTATCAGAATGAAAAAATTGGCTACATGTCATGTCTTAGCTCAATTTGTACGATCGACATAGATAAAATATTATCAGAATCTCTGCCATTTTTATTCCATTTACTGCAAAGCAATGTCATCGTTTCATATGATATATATAAAACTGTGAACATGTGTCATTATTATAATAATAAAGCCTTTGGGGCTTTGTACTTCGACGACAAATCAGATAGCTCACTTGTTTTTATTTTTGGTCCGTTCGATGGTAATGACTAATGGTTTCATATTCTCCACCACTAGATAAGCAATCAAAATGCTACTGACACGTATATGTAATTTTGAAAAGCAAAAAACCGTCTGCGTGTGTTATGTTTGCAGCAAACGATAGGTCATCGTCAGGGATACTGAATCGCCATAACACAATGCGCTTTTGTTATTTTATCCAGATCCAAATCAAAGGTGATGAAATGGGTTGCGAGCACACATCGCTCATGTTATATGCGATGAAACCGCATTACATCACATGATAATCACATTAAACCAAAATCCAAACCTAATCGAACCCGCTTCAATCAAAACTTGCCACTAATACGTGCCTGATCCATTTTGGATCAATTTACGTTTTCCATGCTAGTGCTCGCCGCTTACAACACATAAACCGTCAATCATTACTGTCTTCTCGACCATCGTTCCATCCGGTTGAACATTACCACCGCTGAATACTTTTTGTTCTTCAAAGAATTGTACTTTTTCAAGGTAGAACGTCTGAACGAAGAATAAAATTACTTGGAAAAAAAATAGAAATAATTTATCTTCTGGAAAAAAAACGGGAGAAAACGGCATCGATTCGTCTGAAAGTTACTGTTTATAAATAAAATATTCCAAAATTCGGGTTGAATTTTAAACTTAAAAAAGAAGAAATAATAAAATCAAACCTAGTGCAGTAAAACCATTCAAAATGTTTCCGTTTTTATCGAAAGTGCGATTTAAATTGTCTATCCTTTTTTGCTGCCTCTTCCTCCTCTACATTCGATACAGTTCCGGTCAAAGTTCACAAAATATTAACGTCTGTAAGTTTTTCAACTTGGGAAAATATCAGTTGGATAAGAAAAAATTGAATTCTTTTGAATTCTATAAACAAATAAACCAAGAAAAAAGATGCGAAAATAATACTTTAACCGAAATGAAAAGCAAAAAATAAAAATGTTGTGTGTGCACTGTGCATGTTCATTGAAAGTTCATAAAAAATGATTAAACTAATGTAGAACTCTTCTATTCTCTTGAAGTGTTCATTAACGAGGTAGACAATGATCCTGCCAGCCAGGCACTCGAGATTGTGTTGAACTATATCAAAAAGAATCCATCACTCGGACTATCGGTACAGCTTATGCCTATTGAAGGAAATCGTACGGATTCGAAGAAATTTTTGGAAAATAGTAAGTCTTTTCTCATGTATTTATCATTTGTTTTGTAAATGGCATATGCCATGGTACATTTTTGAAACTTTGAAAGACAGTAATTGAATTTGCATATAACATCAATCCATACTGATGAATAGTGATGCATTTTTTGTCATTAAATTTAAAAAAAATCAAAAATAAGTTCTTGGGAGACTATTCTTTGTATAAATCTCTAACAAAATTAAACTTATTCGCATGAAGATTTCTTTTTCGATTGTCGAAACATTAATTCTTGTTCATTACTTAATTGGACGATGCATTTTATGATTGAATTTTAATGATAATCGATTGTTGGGTATATTTGTTTTTAATTTCATATTAGAGAATATGTTCTTCTACTTCATTGACCCATCATTTATTGAGCGTTCGATTTTCCGTGAAAAATGTTCGATTCATCTAACACTTGGTTTAGTGTTTCTTCCTCAAAATTAAAATTGAATTGTTAACTCTTTACTAATTCTCCCGTCATATTTTCTCAATTTTCCATAGTTTGTTCAATATATACGGAGGCCGTGAAGAATAATCAGCCTCCGCACATTGTGTTTGATACGACGATAACGAATGTTGCCTCAGAAACCGTAAAATCATTAACTTCCGCTCTGGGACTACCAACGGTGTCGGCGTCATTTGGCCAGGAGGGTGATATTCGACAATGGCGTGACCTTACGGATCAAAAACGTCAATATTTGCTGCAAGTGATGCCACCATCCGATATCATACCCGAAGTCATTCGATCGATAATTGTATACATGAACATTACCAATGCAGCCATACTATATGACGAATCATTTGGTAAGCAAACCAGTATTTTTTCCACATTTCATTTCGATTTCGAAAACATTGAAATTTATCGATAATGTTTTATTGAAACAGTAATTTATGCAGTCGACAAACCGAACGAAATTTGTTTGCATGCAATTGCAATTCAAATGAATGCTAACCACTTCCATTAGAGCAAACGTAATATTGTTTTTTTTTTTTAAACGTCCAAAGGAACTTTCGTTCAGTAATTTACTCTAATGGAAGGGAAAAAAAACCAAAAACCACTGTTCTAAGAATAAAAAAAAATCGATAAATGATTTGTGTTCGTGCCGCAACACAACAAGAACAATAAATAAAGTCGGTCTGATATCGAAATATAATTGAAATGTAAATAAAATAAGGCAGTAAGTAGGTGATGCGCGACATTAAATATTGAGCAACACAAATTGGGAGGGTAGAAAATTGGGTGGACACGAACGCCATCGCGTTCACAAATAATAACAAGAATTATGTCAATTCAAAAAGCCATTAAATTATTGATTTTCATATCAACAGTTATGGATCACAAGTATAAGGCTTTGCTCCAAAACATACCGACACGTCACGTTATAACTGCCATCGCAAAACCAGCCGACCGACCCCAGCAAATCGCCAAACTGAGGAACTTGGACATTAATAACTTTTTCATTCTTGGCAGCCTGCAATCGATCAGAGATGTGTTGGGTAAGGCTTGATTTTGAATGATATCCCTTTTCGAGTCAAATTGAAAATGGTTGAATTCTTGCGCAGATTCGGCGAGGGACGAATATTTCCAACGCAATTTTGCATGGCATGCAATCACACAGTACAGCGGTGAAGTTTCGTGCAACTGCAAAAATGCTACCATCATCTTCTTGAAACCAGTACCCGATCAATCTTCAAAGGATCGACTCGGATTAATGGTTGGTTGAAGATTCGTATTTTTTTACGCTTGTTTTAAAATTATAATCAGAGACAAACATTTTGAAAATGATTGCGAATGGAAATGTTTAATTTATCCTCACTTTTATTAAGAAAACCACATACAACTTGAAAAAAGAACCAGAAATTCTGTCAGCGTTTTACTTTGATTTGGCTCTAAGAACATTCTTGGCAGTTAAGTAAGTCATTTTCAGTAATTACCCATCACTTGTTATCACCATTTTCTTTTTGCTTTTTTTTGCTTCTTTCTAATTGAATTCATCCATTTTCTCCAACTAAAGAGAAATGTTGTTAACTGGAACCTGGCCCACTAATTTGCAATACTTGACGTGTGATGATTACGATGGAACAAATACTCCTGATCGGGCCATTGATTTGAGAACATTTTTCGTGAATGTGAAAGAGCCAGCAACCTATGGCAATTTCTCGTTTCCCTCTAGCAGTATTCCGTTCAATGGTCACTCGATGATGAAGTTTGATATGGACATCTCAGTTGTATCAGTTCAAGGCGGAGCTTCAGTAGACACAAAAAATCTGGGAAATTGGACAGCAGGCCTAAACTCACCGATCATAGTTAAATCAGCCGATGATATGAAAAATTTCACTGCCGCAGTTGTTTATCGTGTTTATACAGTCGTGGTTTGTAATATTTTCTAGAACCAAATCGATGGATTAGATTAAAGTATTTTATGCTTTATATATACTCTCAAGGAGTAACACTCCTAAGGTGTAACTCATCCATAGTTTGTTTTGTATAATTTGTATGTCATTCTCAGCAACCCCCCTTCATAATTCGTGACGAGAACTCGGTGAATGGATTCAAAGGCTACTGCATCGATTTACGTAAGTTAACTTTTTCAACTGACGTACAACCAGCCACGTCGCTCATTCCATACACTTGGATTATTGAACCATTTTTCAAATAATTTTTCATTTCCAACGCAGTCGACGAAATAGCAAAACTGGTCAAATTTGAATACACCATTCAAGAGGTGGAGGACAAGAAATTCGGAAACATGGGTAAGACCTGATTTTGATGATAACATTTCTTCAAGTCAAATTAAAAATGGTTACATTCTTTTGCAGATGAAAATGGTGAATGGAACGGGATCGTACGAAAATTGATCGATAAGCAAGCTGATATTGGACTTGGATCGATGTCGGTGATGGCCGAACGTGAAACTGTTATCGACTTCACGGTGCCCTATTACGATCTGGTTGGAATTACAATTATGATGCAACTACCAAGCACGCCAAGCTCTCTATTCAAATTCTTGACCGTGCTTGAAACCGACGTCTGGCTTTGCATTTTGGGAGCATATTTCTTTACAAGGTTAGGGCTAACCTTGAAACTGAATTCGAATTAAATTCGCTCTGTTTATATTTTATCATTTTGGTACCTATTTGAAGTTCAATCACCTTTTATCAATTGTTTAATAATTTTTTTTCCCTCAAGCTTTTTGATGTATGTATTTGATCGATGGAGCCCATATAGCTATCAAAACAACCGTGAGAAATACGCAGATGACGACGAAAAGCGAGAATTCAACATGAAGGAATGTCTGTGGTTTTGTATGACTTCTCTCACTCCACAGGTAATAATCTATTTTAAAATTCATTTGTCTGACTAATCAATTAGTGGAAAACATGTGATTTAAAAAAAAAAAACAATTTATTGCCAGGGCGGCGGTGAGGCACCGAAAAGTGAGTTTTTTTCTTGTCTGGTCGAACATTTTTCTAAAATTAAATTAGAAAATAAAATATAATTATATTATTACGATAATAAATCATAGATTTATCCGGTCGATTGGTGGCTGCAACTTGGTGGCTTTTTGGGTAATTCAGAAAAATTCACGATTGCTTCATATTTTTGACTAACATACCTCTTTTTTATGTTAAGATTTATCATCATTGCTTCATACACGGCTAATTTGGCTGCCTTTTTGACTGTATCTCGACTGGATACTCCCGTCGAAAGCTTGGACGATTTGGCAAAACAATACAAAATCTTGTATGCTCCACTCAATGGTTCATCGGCTATGACATACTTCCAGCGAATGTCACAAATTGAAGGACGATTCTATGAAATCTGGAAGGATATGTCACTGAACGATTCACTCACTCCGGTGGAACGATCTAAATTAGCCGTTTGGGACTATCCAGTCAGCGATAAGTATACGAAAATGTGGCAAGCAATGCAGGAAGCTGGGCTCCCGAATACTTTGGAACTGGGTAATTTTCTAAAAATTATTTAAAACCAAATGCAAGATGCATTTTGTGTTTATTCATTCGCCATATTTTCATTATAATCGTGAATAAAATCTAACTAAAAAAAATCAAAATATTTTATTCAGCTGTCGAAAGAGTCCGAAATTCAACGTCGGCCACAGGTAAAAAATGATTCATCCAAATAAACAAAGACATCTGATAAAAATATTCTTCTTTATTTATTTCGGTCGACAGGATTTGCATTCATAGGCGATGCAACCGATATTCGGTATTTGGAGATGACAAACTGTGATTTGCAGGTCGTTGGAGAGGAATTCTCTCGAAAACCATATGCGATCGCTGTACAACAAGGCTCGCCACTGAAGGATCAATTTAACAATGCGTACGTATTGATATTTATTTAAGAGATTTTAACCGTAATTTTGTACAAGAACTAAATATCTCTCTCAAATACCATCGTTTCATGTAGTATTCTGCAATTGCTGAACAAACGATTCTTGGAGAAGCTGAAGGAGGATTGGTGGAAAGACAAGAAGAAGTGCGAAAAGGTTGAGGATCAATCAGATGGTATTTCGATTCAGAACATCGGTGGTGTATTCATTGTCATTTTCGTGGGGATTGGAATGGCCTGCGTTACCCTCTTGTTTGAATATTGGTGGTATAAATATCGCAAGGCAACGCCAAAAATTACAAATGTGACATCAAATGAATCTACACCGAACAATGTCGACAAGTTCGAAAGAAAAGAGGCGGGCTTCATCCGTACCAAGGACTCAACGGATGTAAAGAATTCATTGCTTCGCACAAGAATTACCAGTCAATCAAAGAACGCCGAACCAAAATTCTAGAACTGTCCAAACCAAAACTAATGTGTTTTTTTGCCGAACCGGTATACAAAATAGTTTTGGATTGGTGTGCTGAGAGAAAAACACACAATGTTTTTAAAGTTTGATAAAAAGTCAGTTTGTTAAAAGAGCTTTTTGAAAACAAAATTCCGCAATTTGTGGGGGGAAAATGCACAATATATGCGAGTTTAACGCACAACGAATATGCGTAAAATTATAATTGTATAGTGTGACAGCATCAGAGTGGTGGAGCGTTACGACTACGCGTATCACTACTTTTAGTAATGGTACGCGTAGGCGAAACCGCTGCGCCATTTCGGAAAGCGTGCAACACATATTTGAATATATTTGTTTTTTTGTCACCAAGAATGATCATTAGAGATGAGGGATTTATTCGGTATTGTAGCAGAACAAAAGAGAATGTATGATGGAAATTTTGTTAGATTGTGTATTGAAAATCACTGAAATAAATGTAATCATCCACAACACAATATTTGGTTTTCTTTTTTTTCTTTCTAAACGGTTAAAATAGAAAATATTTGAAACCTTTCCATGAATTATACGACATAAAATATTCGAAGTATTAGTATCATGATAGTATAATGAGAATCATGATGTTCCGAAATGACTTGCGTTGTGTATTTTCAATTGCATGTACGATAAGCGCACAGAAATGAGATCGAACACTAAAGTAAGTGTATTGTTACATGTTTTTGCTGAGAATTGGACGAGAAGGGCGTATAAAACTAGGGTTTTTAAATTGAATCCATTCCGGTTTTATTGGTGTAATAATGTTGGCCATAAAAAAATGTGTGATTACATGCATTTGATAGTCATATTTGCTTTGATTACCTGGGGATTCATTTGACACGCATCGACTTCCATTTGTCCTCACCAAAAATCTCGCGGGATCAGAATGTTCGTGTTCCATGTCCAAAAAAAATATATGAGTTCTAATCGAACCGAATCTTCATTTATGATCCAATTTCATAACTTTAGTTCATGTGAACTGCCCGAAGCCTTCGGAATCACACGCATTCCTTTCCTTTGAAGAAAAAAACTCCATTAACAACCTAAATTCTAAAGATGATTTTAGCTCCGAAAGTGTGCTTTAAATTTTTAGTTCTAATGTTTCTACATCGTGGTTTCGGACAGCAACTTCCGACGATCAATATGTGTGAGTACAAAAAATTATTGGAAAAAAAGTTTTCATTCAAAATCTTCAAAGTCAATTTAAAATAATGTTCTACTCCTTTGTGTATCTCTAAAAGTGTTCATTAATGAAGACGGCAATGATGAAGCGAATAAAGCAGTTCAAATGATTTTGAAACACGTAGCTAAAACCCCTTCATTTGAATTCTTGATTGATCTGAAACAAGTCGATGGCAATCGTACGGAACCAAAAGAATTTCTGAAAAATTGTAAGTTTTTTTTTCAATAAATTAGTCCAATGTGAAAATTTTTGGCAAAAGTCACAAGAGTGCATACTACATAATACAAAAAAAATTAATATTAATGTAGAGAAAATGAGCAAGTACAATTTTATATGCAAAATGAGTCATTTAAACATGTATATTAGATTTTTTTTTCGCGGGTGTATCTCATACTCTAAGTTTCGTTCTTTTCTCCCCCAAGTATGTGCCGTTTATACAGAAAGTGTGGAGATGGGTAAGTCGCCGCATATTGTGCTTGATTTGACAATGTCTCCCGTTCTATCTGAGATCGCAAAATCCTTTACCTCCGTATTGGCTTTGCCCACGATAAGCGGTTCATTCGGCCAAGAGGGTGACATTCATCAATGGCGTGATCTAAGCGAGGAAAAGCGTCGCTTTTTACTGCAAGTGATGCCCCCGTCCGACGTAATTCCATTCGCAATTCGATCGATAATCATGTACATGAACATAACCAACGCGGGCATTTTGTTTGATAAAACATTTGGTAAGTGTCATTTCAGACCTATAATACCACGTTCACCTGTGGTGGAGTGCGTAGTTGCGTAGAAAATCAATAAACTCTAATGTTTTTGTTTTGTTGGAATAAATCAACATTAGACGACGCCTATGTAAATAAGTTGATGATGTACAATGTACAGTACATATCACTAGAGTATAGTACCTAAATTGGAATCTATTTTTTATTTACACATGAAAACAGTCATGGATCATAAATACAAGACATTGTTAGACAATGTACCGGCGAGGCACATAATCACTGAAATCTCCAGCCCAGAGCAATTCATAAGGCTTCGTAAATTGGACATCACCAATTTCTTTGTTTTAGGCCGTTTAGAATCGATTAGAAATGTTTTGGGTAAACTTATTGAATTCAAATCGATTCTTGCGATCAGAAATTAAAATCCAATTATACTCATGCTTTAGAATCTGTTCGTCCTCATTATTTTGAACGGAACTTTGCCTGGCATGTGATTACGCAGGACTTTGGAAATATTTCCGTTTGTTGTGGAAACTTTTCTATGATGCTGGTGCGACCAAAGATTCACCCACTTTCGAAAAATGGCCAAATCCCAATTATGGTGAGCTTTTGTCCTTTGAATTTTCTTGAACGTTGAACTTGTCTCGATGTTGTTCTCATTTCTCTATAGAAATCAGACATGAACTACACCGATATTGGGTCTCTGTTTTACTTTGATCTCGCTTTGCGAGCGGTTTTGACAATAAGGTAATGATTTTTTTTCCCAAATATTGAGCATATATACATATATTTTGTATTTAACTGAAAATCGGTGTTTGCATCATGAAAGGAACATGTTATCATCCAACAACTGGCCACAAAATATGGAGTATATCACGTGCAAAACCTACACGGGCTCAAATACACCCAAACGATCACTCGATTTAAAATCATTTTTCGTCAATATTTCCGAACCCACTTCGTATGGGAAGTTCGAATTTGCGAATGACGATATGCCGTTCAATGGATACAGTTTGATGAAGTTTGATATGGATGTGTTGGCAGTGTCGGTTCGCGCCGGAATAGATTATAACGAAAAAGGTTTTTTTTATTTCATTTACAAACTCATACTTCATTTAAAGCTTCATCATTCTTAAGTGGTTGGGAACTGGACAGCTGGCCTTGCATCACCATTGATGATAAAGTCAAACAAAAGCATCGCTGAACTCAAAGCTAACCCAATTTATCGTGTTTATACTGTTATCGTAAGTGTAATTGAAGATTTTTGTTGAATTTTCAAATAAAATTACGTATTTTTTCACTGACTATATACTTCGGTCTTATTGTTGGTTCAAACTTATTCATCGTCTTAAGCAAGCTCCGTTCGTGATGCGTGATGGATCAGCAAAACGAGGATACATCGGCTATTGTATTGACCTAATGGACGAAATTGCGGAAACGGCACATTTTGACTACACAATTACAGAGGTGGCAGAGCATGGGCACATGGTTAGCATTCATTTTAATTGCATGCAAATAAATTTTGTTCTGTTTATCGACTACATAACTTACTGCTTCAATAAAACATAGGATGACAATGGTGTATGGAACGGTGTAGTGCGAAAACTGATCGACAAAGAGGCTGACATTGGACTGGGAACGATGCAGGTGATGGCTGAAAGAGAAACGGTTATCGATTTCACGGTTCCCTACTATGATTTAGGTTCGGAATAGAGAATTTTGCTATAACCTTTTGCTAAGACCTAGCAAAGCATTAAGACAGTTCAAACACAATTTTCAAACTTATTTTTCTATGTTCATTGAAGTTGGCTCAACAGTTCTGATGATATTGCCAAAAGCGAAGAACTCATTGTTCAAATTTTTAACCGTTCTCGAAACTGATGTCTGGTTCTGCATTTTAGGCGCTTACTTTTTTACAAGGTTTGGATAATTTTATACGCAACTTTCTCTAAGAGAATTAATTTTAAATAATAAATGAATAAAATTTGAATTTTGTGTATTTTAATAGCTTTCTCATGTACATTTTTGACCGATGGAGCCCATACAGCTATCAAAATAATGAAGAAAAATATGCCGATGATGATGAGAAGAGAGTGTTTACAATGAGAGAATGCTTATGGTTCTGCATGACTTCACTTACACCACAGGTAAATATAAATATTGCATTGTGTTTCAAAAACTCAATGATATCGTGGAATATTAATGCAAATTTTTCTTTTTCGTGATTAGGGTGGTGGAGAAGCGCCAAAAAGTAATAATTTCGCTAAGCATTTTTCAATCTCACAACAAATTCTAAATAGAATATTCTCAATTACAGATCTTTCGGGTCGTTTGGTTGCTGCAACCTGGTGGCTATTTGGGTAAATCCATGATATCAATTCAAAATTTGTTAGTATGTTTACATTTGAAACATCGTCACTCCTCTAGATTCATTGTAATTGCTTCATATACCGCGAATTTAGCTGCATTTTTGACCGTATCTCGCCTCGACATACCGATCGAAAGCTTAGAGGATTTGGCAAAACAGTATAAAGTCTTGTACGCGCCAATCAATGGATCATCAACGATGACCTTCTTTGAACGAATGTCAGAGATTGAAGGTCGATTCTATGAAATCTGGAAGGATATGTCACTGAACGATTCACTCACTCCGGTGGAACGATCTAAATTAGCCGTTTGGGACTATCCAGTCAGCGATAAGTATACGAAAATGTGGCAGGCAATGCAGGAAGCTGGGCTCCCGAATACTCTGGATGAAGCTGTCCAAAGGGTTCGAAGTTCAAACAGTTCCAGTGGGTTTGCGCTTGTTGGCGATGCCACGGATATTCGCTATGTGGAAATGATGAGCTGTGACCTGCAAGTGGTTGGCAACGAATTTTCTCGTAAACCATATGCGATTGCTGTGCAAAAGGGTTCACCACTCAAAGATCAAATGGATGCTGTGTAAGACATATAGACTATAGGTTCAAGTCAACACTCTTTTTTCCCTTTTTTGATTTCTGATTCATTCTTTTTTCGCAAATTATAAAAATTATGTTGGAATTTCAGTCTACTTGAAATTTTGAACAAAAGATACATGGAAAAATTGAAAGAGAAATGGTGGACAAAGAAATTGCATTGTTCCAAAATCGAAGATCAACAAGATGGAATCTCAATCGCAAATATTGGTGGTGTGTTCATCGTCATCGCCATTGGTATCATAATGGCAATATTTACATTGATTTTTGAATATTGGTACTTCAAATTCCAACGTCGCTCACCGATAATTACTGGCGTTAGAGAATACGGAAGACCTGATTCAACAATTGTAGAATCAGCGTATCAAGGGTCATCAACAATTACTCAGCATAAACTGGACGAAATAAACCTTCCTAACGAAACAAGACATCGTTCCAGGGCAACAACGCACATTGAAATTGGCGATTGAAAATTCGGTCTACCTTCACGGTTCCGAAAGTCTAGCATAAAAGTCATGCAACATGAATATTTGCACCAAAACTTTTTTGAGTGAAAAAAAAAACAAAAAACAAAATATTTTACACATTTGATTGGTAACAAATTTTGGTGATTTTTCAAAAATTTTCCGTAATTTTTGTGTGATGCTTTTTGTAACCCGATGAACAGATGTGTGAATTTCACGCTTTTTTTTGGATTGCTGACCAATGATAATATACCAACGAGTGAAAAAACACTACCTCAATGATTTTCTAATAAAAAAAACACGTTTTCTTGCAAATTGCTTTAGTGCTTTTTCTATTTCTTTGTTATAAAAATATTCACACATATTTAAGGAGTACGTTTTATTCTTATTTACAATATTAATCAATCTCCCATATATACAAATATTATTGTACTTGTCAGCCTCTACCAGGTAAGCTGCATCTAATCATCGCATTGCATCCATCAGATATATTGCTAATGGAATATATGGAACAGTTTTATTTTATCCACATTTTCTGCTTATGCATTAATTTGTGCCTCAATTGAATTATTCGCCGCGTTTAGTTCAATCTTCCAAAAGAAGACTTCTTTGCGAACAATAACAAAAATAATATAACAATCGTTTTAGTTAGTACAATGACTTAATATCCATTTGCACCAAGAGTTTTTCGTATCGATTCGAATGATAACCAAAACGTGAGAGACCATGGAGCCATCCGAATCCAGACTGGAAGAAAACCTTTGTATAGTGCAAAAAATCCTTCTTTGTTGATTGTTTGTCGGAAACAATCCAATGAATTTTTGTATAGGATACCCCTATAATGGAAGAATCGAAAGCATGTGCTTAATGTTTCTACAAAATATAAAGGGGTTTTTGATTTGAAACATACCTTCCTTTCTCATCCGTCGGTTGATTCATTATTCGTGTCTTAACAACATCCATAGGTGTGCCCATCGTTGCCGCAACAAGACCGGCGCAGATCGACGCCATTATATGGACCGTATGGCAATCGGGTAGTTTAGTCTTATTCATAATGTTACGTTTGGCAAAATCGTAGGTGGTTAAATCGCCTAAGTTGACTAGAGCTGCTCGATACACATTTGGTATGCTGCCTTTCCACAGCGCTTTCACACCGCCACGCTTGAGTATCTGTTTCAGAGCGTCTGAAGAGCCATGTACACGTGGCTTAAGGCCCATCAAACGTCGCTTCCCTTCCATTTGAACGTGCACCTTTACCAAATCAGCCGGCGATGCCATCCTGTTCAGCGGAGAATCAATCATTTTAGTTGTAGTTGTTTTGAAGAAATATCGACCAGAAAAGTGTTCTTAGTATGAAAATGTATCTACCATTGTGCTAAACCACCAGCAGTAACACCGCAAATAGCTGCTTCCCATAATGGCAGTCCTGAATGATCTTCAGACACATCCAATGTCTTTCTCATTCGATCATAAATAGCAATTCGAACACCACTGAAAATGGTTACAAAACGCTTGAATATCAAATGTTCAACAGCTGAAACCACACACAAACAGACATGCGGTGCGAAAAGTGTTCAAGTGCTTTTCAAGGTATAAATACCTATAAACGACATGGCGATACAGTGCTGGCGTAACGCCTTGCCATAATTTCATTGCACCTTCTTCGCGTACGATGCCACAAACGGTGGCAACCATTCCTCTGTATTGAACCTAACCAATATATAATGTATATTTCGGAAATTGAGATGAATAATAGTGGAGCAAACAAACGTCTGAATCTTACCTTATTTGTGGTCGCCAGATCATTTGCTTTAAGTTTTTTGCCCTCTCCTTGAATTTGAAGTCGAGTCTTCGTTAAGTCGAGTGGATATGTTGCTAGATTGTTTTGAACGCGAAATGTTTCGATTACAAAACACGTTTTTTTTTCTTCATTGGAAGTTTCTCATTATCAATAGATTAGGTTCATTCGCCTAGGGCACTTACCCAATTCAGCGATATTCGCTGAAACGACTGATATGATGTACGTACACCAGAATGTGTCGGCGTAGTGATATTTCACGGGTCGCATTTCTTTCCGTGTAATGGATGGTGGTGCGGTGGTTGCCAACGGTGCAGGCATGTTTTTGCTGTATGATTTTGATTAGTTGTGGCGTTCAGGCGAACGATGTGAATTCCGTGTTCCTACGATCGATTTTTGACTATTGATGAATGTTTCTGTTGTTGATGGTGTGACGACGATGTTTGTGTGATGAATTGCTTTTTAAAGTCGATTAAATGGATTGCCAATGAGCATGCACATAATTTGTGATGACGTAAAATTTATAATACATACTCCTTAGCCGGACTCGATTATCTGACAACGATGAAAAAGAGATAGAACAATACAAAGAAAAGCGCTATAAATAAAAACGAATGCTTAATTTTCACCATATTTCAAAATAACAACCATTTCCACAAAATAATATCAATCTATTTCACAACATCTCCCCCACTTATTTGCACACGAATTTTTCGAACTATTCTCATGTATCGACACACGAAACAGCCACCACTCGATGATTATAAAACCAATTTAGACACGGAAATGTATCGACGACAATAGTTTGGCAAGTGAAATTGTAAATAGAATATTGATGCGCGAAACAGTCTCGCCTTCAAAAGGTTAAATGAATCTGAAGCAAATATTTCAATTGTTTCTCATGTGATTCGCAATACTTTGAGCAACACGATACATATGTGAAAAAAATACGAAGACCAAACTAAGATCTATGAAAACATTTTTATTCTCGGCTATTTCGTAATCTTGATTTGCTTATCAGATTTGATAAAAGTCTTTTGATTAAATTCATGTTTTCAAGAGCATAACGAACATCAACATGACCTTAAAACAATTCAAGCCACTTTGGTTTGTCGACGCTGACAATTACACGCACAATTCAATGCAAATCACATGAAAACGCACTTGAATGATCAAACTTTGCACTCAAACCGACTCGACCACAGACTCAGACAGACAACAATAACAACAACAATAACAAAATACCATCATATTCACTTTAGTTTCCAATTTGTATAATTTACTCACGAGTTATAATGGAAAGGATGATTAAATTTCTTTCATTTGTAACAGAAATAAAACAAAAAAAACGATTTCTATCACATTGGTTTGCCTCACATTTCAAAACAAAAGAAGAAACAAGCAATGGGTATGAAATCGAAGGGAAGTCTGGTTTCACTGGTTATCGAACCTCTCGTTCATGCACGTTTTATATAATGCGTTGCGCGATGTGTAATGATTGTTGGGTACTTCATTGTTTTGATTATTTTCAATATTCCATTCCGCTGATTCGAAGCGAGCCTCTCTCTCTATCTCACTCTCACTCCCTTGTATTTGACGTTTCAAGTGCCGCAACCGAACTGTCAACATGCATGTTTTTGACAGCTGGAAAGTGAGCACGTTCAAAACACACACGGTTTACTTCGCGCTATTTGTGTTTTGTGTGTCTTTCTGTTTCTGTCAAAGAAAAACGTACGAGAAAATTGTGTATAGTGTTTTTTTTTTCTGTCCATTTTTTGTAACGATGTAAAAAAGAAGTTGCTTTTTTGTGTTTTTGTGCAGTAACAAACGGAAGGAAAGCGAAAAAAATGTCGAAACGAATGGGTTTCCAATTCCGTCAGCCGCGGTCCAAAATGCCAAAGCTGGATATCACAATATCGTCTAGTCAACGAATTGTCGCAGCCGGCCCATCCAATATGAATCATCCGCCACGGACCGATGCACCGGCTCCATCGGAAGATGCCTGGGGTGAAGATGATGATGAATTCTTTGTGTTGGCATCACAGGCTGCCGAACAAGTTGAGGCCAATGCAGCCGTTGTCATTTCACAATCAATGAATAATCGCGATCATGACATGAGCTACATTCGATTCCGGAAGGATGTGCGAACTGCACAGAGTACCCAGCTAAATCACATTGATGAATTTGACAACGATGAAGACTTATTCTCAAATGTGCCCGACTTCATTCCGAACCCAGTGCAAGCTGCCGTGCCCTCGGTGGTAAATAAAGAGAACAATGGTCAAGTGGCACATAACCACCAAAATGCAACCGCGAATCAACCGAGCACTTCAACGGCCAATCGAATGTCTTCCGATGATAAGGCTAGAGAGCAGAAAGAAAAAATTCAAACGGAATTTTTTGCGGAAAAAATTAAAGCGCAGAAGAAACAAATCGAAACACTGCGAGAAACACTCAACAAAGTCAATCAAAAGTGTACGACCAAGGAAGGCGAAGCGTCAACACTGCGATACGAGGTTGACTCAAAGTCCCGGGATATCGAACGACTTCGCAAGGAAAAAATGGAGGAAGCGGTTGATATGGAGAAAAAGTACTCGGAGAAAATCATAGCGCTAGAAAAGAAAATCGAAGAACAACGAACGGAACTGGAATTTAAGGTACGAATCATTTAGGTTTTAATTTTCAATTCTATTGCCTACCAGCGGTTGGGTGTATTTTTTATCCTTGAAAAATGGGCTGAACATTTATCTTTTATTTTGTCTTTGCAGAACATTGAAATTTTACAAAAAAAATCGCGGAAATCGTTGAATGAATCAGTTGTCGTTGAACCGGAAGGCAACCAGCCGCCTTTTGAACTCCACCATTTGTTCAAACTCCATTCCAATCATATTGAGCCAGCCGGTAATTCGAGTAAAGAAGAGATATTAAGAACGTACTTTAACTATCATTTATGTTCTAGATCCGGAAAATGTTGCGGCGGCAGAATTTCTAGCCACAAAGGGCACCGAGAAATACCGGGGCTTAAGCGAGCGTGATTTTGATACACTTAAACACCTCAATACGCTGCATTCAATTTACAATGGTGCCAAAGCAAAGAAATTTCGTGTGCTTGACAATAATTCGATGAAAGAGATTGCAATCATAACGAATGCCTTCATTGATGCGCTGAAAACGTATGCGAGTCGATTAACCCTTCGAACACCCACCAAATATAATTCGGCTTTGGAGTGTAAAATTATCTCCGAAGAAATGGCCAAGGCAACAACTGCGAACGGAAGCGGCTCGGGCACAACAGAAATGCTGGTCGATGAGAAATTGATTTATGAAAGACAAATGTTAGCTGTGATTGCACTCTTAAGCACCGATTTTCCGAACACAACGCAATTGTTTCTGTTCGAAAAATGTGAAGAGTCACTGTCCAATGACGACGAAGATGATGAAATGGATGGTAAAAATCGAATTGGGTCATTTGTTGACATCTTGACAGATGTTCTGTATAACATTGGGCATTCGGTAAGTACTTTCTTTCATGTAATTACTGAATGTTCTAGACATGCGTTGACAAATTCAGGGCTATATTGGAACTAAAATAGATTTCAGCTACGAATTCACAGATTTTAGTTCACAGAGAAAGACATTTCTTGAACACTCAATTGAAAATAATTGACTTTTCATTTTTTTTAAATCATTTTTGTTAAATCTTTTTCCAGAAAACTCTATCGTTGCATAAAACGCTGATCGAATCGGTCTCATTACTGCTGGTGGCTTTAGCCAAATCCTATTCCCCGACGGAGCTGAGCGATTTGCTGCTGTTGAACTTCTTCCGAGCGATTGTGTTTTGTGAACCTGATCTGCAATCACTGAACCATTTATCCGAGTTCCTCGAGGTGATTTCCGATAATGAATCGAGCAAAATTTGTAGTCGGTTTTGCACAAACGAAATTTGCAACGTTATGTCCATTTCACGATACAAAATCAATCGGGTTTCCATGGAAACGTGCCCACTTCAGGTGTTTTCGTGCCTCTTACAAATCTCATTCCAGCCATATGGCAACTATCGCACTTTACAGGAGCAATCGAATGAGGTCGTCACAGTGACGAACATCACCATACGAATGATGAAATTCATGAGGAATTGTTTCAATAGGCGTGAGTATTGACGCGAGTATATTAGAATCAGAATGAATCATCACATTTTCGGTCTCATTAAAATTGTCATTTCCTTGGTGTTTTTAGGTGTTGATTGGTTGTTCCGAAAGAATGAAAGTCCCAATGATACGGCCTCAGTGCTTGTTCCACACTGCTATTGCTACGTCATATCGTGCATTATTGTTTTGCTGCACTTTTGCATCAGCAGTTGGATGGAAAATCACAAAATAATAGGTAAAGAGATAAACTGTTACGTTTTATTTCAATGTTTTCGAATCTTTTCTAATTTTTCACATTGTGATCATTTCCTTAGATCCAAAGCAGTTGAGTACAATTTTCGCAATGGGTTGCCTATTCCTGCATGACATAATAAAGAAGCATTATGAACCCAAGGTACTGAATTTGGGTGGTTTTCCAGTGAAAAATCGGTTGCAGGCGATCTACGATTGGATGATGAATTTGCCGATTCGCAAATCGTCCATTTCGGACAATGCCATGAAATCGGTGAATTTGCGGCAAATCCAGCAGCTAAACGAACCACAGATGATATCACCTGAGATGCAATCACAAACATCCGATCAAATGGACTCGATCCTATTAGACTCATTCGAAGATTTCTCAATGTAAATTCAAAAGTAAATTGTGTAGTTTAAAAGAAAATGTTTATTTTTATTATTACATCATTAAAATGAAATCAAGACACTCTTAAAAACGAATTAAAAAAAAATGGACGTAAAACCAAGAAAGATGTTTTTCTTCATTTTAATTCGGAAACATTTCCGAGAAAGCGACAAACGACGACACACTGTAAATCATCGTTTTTAATCCAGTTCAAGTTGTAACGAAAATTCATCTTGATTAAACAAAAAAAAACATATGTTTTTAATTATGAGACATGAAATTAGTTTGCATGTGCATTGTGCACGCTGCACACGCTTATACCATCAAAACATTTCGTTTCATTTTTCGATCATCAATTTGATTAAGATCGTTAGTGTTTTAGTTAAACAGTTGGTGTTGTGTGTGGTCGCTTGTCACCGAAAAAGCGAATGGCATAAATTGATAAGCGGCGCATTGCAAACACAACAGCCCAATGGAGAAATACGTACGCGCAGCGAACGTTAGATGGAACGACAGTGATGGAAGAGAGCAATTTGAAGGCATCGTTAGTCATTCATGAAGAAAAGAACATGGGATTCCCACCGGATCGAATATGATAAAATCCATATCGAAACAACGCGCGCATCGTACAAACAAACACACACAAAAATAGATGCATGAAAATGTGGGACGAGGGGAAAATGTATTTAAAAATAAAAATATCTTTTTTTAATTAGACATCAAAAACGCTGTCTCCCTCTCCGTTTACAGTTCACACACAATGGCATTTTCACAATGTTGTCGAGAGAACGCCAGAGCGACACAGCAATCATTATGACAGCGAATATTCAAACAACCGTCAAAAATGAAGACGATTCACAGACGGCTGCTTTTTGTTGAGTTCCGAAACAGAGGCACACATTTCCCGCGCCTTATCCACTATGCGCGCACTCAACAACCGATTTTATTTTTACTGAAAACAAAAGCACGCACAGCACAGCACAGCACACAGCACACAGCACAGCAGAGAGATGACAAAAAAGATGAAACAAGTGATTTACGCTCACCCGACAGATCATCATTTGAATTCGGTTAATTTGAAAATAAATATATATTTTGTCTTATAAAAATAGGAACAAAATGGAAATTATCGCAACGAATGTGTGTGCCGCCATGCATGTATAAATCGTCGCGCCGCTCTCACTCTCGCTCTTCGAACAGAACACAAATGCTCATGCGAGCGCTGTACGGGCATTCAAATTTTAGTTTTACATTGGATTCGATTGTGAAAGGATGTGTTACGTGCGTAAGAAGTGAACTTTTCTTCCTCGTCACACCAAATGATCTTTATCGTTTAGTTTCTATGGATTTTTAGCATTTTTTTTTTTCAAGTGGAATATTTTGTAAGACCAATCGAATTGATTGGTGAAAGGATTTTTGTAGTGGAAATAGAAATAAGTGAGAAGTTTTTTCTTTGAAATTATTTATATTTTAAGAGACAAAATGACAGCAGGTCGTACATTTGTCCAAAGTGTCGTTGTACTTTTGGCATTGGCACAATGTGGCCGATCTTTAGAAATTAGTGATTTTTACGATTTCGAGCGAAACACTCGACTTGAGAATGGCGCTGACAAATCTGAATTCGTCAAATTGGACACACCAATAAATTTCTTCAGCGATGTTTACGATCACATTTATGTAAGTATCCCAAATTCCCGAAACATTTCCACCTTCTCAGAATACGAAATGAAAAATGCCCATAAATTTTCTTCTTAACTACTCAGAAGAATGAAAATTGATGCTATGAAGAAAAAGAAAAAAAAGCAAAAAAATAAGCTGAAAAAATCAAAAAAAGGAAAATCCAACGAACAAGAATTTATGGAAATTCACTTAAGGATTAAGCAACAAATCCGCTTAATACCCAGGCCAATATTTCTCTTTTTTTTGCTTTTTGTTCTCGGAATTCAAAATTCATTCGTTGTTGTTCTCGAGGAAGAATTAATTCAGTCTATTTTCCGTTCGTAATCAACATTATTAGGAAAGATATGAGGAAATATCAATAAAATTGTGTTCAAATTCCGTTTAAATTCCCTTTATTCTCATTTCAAAATACATAATTGAATTTAAAATGATGAAGCACGCGGCGGTTTGGGATGAGCAATGCAATTCGATCCGGTCAATGAATTTTAGTCCGTACTATAAGATTGTGTGTGTCTATATTGATTCGATTAATTAATGAATCAATAGCTAAATAATAATAAACAATTCATGCAGGCATCTATTGCCCCCATAAATGTATATATCAATAGTGCTATTCAATTGTCACGCAACGACACACGATCGAACCGCATTTCACCAGCTGCTAATCACTAAAATGTGTAGTTTGTAACAGTTTTGCTATCAATGCACTGCGATTACTGGGAACAGGGAATGCCGTTCAATTTGTCCTATCATCAATTGGATTTTGCAGTTTAATGAATAAGAGTTTAACTGATAATAAAATGCTAAGAAGATAGAGGAATTCGTTTAAAATGCAAACGATTTCGACATTTTCGATGAACTTTGACTCTGATTTGTGCATAAATGTTACGTTATCCCAAAATAAAAAACAAAATCCAAGAATATTCAACAAATAAACAATTCCGCTAAATTTAGACATGATTCGCACAAAAAAAAAAAGATTGATAATTGTGTTTTCGTCTCCAGATCAATACACAGGGAATATTAACATTCGGCACTGAACTGAATGGTTTTCTGAACGAGCCATTCCCATTGGAATACGCGTCAATCGCTCCATTTTATTCAAATGTTGATACGACAAATGCTGGGCCAGAAACATCCATTTCATTCTCAACATTATTAAGCGAACGCAATACTCGTCTTGCCTACGATACCGTACGCCGTAACTTTCCCATCAACGACAACTTTCGCGTTATCAACGTAGCTGTTGCTACGTGGGAAAATGTTGGACACTATCGTGAAAATAATACCGAACAAAATACATTTCAAGTAAGTCTATTTAATTGCATATTTAATTTTTGGGTTTCGTCATTTGTCCATTGGAAATTAACAATTTAAATGTTTGCAACGCAAATTTCGATAATGAACAACATAAAGGTTGCCATCATTTGCGGTGAACAAGACACATTCGTCGAATTTTTGTATCCAAACAATGGTTTGAATTGGTTACAAGGTGACCAAGGTGAGTCGGGTTTACCTGATATTCGAGCACAAGTTGGTTTCATTGCCGAGGATGGACGACACTTTACGGTTAGCGGCTCTGGAACGGATAATGTAAGTGCCTTCAACCGAATTTTCAATTCATTTGGATCGTCTGATCGAATGGTTTCAATCAAATTGATATGAGCCAAATTGAAATTTAGGCAAAATATTTGAGCGAATTGTCGAATAATGGAAAGCCCGGTTCATGGATATTCCGCGTCGGTCATCTTGGGTATGAAAATAGCATTGAAGAACCGAACCAAGCGCAATTCTTTCAACAAGAAGTACAACATCCGAGATCTTGCTCAAGTGGAGGCAAACTGAAATGTCACATTTCAGCCGTTTGTCGTGATACTCGATTGAGTTTTGCTTGTGAATGCAAGCCAGGATTCTATGGAAATGGATACAGTTGCATCAAGAATGATGTGCCATTGCGAGTTGCCGGTCAAGTTACTGGCAAAATTAATGACACACCATTGAAAGCTCAGCTTCAGTCATACGTTGTGCTAAGCGATGGACGAACGTACACGGCAATTAGCCCGTTGGATAGCGCCATTGGCCATAGCACACAATTGGTTTGGGCCTTCGGCTCGGTAATTGGATGGTTGTTTGCAAAGCCACTTGCCAATGATAATGCACCAAATGGATATCAGGTAAGAAGAGATCACTTTTACGCCGGTTCCGGTTCAACCTTAGCATTTTATTATTAAAGTTTAGTACAGTCCAATTGAATTTCATTGATACAAAAAATACATTTTCGGCACACGCACACACAAAAATAGCTCACTGGTGGAAAGTTCAATCAAACAACTACAATTCGTTTTGGCCCAAATACGGATGGATCAAGCAATGAACTCTTGATCGTGCAGCGATTCACCGGCCTTAATGTCTGGGATCAACTTGCTGTTGAAATTGAAGTTAACGGTAACTTACCTGACGTCCCATCAAATGCAGCAATTGTCTTGCCAGACACAAGCGATAGCTACCAATTCGTACAAGAAAATCAGATTCAATCGGCCAGTAGTGGACAAATCACTTTAAATGACAAGAGCATTCCGTACAGCATTAATCAACTGGTAAATTGAAAATATACTATCATTGTTCTCGAAATGCAGCTAACAAAACAAATCAATTCGTTTTTGCTTACAATAAAAAAGATCGACTTTGAGACATTTAGGGAGCAATCAGGTGAACCATTGAATACATACAATACGCAACCGTTCTTTAACAAAGTATCAAAGATTACGGCTCAATATCAAGAAAGAGAATCAGCACTTCGCATTGGAATGATCAACAAAGTTGTGCGTAACTCTGAGATTAATCCGTGCACAGATGGTACGGCCACATGCAATCCAAACTCCGTTTGCGTCCCAGATGCACCGAACGAAAGTTATTTGGTAAGAGAAAAACGTTTGCTTCTAATCGAAAGTTACAGTTTCTAGTAGATAATTTTTGGCCGTTTAACTTGACTTCTTGCTAACAACAACTTTCAGTGCGAATGTAAAAATGGATTCTATTATGATGACACAATTGTGGCTTGTGTTGATATCGATGAGTGTGCAACGAATGCAAATATTTGTGACAAAAATGCCGACTGTTTCAATGAATTGGGCGGCTATGGTTGTCGCTGCCGCGACGGATTTTATGGAAATGGATACACTTGTTATGAACAAGTTGTGCCAGAAACAACCGAAGAACCAGTTCCAACTTCAACCATTGACTCAACACCAAACATTCCTGGATTAGCGCCAGAGCACTGGCTTTGTGATCAATGCTCAGAACACGCCGATTGCATTCAGGGGGTTTGTGTGTGCAAGAACGGATGGAATGGCAATGGAATCGAATGTACTTACAACTGCCAGGATGATTCAGTATGGAACATCGATCGATGTGAACCAATCAGCGCCAATTCAGAAGAGGAAGAAGGTACCTTAATCTACATTTAAAGTTATTACATTTAAAGGTGTCAAACGGACGGACTGTCCGTCCGTCCGTTCAGAGCCCTCTAAATTTAGTTATCCGTCCGTCCGTCCGTTGTTCCCTCAGAAATTTTGTTGTCCATCCGTTCAGCGTTGATCAAACGAAAATTTTCAAGAGCTCTGAACGGACGGACAAGGTGCTTGATGCACACCTTTAATTAAATTTCCCTTTCTTATTTCAACTAATCATTATTCTAATAACATTTGCTGTAAAATCCTTTGATTCATAGCCGAGATTGCTCCATTCTGTCATTCACAAGGCTGCACTTGCTCAACGGGATATGAATTGATCGAAACTGTCGCGCAAAAAACGTGCCGTTTGATTGAAAAAGAAGAGGGAGGCGAGGAAGAAGAAGCCGATAAGTGTACGTAACGGGTTTGCTAGTACAATTTTTCAATTCACCATAGTTATCAATAACTACAATCATTTTCTGATCGATTCCTTCTTGAATAATAAATGATGCTTATGTTATAATGACGAACAATTGTTATATGAATAATTCATTTTATTTAAATTGTTCAGTGCCTTGCGATGTGGAAAATACTTGCCACCGAAATGCCAACTGTGAATGGGTCGAAAGTGAATTGAGTAATAAATGTGTATGCAATCCGGGCTTCGAAGGTGACGGATATGAATGCATTGAACGTGAAATCTCTTGCTTATTTGTACGTACAGTTGGAAGAATAAATCCAAACAGACACATGTAATGGTCGTTCAGAGGTAACATCACATTTTTAACTTGTTTCATTGCAGGAAAATATTTGCGATGTGAACGCCCAATGTTTGTATGACGAGATTGTTGGAAAATCGGTATGTAAGTGCAATAAAAAGTATGAAGGTGATGGTAAAACGTGTCAATTGGCACCAGAGTGTGTATCCGCTGAAGATTGTGTTAAGAATTCAAATTGCTCGGATGGTGTCTGCGTTTGCAACGAAGGATATGAACGTGATATTTCTGATTTGTAAGTAAATCAAAAAATGAATCGTCATTTTGAAATTTTCAACCGAATCACTCAACGATTTAATTTTGTAAAGCTGTGTGCCAGCTGGCTATTGTGGTGGAACTTTCTGTGTTAAGAATGCTGTATGCCTTTGGGATAATGTGCAGGCTGTTCAGTATTGCTCTTGTCCGGAACCATTCGTTGGCGATGGTTTGACCAGCTGTAAATCGGTGCCGCCTCCGTGCAACGTGAAAAATAACTGCGGTTTGAATGCTCAATGTGTACCAACAGACAACAAGACATACGAATGCGCCTGCAATCAAGGCTATTATGGCGATGGTTTCATTTGTATTCTCGAAGTCAATTGCGCCAATACACCGTCATTATGTCATGAACAGGGTCGTTGCATTTCAACCAAATCCGGATATCAATGTGTTTGCAATGCAGGTAAATTTACTTCTCTTTTCTTTGTGATTTTTTAGCCTTCTAATTTTTACCCCCATTCATTTGACTCCGTTTGTCTTCTAATTCGGAAAATTTTGATTTATTCATTGGAAATTGTAGGCTACATTGGAAATGGAACTTGCTGCATTGAACCGGTTCGCCAAGAATCAGCGTTTTTGTTATTGAGTCAAGGAGTTGCAATTGTTAAGATTCCATCCGATGGAAAGCGCGGTTTCCCCATCGCTATGTCAGGCGTAAGGAAATACCATTTTATAATGATGATTGCATTGAAGTGACATTGTTTCAATTGTGATTACAGATGGCTATCGGCATTGATAAGGACTGTTCGACTGGTCGTGTTTACTGGAGTGATATCAGCACAAAGCAAATTTACAGTGCAAAGTACGACGGAACCGATAAAAAGACATTCATCAGTGAAGGTACCCACGACTTCTTCTTTCTACGGTGTTTCTGAACTGAATTTAATATTTTTCACATTCCACTTCATTACAGACATTGTTTCGCCAGAAGGAATTGCCATCGATTGGATTTCAAGACGCATTTATTGGACCGATTCATCGAAGGATACCATTGAAGTAGCTTCTTTGGATGATGCCAAGTCAAGAGCAGTTATTGTTCAAGGCAATTTGGTGAATCCACGTGGTATTGCTGTTGATCCTCAGCAGAAGTATGATCCCATTTCGATGTTTTAAACTTTTCTTTTCAAAATTTTAACTTTTATAGGTTCATTTTTCAACTTCCGTTCATTGCATGATTTTTTTTTCTAAATTTCTTCTGCCATAAATCGTCATTTAGCAAACTCTATTGGGCCGATTGGAATCGTGAGAATCCAAAAATCGAACAATCTGATTTGGACGGAACTAATCGAGTGGTCTTGTTAAGTGCACCGCAAGTAAATTTGCCGAATTCTTTGTCAATTGCATCTCGAACCGGTGAATTGTGTTATGCTGATGCTGGAACACAAAAGGTTGAGTGCATTGAACCGTATCGTCGCTCGATACGAACGGTTGCCACCAATTTGCAGTACCCATTTGGTCTCGCCGTCACAACCGATCGCTTGTACTGGACTGATTGGACGACGTAAGTGTATTTAAAACATTGAAATTGAAGCAAAATTCTAACTAGAAATTCATTTCTAGTAAAAAGATTGAGAGCAGCGATGAGCATGGCAACCGACATGCCAGCATTGCAAATCCATTGTTTGGAAGTCACAAGATGTACGGCGTTGCTGCTGTGACAAGTGACTGCCCGCTGTACTTCAGTCAGTGTCAAATCAACAATGGCGATTGCCCATCGGACAGTATTTGTTTGTTGAATCCAAGAGCTCCATCGGGGCGATTCTGCAAACCAATCAGCACTCAATGAAACAATGACAAATACAAACATTAAATCTTACCCATTTCAATAACAGCACACAGGAATACATTTATTTTTCTATACATACACTTAATTGGATACATAAAAATGAATGAGAGTTTATGGTTTTTTTTTTCTGAAATAAAACATCAATTAAATCAATCACATTTGGTTTACAGACAATATTTATTTCCAAAGAGTTGATTGCTTATTACCTAGGAAATTGGCTAATTGGATGAGTTCAATTATTCGGAGCTGAAAACTTAGAGCAGTCTTAAATTGACCAAACCGATTGGCTTCATCACAATCACAAACTAAAAACGTGAAGCAAATCGTTTTTGACATTATTTCCGTTTTTTATTACCACAATTCCGTTTTATCCGGATATAAAACTTTTAACAATTTGTCGAAAGTTGATTTTTTAAAATATTTTGTGAATATCCGAAATTAGATTCCTTGCTTGGGTTTCGTCCTATCATTTTCTCTTTTTTTCTTTAATATTTAATTAACAATTTCAATGATTTTCTTCCTCTTTTCTTCTCTAGAAAAGAACAATTTTCATCTGTTTCAACACTTTAATTGAAAAAAAATTTTGCGTTGAATTTTCTAAGCTCGATCGTGTTCAAATAAGACACCAATTGCCAATTAAGTTGTCGTCGAGAGTCTATCGACTTTGATTGCACCAATTTAATGCTCAAATTTCAAAGCGAAATCCGAGAGTGTTTTTGTTGTTGTTGTATTTTGTCTTGTTATGGCTAGGTTTTTGGATTTTTTTTAAAATCTAAATGCGTGTATATCGTTAAAATTGTTATTCAACATTGTTTGAAATTTGTAGATATTTTTGTACCCTGTGGTATATATAATAATAGTAATTGTACATAATTATTTCTAGTAAGCAAGTGCACTAGACTTCGTTGTGAAAGGTTTTTTTTGTGTTGTTTTGCTGGATAAAAATTATGAACCAGCTCACATATTTTGTATATGAATGAGATATAGTGTGTATGTGTGTGTGTACGTGTATGAATGTGTAATCATGTGAATTTAGAGAGATTCATAACGTTTCGAATCAGTAGCATAGAGAACAAGCATTAACATTTTGAATTGACATCTATCTAAACTAACTAAGTGTACAACAAATTATCGCTTCGTTCAAAATCGAATCGCACTACAAATATCCTCGCCATTTTCAGCGATTCGATCATGAATGATTTGCAAAAGCTGCGTGAAATTGGGTCGCTCTTTTGGATTGCTGCGCCAACAGGATAACAGCAATGAATCGTAAATGTGTTCGGGACAAAGATTTGGTCGTGCCAATCTGAAATTTTAAAATCAATAACACATTTCATTGTTTGAACATCAAACGAATTCGCAGAAGAAAAATCGAAAGTCATTCTTACCGTTGGCCATTTTCAAGCCTTGTCAACAGCTCTTCAGCTTGGAGATCCTTTCCAGGTACTAAGTTCGGTTCATGCCCTCGTGAGAACATTTCAAACAGTGTCACACCGTATGACCACACATCCGATGAATACGAGTATTTGTTGCTTTTAAGCACCTCCGGCGCATACCTAACACACAATATAGAGAAATGTATTAGAAACCATGAGCAAGTTCAATCTGACGAACCATCGAATTTTCCTTACCATTTTATCGGTATCGCACGTTCACTCTGAGCAATGTAGTAGCCATTTGAGTCCGCCACTTGAGCCAATCCAAAGTCGGATATTTTGACGCATTCCTCGCTATCGACGAGAATATTCCTTGCTGCCAAATCACGATGTACAATCTTTTTGCTCACTAAATACTCCATCCCGCTGGCGATATCTTTGGCAAACTTGAGCAATCGTTGCGTGGTAAGCAATGGACTTTGCGAACTCAAATACATTAGAAATGAACGATGCCGTACATATTCCATTACAATTAAAATCTGCGGATTATCGATCCATGTGATGATTTTGACTATATTTGGATGCTTTAAATTTTGCATGATTTTAATTTCACGCTCAAAATCTCTTAAAACATTCGTCTCAGGTATGGCTTTCAATCGCTTGATCGCCACTTGTGTAACGCATTCGTTATTCAATTCGTTTTCATACTGCCCACGGTATACACTGCCATAGTGACCATCGCCGATTTTCCCTTGATAGATTAACTTTCCACCGTCGTCCAATTCGATTATTGATTGGGAATAGTCATGCAGCGTCGGACACTCGGACATTATCGTTCGTTCCGACTGCGAATCAGATATCAATGGTGTGATTTCATTTGTGTAACCATTTGAACTTTCACTGATTGTTTCAATCGATGAACCCGATGACAAGTTACTCATTCGATCAGGTGATTCCGTTCCATTTGACATACCGATGTGAGTCTCCTCTGGAATTTTGGCAAAGCAAACCAAATTATTCGGGTGGAATTCATTTTGCAAAATTCGAATTTCAAATGTCATTACTCACCAGTTCTAGTTGAATGTATACTTCCTATTGTTGAATGATTATCGTCTCGTACGAAGGGATGTAATGTTTGGTATCGATGCACATTTTGTCTTTCACCTTTGTGAAAAGATGAAATTCGAATATTTAGTTGAATGGGTAAAATTCTTCAATATTCTGACAATTATGATAACCACTTGACGCTATTCAACTTCAACTTACGTGCAATGATTAATTTGGAAAAAACGGCTTGTGGTGAAAATCGTTTATCGGGAGTCTCATGCCAACCTTCTCTCATGATATCGTACATATCTTCCGGACAGTCTCGAGGCCGTTGCAGTTTCCGTTTCGATGCATAGAATTCTCTTAATGTTGGTGTTCGTCCATGCGAAAATATTTCCCACAATGTTGTTGCGTATGCCCAAATCTCAGCCGTGAAATCCATTTTGGCTTGCTCCATATTCTGATGGTACTCGAATGGGATCCATGGGAGGCTAATTCGAAAAAAGAGCATAATTAATTTTATAAGAGTTTCTTGTGCATGTGGACATACTAGCTAATTACCAAATTTTCAAAGCATTCAATGTTTTAACCCAAAAATCACTTACTCATCGTTTGTGTATGATTTTCTGAATCCCGGGTCACCCAATCGAACCACCAAGTTGTCTTCATCATACCGCGCAACACGCAATGATGCACATCGAATGCGACCATGAATTATGTTGTTTTCTTGCAAATAATGAAGCGCACGGGCCAGTGTTAGAGATGCTTCAATTAGATTTTTCGCCGATACAAGAGGGTGTTGGCGTTGCAGGAATTCATCAAGTGATCCAAGCCGCGTCGATTCCATCACAAGTGTGTACGGCGACGTCAATGTGAAACCATACATTTTGATAAGCTCCGGTGAAAACAAATTGCTCCATTTTTCCGCCAAACGCAAAAACTCCTTTTAATGGATCGGAACAAAATTACTTATAATTTCTTGAAAATGTGGCGCATTTTTTCTGAAGTGCTTACCGTTAAGTGTTTCTCCGAATTCAAGATTTTCAATGTCACATCCAGTTTTTTGTCTTCGGGCAATATCCATTCAGCCCGTATTTGCGTAATTATGCCATTCTCAATGACTTTCTGCGAATCTGCGATTGGGAGTGAGAAAAAAAGACGAAATCAATTTGTTTTTTTTCTCTTCTGCACTTGAGAATGATGATAATTTGTGTAAAGGTCTTACTCTGATACTTTCGAAAGTCTTTGATCGGATCAAACAATTGTGCACGTTTCTTCCGCAGTTCATTCTCGCTATGCTCGTTAATTGATTGTTTTGCTGTGACTTGATATGGTGGCTGACATAGAAGTAGCGATGTTGATTTATCTGCAAACATACGGATTAGTTTTTGTTTGTTATTCATTTAGTTTTGCTGCGATTTAGTTCGGAGTGAAATATTACCGTATTCGGATGGTGCTAGACGGAACTTTTGTTTTGATTGTGTTTTTATGCTTTTCGCTAATTCGGTGAGATTGTTGAATGTTTTGATGGTCCCTTCATGCGAATGTAAATGCCACATGTCATATTTTTGAGTAATTTGCAACGTTTCAATGGTATTTCTGAAAACAGATTACAATTGAAATGTTTGGAAAACAATTTCTGATCCTCTTATCCCAAACTTGAATACAATTCGGAATCAGCGATGTAAATGGTAACGCAGGCAAAGTGTTTAAGATAAGAACGATAAACTGTCTACACAACTTCAGACAGAAATCTATTTGTCCTAATCTTTTAGCTGAAAATCTGTTAGCTGAATCAATGTAAATCTTCTTATCAACCATTCATTATTGAGTGTAATCAATACTTGATCCAGATAAATGATTCTCGGAAATCGCCCAAATTTTTTTATTTTGCCCATATGAAACAATCGTCCTCTTGCAAATGTTTATTCAACAAGTAATTATTTAATCGATAGTATATTGAGAATTCAAGCTCAATCTTATGTGCAGTCAATTCGCGTATTATCATTTTTCCTCTTCTCCATTCTAGTTAAATTTCCATTTGTTTTGATGTCTAGCTCAATCAACTTACGGTTTAACGACGATATCGATGTAGTAATTCTCATAAATTTTTTCACATTGGCGAATGACATAGGATCCAGATGTGCATTGTCGATTTTGGAGTTTTGTGTAGGAATATTCACCCCCGATTGGCCCATGACATTTTAAATCTCGCAGCGTTTGCAATGTTGGCGAATACAGCTCTCGACACAGATCTACAGTCCATTTTACCATCAACCTGAAGTAATGAATGAAAACCCAAATTAAATTCCAAAATTATTTATTCTAATGAAAATCATGTTGAACAGCATTCAACGTTCTTGAACAGATGGAAAAACATGCTCTTAAAAATGATTAAATCTCCTTACCTATAATACGTAGCTAAACAGCTAACGAAAGATTCTCGATTCAGATGATCATTGATGAGAATGGAAAAGCCAGCTGGACAGTCTCGTATCTCTAATTTAATCACTTGCCGATCGATGATAATTGCAAAAATGTCATCAATTTTGGCCACATGCTTCCAAGCTTTCTTATATGGATAGTACACACTCAGGCCGGGTCGTTCGGAATGGAAGGGCAAAAATTCAATATCAACGGTACAGGTTCCGTCGAGGAAGTTGTCTTCCGGTAAGTATGGCACAATACCCGAATATTTCTCCATTAAGTAGTGTGGGACTAAAGTGTTTATCGATTCCAAGTACGTACTCTTGACATAGCTAATGATAAAAGAAGAAAACGAACGAACGAACGAATAAACAAAGTCAACGAACGTCAATGAAAAGTTGCCACAGATTTTCACTTAAAACCATCTGAATTGAAACGTTTGATATAGGCGAGTTAAAATGATCAAACAATTTTTGAAATAGAATTAAGTTGAAGCGAAAAACTACCATATTAAAGAATTTGACAAGCAACCAATTACTCACTAAGAGTCGTGATCCATATTCTTAATGTTCCTCAGTTCCTTTGAGATGGTTTGCCGGATGAAAAGGCGATGCTTTTGGATGTGTTTCTTCGGCAAGTAATTTTCGTAATGCTTTTCAAGCTCATCAACCGAAATGCCACGTTCCAGCATTTCGATGTACATGCTCGTAACCGCCAATCCGACCACTTTTTCTTTGTGACGTGGGTATTTTAGCTCCGGAACGGCATCATTAATCAGATCATATTTCACTTGATGAAAGTAATAATTGTACGCGATTTTATCGATTTTCTTGAATTCCGCCAATTTTGGCACTTGATGTCGTAGTCGGAATTCATACTTTTCATTCGCTTGTACTGGTCGACATCCGGGCAAAAAATTTGTAGTACCTTTGATGCGCAACGAAAACAACAGATTCGATATTGGCTTAATGTCCAGATCTTTACACAATTCCCGGCACACCGCTTCGCACGTATCATCCACACCGAATGTCATATCACGATATTCGCGGTTCGTGTAGAGCAACACCGAAAATGTTTGCAACGTCATTGCAGTGCTGTTGTTTCGTTTGCGTCTTACCAGCTTATCACTTGGGCTGACGCGTGGGCGAAAATATTGCCCGCGGATTGTATCTAATTGAAATTTATTCGTTTTGCCTGCTGCAAATTGCAAACCGTTGGTCGTTGTCTATCAGCTAATGCTTATCTTCTAAACGATGTGATGTGGTCCCCTTGAGGTTTGAACACAAACAGAAGACATGCATTCAATGCAAACACGGTCATCTACATTGGGAAATTAGAAGTGGGAAAACAAAACATGAATAAACACATAATACCTTCTAAGTATTCGCTCGTTGATGGAATTAAATGTTAATTTGTATACTATGAATCTGATGGTAATCATGCAAAAACAGTTAGTTTCGGTGAAATGTAGAAAGTAGAAGAAAAAACCCACAAACACATTGTTTTTTCAATCAAGTGGGATTGCGAAGTATTTTCACTTGGATGATTCAAGCAATTTGATAGAATTGCATTAAATTGTCAATAATTGACGCATGGTTATGTTATGATGAGTTTACGAGGCGCAAACCCAATTGTGTAGAATTGTGCATTTTAGACAAATGAGTCCCCCTCCAGCCGGGTTCTAAAGCCCAATAACATTGTCGATTTACGTATACGTTTAATTGGTATTACCAATCGTTAGTTGCGTTTGTGATGTATACTAAATTATAAATCATTTTCCGCGGAAAATTTTCAGTTTCTAAGGAATTTTCATGCACATCGCCGCGAATTATCCATCGTTCGGCGTAAACAAACCGAATGATGCAACTATTTCCATTTTCAATGGGGAGCAATGCTTTGATATAGTTATAAAGCATACAGCGTGTGTATTTTTTGTGAATATTTGATGACTTTCAAAGTACCGCACACAAAGTGGAAATTGTAAATTGCCGTCGAAATGACTGCGAGCAATCTTGGCCGAGGCACGTTTAGAAATGTAAGTCTAAAAATAGACACGGACTTTTTTTTCGGAGAATTTCCCGTGAATTTCGCGAGAAAATATGGCCAGTCTGTTGTAAATTTATTATCGGTGGGCAAACAACACACACACACACACCCGCGACAATCATTTTCTGCGTTACATTTGTTATTCAATTCGACCAGCGAAAAGAAGAAGAAGAAGCAAAAAACACAACACAAAACACATTCTGATTGTGCTCAATATTCAATTCGGAATATTTATTGACACATTTTGAATATCCGCGAATTATTTAAAATGAGCAAACACACTAAACTGGCCCATTTGAATTGCAATGAAAAATTCATCACTTTTTACCTCGGTTCATTAACGTTGCATTTTTGATGTTTCCGTCGTACATGTATATATATATTCCACACGAAATGCGCGTTTCAATTGAACACAGGAGTTCTCTGGAAACACGATTTTCTCTCTGGCTGGTTGTCGCTGCTTTTACCAACAAGTAATGTACCACCGTTTATTTACGCTTGAGACGATTGAAATTATATATTAGTAAATTTTTCTCTTGATTGACCTTCCTTGTGAATGCCGTCGTTTATGTTTGTTATTCAATTTCACGAAAATAAATCGTCCATCTTTTATTTTTGTATGTTATCGCGGATTTGGTTTCTTTTTTTTTTGATTTCTTCTTTTTTACTCTATCTCGTTCAAGCTGTTGCTGCTGTTGTTGTGTGTTTGAGACAAGACAAGTAAGTAATAGCGAGAGTTGTGTGTTTCTTCTTGCACTGACACTGAATTGAAAATGTAGCTATTTACTGTCAACATTCACATACAGCACACACAATTGAAGCAACAGCAACAGCTTTGTTTGCTTTGTATATTTACATCTCTTTTCCGCTACCGACGACCCGCATTCTACGGAACGATAGTTTACACACGGAGAGTGTGCTCTGTGCTCACTGACATTTGTGTAGGTGTGCCATCCACACACACACACACAGACATATATATACACACAGTGCATGTATTTGCTCAGGTGAGACGTACATTATTATGAATTGCTGACATTCAGCACATTGTTTCAGGCAAGTGTCAAAGACACCAAAATGCTCTACAATTCAAAAAAAAGTTTAACATTTCCTTATTTGTTATTCGTATGTGCTCAAATGAAACGCTGAATTCTTTGTTTTTTTCTTCATTTCTTTCATTTCGTTTTCTTAATTTATTCATTGAACAATTTTTTCCAGGAAAAAGTTTACTTTTTTGCTGATGACGTCTATTGAATGATAAGAATGGTTGTTTTTTTTGCTTCTTCTTTTCATATGAAATTTAGAGATGGAGATGGGCACAAACGGCTGGAATTTGCTCAGATATTTGTTTTATCTCTCTGCACAGCACCTTACTGAATTCGAATAGTGAACGCTCCTGCTTCTCGTGATCGTATTGCTGAAAAGATAAATGAAATGTATCAACAACATACATGACCTTCGGCTAGAATTCGAAAGTGGATTCGCGAATCTTACGTGATTGTATATGATTGTTGGCACAAATGACAACATTTCTCGTGGTGAAGCCAATTGCTTTGTTTTTACTTCAGCATCTAACTGCAATCTCGTTCCTAACTCGCTTGTGTAACACTCCAAAATTTCTTCATACGGCAATCGCGCTTGTTCCGAACACTATTCGAACAAAGACAAGAACAGTGATTGTTAGTGGGAAAAGCACATTTAGTCATTATACGTCAGTCTCTATGCCAGGGCTATATTAATTTTTACCAAGTCGCTACCCTCCACTCCGTAGCTCATTTGGCATGTAACGAATTCAACTTGTTCCGCTTGTGTTTGTGATGCACGCAAACCGCACGAATGGATTTTATTCCCTGCACACTCATCTGGACCATGTTGACAAGTGAAGCCAATTCCGTTACCTTGAGCGAAACTCTGGGAGAAGAGAAGTTAGAAAGAAATCCATATTAGACGAAATGAAAAAGTTTTCATAAAAGATTACGAAAGTATGTATTGAAAAGATATTAAACGATTTTCAAATCCAAAAAGACGCTTTGATTTTCAACCTATGAATTTTTGATTCTTCAAAAAGAAATCCAATTTTTCGTTATTGGAGTGTGTTCAAATTGATTTAATAGAAATTTAAAAACAAAAACCCGATTTTTAATTGGGACCTTTTTCTCTCAACAGCAAACATTTTGAAACTAGTAAAAATTGTGTGTTTTATTAATAACGAAACAAGTTTTTTTTTTTCGAGAAAATTCTTCATTCAATTAATGTCAATGGAGAAACTGAAAACCGCTTTTAGACCAGACCAAACGCACCTTTGATTTGCCGAACGGAATGAATTCAATGTCTATAAATGGAGCGAAATTGTTATAGTTCGGCTCCAATTGATTTTTTATGAAGCGAATACTGTCTGGGCACAATGATTCGTAGAAAACTGTGACATGCACCTGAAACAGAGCAAAAAGAATAAGAAAATCCGTCAAGGGAAACATTAAAACTCTGGTAAAACTCGAATATAAATATCACATCATTGCATCACCTTGTTTTGAGCAAAAACATTGGGCGCAAATAAGAATATAGCATAAACGATAAAAACTGTTTGTTTCATTGCACTGAAATGTAATCACACACCAAACTCAAGAAAGAAAAAAAAAATCACTAAAGTCACATGCAAACGACGGCACTTTATGGATCAGCTGAAATCAGCAAAATGAAGTTCAGCCAACGAGCGAAAAAAATTTCAACTGAACAAAATCAATTCGGCTCTAATGAACTCGTAATGATAGTTTTGGTTTATGAGGAAAAATCGGAATCACCTGTAAGTATCGATTCCGTGCGTACGAATGAGGTGTAGTTCAACAAGCGTTTAAAAGCATTGGTCGTTTAATACATTTGTTTATAATACGCACAGCATTGAAATTGTATCTCCCACCATTTCCACCTTTTACTCGTTCGTGGCGCTCGAAAACGAGTTTTTTTGTCGCTTTAATAGCGAATTCAATAACCTTATGTCTGGTCGAACAGCTTTGGCGAATTACCAATCAAAAAAACAATTGGTCATAAACCGTTCATTTGCCTGGAGAGCAATGTAAATAAATGAGGCTTCATCGATAAGATACCATAATTCAGATAAACGCAAGAGACATTGAATCGCCAACAACGCACAATTTTCAATTGCATTTCGATCAGGTGATTTTTCAAAATTTTTATTTACTGTTTTTCGAAAATTATTTTCTGTCATTATGGATTTTAATTTTTTTTTCGCGTAGTCACCAATGATAATTGGCAAAGTCAACACGAGCAACACATTTTATTTGTTTGTTAAAATTTCTCTAGTTTGCGCATTTCCAAAGTGTTTACCTAAGAAAATCGCTTACGTTGATAGATTCGCGTGTCTTTGCAGTTTTGATTGAAATATGAACAAGTGGTTTTCAAATTAGCAATCACCGCACCGCACTATCAAAGTTATGTTACTCATAATAATGAAAGACCCTTCATTAAATCAAATCTTGGGTCAGGGTCTTGATGATTCAATGTTGTTTATTCTTACTTCCATTTTGACGTGTATGAAAAAAAAAATCTTCCTGTCCGAATCGGATTTAAATTAATCTAGTTCACATGCGTGTTTTTGTGCCGATAACACCTATCTCATTAATCAAAATATTGCATGATCATCATGAAAATTGTGATTCATCTCTTTCTTCGCTGGTGATACGAAGTTGATATTGAAGTAAATAAATAGATTGCCAGTCTCACGAATCCGATCAGTTTTCACCACGAGCTGTCCAGACTCTCGACAAATAGTTTTTGAACATTCCAAATCACAGTCAACATGGCACCAATCGCTACTTTGAGCTGCAAAGAATCATTCACCATCTCACACTATCTCAACAGGTATGTTCGATGCATACAAGCCATTAAAAGGTAACATACGTAATTTAAACTGTTTTTTTTCTCTTCTTATTTGTAGCCCGCTCTTAAGCAATACTGCCAATAAGAGAGTGTACGGGGAATGTAACAATCCAGCTGTGCATTCGCATGAATATACAGTTGAGGTGATCACCCGTGGCACAGTTGACACTAGCATTGGCACGGTTATGAGCCTATCTGATCTCAAATCTCTTCTTAAATCAACCGTTGCCAATAAATTGCACGGCAGAAATCTTGACTATGAAATCAACTTCTTTAGAACAGTAGTAAGTAGAAACATGAAATGAATTGGTTTTTTTCTGCTTCCTCTCGTTGAAATATAACTGACACATGACGAAATTATGCGAAGGAAAACCTGAAATATGGTTATTCTATGCATAAATTTCAATAGTTTAGTTCCATGAAATTACGATTTTTAGTTCGCCAACATCAAATGACATAGAAATTCTATGCAATTTAGTAAAACATTCTTTTTTTCTTTCAGCCAAGCACCATGGAAAATCTGGCAATATTCATTTGGCAATCGATGAAGCAAGATTTGGACGAACCCGAATTGCTGTACGAGGTAAAGTTGACCGATAACGAGCAAAACTGTGTGGTTTACAATGGAAGTGGTGGCTATGTTCAGCGAAAAGGTCAAACTCTGCTAACATCTGACACAGATTAATCGAAACCATTTAAAATCGCTCTTGATAAGCGATTGAAATTGGTTAAATTAGAAAAAAAAACTTTGAAATGTATTTGCAAGTGAAAACCAGGCACGTAGCAAATGTTACACCCATCATAATTTCGAAGATGACCGATAAGGGCGCTTATGCAATCACTGTTTGCATATTTTATTTTGTTCAAAATAAATTGGTTGGAAGAATGTAACAAAAACAACGGGAAAAATGTAATCTAACAACGTTTTTATCAATTTGAATAAATAAATGGATGAGAAATCATAAATAATTTGTTTTTAAAACTCCTTTCTTCTTCATCGAAAATTCAGAATATTTGAATCGAATTTGAAAATTGATAAAAAGATTGAACTGAAACTATTCGTTGCTATTTGAATGAGTTTAAGTAGATGGCTTAAGTATTCAGCCACACTAATTTCATAAAAGAAAATAGAATTTCTTAGCTATTCGAATGAAATCACTAGATATTTCCAACGTTTGAGTACTCAGCAATGCTGTTGCTGTGTGTTGTTCCAATGGAAGAAATGTCAATATTTGTATGACACTTGGAATGATTTCCCGCTCAACAAATTCGTGGAATTCTGAATAAAATGCGTATATCCATCAATTCAAGCATTAAACATTGGTAGTTTTGGGAAAGTTTTGAATTTTATTTAAAACCACCAATTTATTTGTCGAAAAATAGAGGAAAAATCCAATTTAAAAATATTCCTTCTGCTTTGGCAAAATAAATTTCAAACCGAATTTTTAATTCAAACAAGTATCGATGGTGTGCTGAATGGCGCTGTCAGTGGCTTCTAAATCATTGATATGACGTTCAGTGAAGAAATAAAGATGGCATCCATTTGATGTACACTAGCATTAAATAGGATTTTTGTTTGAATTTTCTTTCACAATCTCTCTCAATCGAAACGATTTGTATTATTAGTATTAATTTATTTCAATTTAAGATAGAAGAAAAGAGAAAAAAAAAGAAAAACAGAACAAAAAAACGAGTCGATTCGTATTTAGACGTAAATATCGTTTGGGCAGCAGCTAACGAATAGAGAATATATATTTTTTTGTTGGAAAGTGCATTGCACATCGTAAATAGTGAGCCCCGCATTTGTAGAATAGAAGCGAAATAAATGTATTCGAATTAGACAAAGTGAAGAAATTGGCTATTGCATTTTTTGCGTCATGATTGTACAAGAGCCCGTGCAGGTAAATGAACAATTGCAATAATTGTGTGTGTTTGTGTGTGCATTTGTATGCAAGTGATTTTGTCGTATGGTTGCGATGACGATGACGATGGCGACAAATCGATGTTTGTCTAGAGAAATATATTCGCGACATTTTCCATTGAACACCTTTGTTTTATAAATAAATATGGTAAATATTGCAGGCGGCCATCTGGCATTGTTTGAATAATTATGCTTTTCAAGACGCAATCTTCCTAGCGGAACGCCTATGTGCTGAAAGTAAGTTAAAGGCCATTCGATAAATAATATACAAGTCTTGATTAACTGCATTTTTTCCATCTTTTTTTTTCTGTTTCTCTCAACTATACTTTGCATGACCTTTTTTAGTCGAAACAGATGAAAGCATTTTTACATTGGCTACTTGTTATTATCGATCAAATCAAGTTCATCAAGCGTTTTGGCTGCTCAATACAAAGGATACCAAAGCTGCAAAATGTAGATATTTATATGCAAAATGTGCATTCGACTTGAAAAAGTGAGTACATGGCCATTGTTCATTGTTTATTCGTGTGTGTTATGATTTACGTCACTGCTACGCCATGGAGCAAAATTGAATCGGAATCAGGGCACAATATGATTCATTGAAATGTCACTTGAAATATTCCTTATATATTTTTTCTGTCAAATTTTACACGAAAACTCATTTTCCATGTGATTTTTTCTCTGCTTTTAGGTACAACATTGTCGAGGTCGCTTTGACACATAATACTTATGTGGAAGTGGACCATTTGGATCGCATCGTCGACGAATTTGGTGAAATTGCTTGCTTTGCGCTACAGCTGCTGGCAAAATTATGTTCGGTTACGGATCGTCATGAAATTGCGGCTGAAGCTAACCGACGTGCACTTAAATTGAATCCATTTCTGTGGACACCATTCGCTAGTCTGTGCAATCATGGTCACAAGCCAGTGCCCAGTGAAATCTACAAATTTGATAATATCGAGACGTTTTCAACGTGTCAGGAGAATTTCAATTGGAACAGTTCGTTTATATTTCTTGGTGCGGCGGACACATCGACCGATGCCAGTCTCTCGGAATCCGACGAACTGAGTCGATCGTACAGTATTTATACGACACCGATCATGGATCAAAATGCCATAAATGCAAATGACCGATTCATCACTAGTTCACTGAATACATCGTGCACGACGACAATTGGCAATGTGACTGGATGTGAAAATCTGAACGATAGTGCACTGGTTGGTGCGACACCGTTTCGACGACAATTTAGATATTTATCGAATATTAGTCCGACGACACCGAGTTTTGGCTGGTTGCCGGCGAATAGCCCAGTTGAAAATAACAGCAGTAGAAATAATAAAATGATGTCGCCGACGTTCCAGCAACAGCAAATGCTCTCCGAAACCAACGAACAAAACAAACATAATCGAAAAAATCTGCGAAGTAATGTTACGAATTCGGCCAATCGAAAAGAGGCTCCGCTACAAATAAGTAAGCCAGTTTTTACACAGACTGGTAACACAACGCCACGAACGCAAAACACACTGGGCGGACAAAATGTTCGACGCAGTTCACGTTTGTTCACCAGCAATTCGGTCAAAGAGAACAGTAAAAATCCGTTGGGTAATAAATTTGCGGCACCGCGATCACCGCCACGCAAAAACAAGCAGCGACTCACCACAAAAATGAATCTATCCAATTCAGCACTGAACGAAATCAACACGGAAAAGCCACCGAAGCAAATATCCGATTTGGATAAAGAGAAAATCGAAACCATCACATCGACGGGCAATATCATGAATACGAAAACGGTGAACAATTCACAGAATGTGGCCAAGCAAATTTTGACGCTGAGAAAACAAAGTGCCGAAGGTTTGATGTCACTGATGCGAACATTGGCCGATGGCTACCTGCAACTGTCACAATTTAACTCGGACGAAGCGATAGAGGCATTCAACAGCATTCCGAAACATCATGTGGTGGCCACTTGGGTGCAATGCATGATTGCCAAATCATATTACGAGAAACGTGAATACGAAACGGCTTCGAAGTTATTTTTGGAAATTCATCGAAAAGAACCGCATCGCATACAGATGATGGAGATTTACAGTACCGTTTTGTGGCATTTGCAGCGTGAAGTGCAATTGTCAGCATTGGCACAAGATCTAAAAGCACAAGATTATCAGTCACCAATCACGTGGTGTGTGCTGGGCAATTGTTTTTCATTGCAAAAAGAACACGAATCGGCCATCAAATGTTTCGAACGTGCCGTTCAAGTGGACTCCGACTTTGCCTACAGTTATACACTTCTCGGCCACGAGCTCATCATCACTGAAGAACTGGACAAAGCAATGTCCTGCTTTCGTACGGCTATACTCAAAGATCCACGACACTATAACGCATGGTATGGCATTGCTTCCATTTATTCGAAACAGGAGCGATTCAGTTTGGCCGAATTCCACTATAAACAAGCGCTAAAAATCAATCCCAAGTGCTCGGTCATCATGGTGCACATCGGTGTGATGCAATTCAATCTAAACAAACCGGAACTGGCACTGCAAACAATGAACGCGGCCATTGCACTCGATCCAAAGAATCCACTGAGTAAATTCCATCGTGGTTCAATGTACTTCCAATGCGGACGCTATCAGGACGCGCTCAAAGAGCTGGAGCAATTGAAGCAAATTGTGCCAAAGGAATCGGTGGTATTTTATATAATAGGTAAAATCCATAAGAAACTAGGCAATGTTGATTTGGCGCTGATGAATTTTAGCTGGGCCACCGATTTGGACCCGAAGGGTGCCAACAATCAGGTGAAAGACGCATTCGATCCAAATCCAAACAACACAAATATGCCATTGAATGTAACGCAAGATGCACAAGAAGCTGCTTCCGACCGGAGTGACGACTCAACGCAGCTGCGAGGTGGCGAAGATGGTGATGCCGAAGAATCAAGTCTATTAAGTGATAGTTTTTAGAATAAACAATTTTCAAATTTTCTTCCCCTACCTTCTCACCACAACTCCCTATACACACACACCCACACAAATCAACCTAAACAAAATTAAGCAAGCAGACACACAAAAATTGTAATACACAATAGCTTGGAAGTGAATGTTGATTGGCGAGTTATAATCATTTCGCTTTTCTTGTTCTGCACATACAAAACCAAAACGCTGAAACTGAATGTAAATGAATCAATCAAACGATAATAATGTAATAGAAATAAGCACGAAATTGAAACAAGAAAAAAAAAATCGATGAAACGAACGATGATTATCAAAAGAGAGAGAGAGAGAGAAATAACATTTGGGTGGAAAATCCAGAGACAAAAAGGTACGCTTAGTTCACAACAAAAGAAGATGATGAAAATGTAATAGCAACAACAACAACAGAAAAAAAACTAAACAAATCGAACGTAGAACAAATATTTACGGTGAAATTTGAAAAATTTCATGGACTTTATAATAAATTGAAGAAAACAAAAACATTGTAAATGTGATTCAGAACTCTCACTTCAAGTACACTTGCAAGAAAAAAAAATAGAAATTAAGAATGAATTTTGTTCCTCTGTTGTTTTTTCTAAGTGGATTTTTTTTCTTTCTTTCAAAAGACTTTATTGTTTGCATTCGAATTTCGTTCAGCGGACAGATTCAGAGCGGAAATGTAAAAATAGAATCAAATGAAAATGGAAAAAATATATCGAGAACTACAATTTAAATACTTACAAAACTGCCCACACTGTGTTTCATTCAATCAATATTTGGCTTGTTTCAGGACGTTTTTTTTCTACTGAATTTTACATGAAAATACATTGGTTTAATCATTGTTTATGGGTTTATTTGAATTTTGATCTTATTGGCATTGGTATAAGTAAAACATTAATAACTTACATCATAGACAAGTTTGAATTTGGTTTTTTCTGGTTCGTATTTACAAAGAAGACATGAAATTCTTTTAACCACAATAGGTATTTCATTTTTTTTTGTGATACGGTCTCGACTATGTATGTTGTTTTGGTGAAACTTCACCACTTCCAATTCCAGTGAGCCGGAACTGGAGGCTCAGGAACGGTTTCAAGAGGCCGTACCACACAAATTGAACAATCATTTACTATTCATAAGTACTTTTTTTTTAGATATATCTGTTTGACGATGTGAACATATTTCTTCATCTTCATTAGACTCAATATGAAAATCAACAATTAATTACTCTCGAAATGTTGAACGAATCTTTACTTGGGATAAAAAAAAGAACGAAAACCTATATAAAATGATAAAATCAATGGATGAATAACAACGACAAAAATATCTATGCTTATAGGCATGCATACATAAAGTGTGCCTGGTGTTTTCAAGTTTTCTTCTACGATGTAACGTCTTGAATCGACGTGCTTTCTTTATGCGTAACCCGTAAATTTTGAACATTTTTTTTTAAATTTTCATTTATTCGTTTTCCTCTTTCGTTTAACGTAACAAAATTGTGTTTGGTTTGTTGTAAATTCATCCGCATTTGTCTAATGTGTCAATAAAAATACTTGTATGGTGTTAACTAGTTTTGGTACGATTATCATTTTGTCGAGAATAACATTCAAATGGTGATCTGATGACGAGTGGAATCTCTTGATATTTTCAATGTTTATTTGCTTATATCAATCTAAAACAAATCACTATAATAAAATGTCTTTCTTTTGCTTATTTGACTGCAACATCATCTACATTCGTGTTTCATGGAAATTGTATTCGCTCTCTCTCTCTTTGTTCTAGTTTGGCAACACCATTTTTCTTTGACATTGGTACGAGTTTAAAAAGCACGCCATTTAACCCATTAACGCCCAAGCAAAAAAAAAAAGTCGGATTTTTTGATTAAATTTGGACAGGATAATTCTGAGAGCCCAAATATGATTTTCCCAAAGTTTCAGAATTTTCCGACACGTTTTAAATTTTCATAATTTTCCGGAAAACTGCTGGTTGGAAAATCTTGAAAATCGGTGAAAATATTCTTCAAACCTTTCCTAACACACATGCAAAAGGGCATGAAAAAATTCCAAGCCGTTTGATCAGAATAAAGGAAAATGTAAAATAAGTCATTAAAAAATCGTCAATTTTTGCGTCCTAAAAATAGGACGTTGGGCGTTAATGGGTTAATAAAGCAATATCCACGCATTTGCATGGAGTATCCAGCTATTCCTACTGTTTGAATGCAAAGAAGCCAGTCGGTTCCCATTCATTCGATTCCGATGGCCCGAAGCTCTCGTCCAAGAACCAATCGATCGTTTTGTATAAATGCCACTCAGCTCCTTTCATGTAGTGATCTTCATTGGTGTAAATCTGAATTGAAAAGAAGATGAGATTTTACGATAATAACACAGATCTTGAAATTCATTCTTCAGAAATTCGATTCATTCCCACGAGGATTGGATTAAATCGAAAAATAAATGTGAATTACTGACCTGATGTCTAAAACCGATTGCTTGATCAGTTAGTGCCTTAGTAAGTACCAACGAATGCTGTTGATGTATCAATGTATCAGCCGTACCGTGAATCAATAAAAAGTTGCGCGAATCAATGTTTCCTGCTCGCATGGCTAAATCTGACTCTTGAACCGCCCGTTGAAAATCGCTTCCAGCTGGCATATAGCGATCCGTAAAGTAAGAATCTATAGGAAGAAAATTAGTTTTTTTTTTGTTCAACAATTTTTCAAGGCTATTTTACACTAATGTAAAAAGGTAAACTCTTGAAAATGAGAAAAATTTTAATTGTATTCGCGAAGTAAAGCTAAATTCGAAAAAAAACTAGTTATTTGAAAATATCATCTTATCAAATTGAACTTACTGTGATAAGCAAAGGAAACAATGGGATTAACAGCGAATGCACATTGAAGAATGCGTTGCGAATCTTCGGCTAAAATCATAGTTGATGCATAGCCACCATATCCCCAGCCATATGCACAAATTCTTGTTGGATCAATGAATTTCAAATTGTCACGCAAATACTTGAGAACACCCAATTGATCTTCGATTTCCACCGAGCCAAGTTTATTCTTAATGGCTGATCTCAATAGTTCGCCTTGGTAGCCAGTGCCGCGAGCATCGATCTGTGCCACAATCATTCCTTTTTGACTGCTCACATACCAATTCCAATCAACATCGAACTTTTCGGATACAAGTTGTGAAGCGGGAGAAGAGTCACTGGGAATTCAAACAAAAATAAAAACAGAAATTATGTTAGAAAATCAATTTGCTTGAAAAAGACAGTTGCATCATTCAATAATTACATATGAAGTATGAGTGGAAAGGCGATTTCTTCATCCTCTTTCATTCCTGGTGGTAAAAATAGTCGCACTTGGGCCATAAAACCGTGTCGAATTTCCACGCTGAATGTTCGAAGCTGTGGTGTCGCCAACTGTGCGACTCGTTTACGTAGAACATCCCCGCCGTTTAGCAAAGCAATCTTTGTATTTGTTGCGGTTTCAACGAGATAAGTCGATGGTGTTTCGGGTCCTAAGCATTCTTGAACGTAGTAGCTAAAGTTTCTGCTGAAATAGACCTTGTTGTAGAGACAATTGTTTGGAATGCGATTTGCGTCATCATCGTCATTTTCCAAGATGTCAGGTAGCATATCGAGCAGGAATGTTAGATTTTTTTCGCCATTGTCATTCGATAGTAGATCATTTGGAAACGGTGGTTGTGTGGGTTCACTTGCAGATAAAACATTTTTAATTGGTTGCAGTTTTAAATTATTTGTTCTACATGTTAAGCACGTAGATTGTGAAGAAGTTAGATAAATTCGATTCATATTTTGTGTCACATTCAATTTTAAACTGATGTTGTACAGGTGACGTTGTCCAGGTTTTGATGGTTGAGTTGCCATAAAGTAGGCAATTTCATTTTTCTCATCCCAACCGACGATTTCGGTCACCTCAAACCGGCCCATTGTCAGCGGAATGGTTCTCATATCGGTAGTCGAAACGAATACCAAATGCCTAAAATAGCCATTTTCACCATCACGTACAGGTAATCTCTTGAGCATGCCATGGGTGGGTCCTAATTCTGATAAATACTTGAATTCATGCGCTTCCAATTCCGATTCAAATGTATTTTTGGTTTTATTCTCAACGAAATTTGAATGCCGGAAGTAGGCCTCAGTTCGCGAAAAGATTGTTTTATCGTTTGGAAGCACAAATCCATTATCGACAATCGATTCATTATACACCTCCCGGCATCGGAATGTCGGTGCACGACACAAAACCGTCGATGAACTCGTTTGGTTGCGATTTGTAAATGTGATTGAAACATCTGTTGCCGATATCCAAACCATTTGACCGACGTAGTTATCATCACCTTCAAGCGGTGAAATGATTGTAATCTGATTTATGAATTTTAAAACCGTTAAGTCGACAATGTGAACGGTAACATTTGGATTTTTCGTTTGTGCCTTGGGATAGCGAATCGATTTGATTTCCGGATATTTTGAATCATCTTGTAAATATGCATACCTGCGGAAATAGAATTGTGAATAATTTAGATGTAGCTGCTAATTGGAAATGTATGTTCAGTGAAAGTTCGCTAACTGACGGACGGACGGATGGAATGAATGGATTGCACTTACTTGTATTCATGAACTTTAGTTTCATTGAATGATAAATAGGACAGATATGCACCATCGGTGGAGAATGCAACTGTGTCACTTGTTAAATCGGCTATATTTGAATAGAACCAATCTGGTATGCCATTGTAAATGGTACCCGCTTTGCCTGTGGTGGTGATACGACACACTAGATCGCTTTCCACCTTCGGCTTATAATATAAATCATTTTCGTAGACAAAAGCAATTGCCTGTGATGGATTATTTGTGTTGCTCTCCACTTTCGGTGCCCATACGACATGCTGCAACTTTGGCACTTGTCGCTCACCCACTTTCGATGTCAATGGGAAATTGTTCCGTGTATGAACTTCGTAAATATAATGTCTGATTCCGCACAAGCAAGAAGAGCGTGTGTGTGTGAAAATTGAATTAAGTTTGTCATTAAAATTGGATTGAAGAATAATTGGCATCGTAAAACGAATTATGACTGCTATACTTACTTAGCACCATCTTGATCGATATCGGCTATCAGCACTATAAAATTTAAATCGGGCGATACTAAAAATTTCTCAGCATTTAATTGCCTCTGCGTGTAGTCGGGGTGGAGGAAAGGAGGAAAAAAGCAAATGTTTATTTTTCATTCTCAAGGTTGCTAAGATTATTTCATCATTAGGCACGCGACTTTGCATGCTCACCCAGAACCCGTATACTTACAAATGTAGCATTGGTCATTAATGTTTTAGTCGACAAATTGTTTGTGCTAATTATAGAAAGCCCTCCGGTTGGGTCTCTGTAAACGAGCTCATGATCTGTGTGTGTAAAGAAACGGCAAACAAACAACCAAACAACAAACAGATTACAATCAAATGACACAAAATGGCAAAATTTATTGTGTGACTGTGTTTGTGCTTTTTCCTTTTTTTGCGGAAAATTCTTACATACCATTTATCCAGCTTCCGTTGAATGGTTTCCATTTTAAAGTATTGCCATTTATGTCTGCCAATGTGATTCGTCTACCTTTTATTCGTGAACCTTCATCCTCTGCAAATAAACCATTTCACGAAAACCATTCATATACCATTCGCCATTTTATCAGATTCAATTTCAATCGCGGAGGAAAATTTATTACCTGGCGATAGTAGGACTATCGAAAACACTATTAATCCTAAAACGGCTGCTATAACCAATAGAGCAATGAATATTCCACGCCAGTTTCTCTGACTAGGACTGGAGGCGACCAATTCCTGAAAATAAACACACACAACAAAAAAATACAATGCATTAGTTTTCAACGCTTTATCCGAAATCGAGTGAGGAGAAAACCATTCACTGAACCAAAAATATGCTGAAAAGAATTTGAGTATAGAATTTGCTGTGTCATTGGGTTATTGTTTGTCGCCGTCCAGCGATTCTTTTCGAATTGAAGAAAATGTATTCACCTCATCGCCTTGTGCCTTTGGTTGTAATGTTACTTTTTTCGATGGTGATGTAACAAGGGGCTGCTGTGCCGTTGGATCTCTTGGATCCCGTGGCTCTCTTGAGTTTGGATTTGGATTTGGTTTCATGGTTTACGATTTTTCTATCGTTTTCTTTTTATAATTGAATGACGATGCTATACTAGTTCTAGTCGTTGTATTTTGATTTTTTACTTTCGTGCTTTTCACCTGTCGCTAAGATGTGAACAAGAGCATGTAATTTAAATGCTGTTGGTCTCAATTTTCAATAGAAGTGATTTCGTTGCGATTCCCGATGGGGCGGGCGATTCATTTGTAAATGGTTTAATTCTTATTATTTTCTATTCATAACCAAGGGAACGTTCTAATTTACATCTAATTCGTATTCAATACGGAAATGAATGATTAATTCAGAATTCAGCAAACAATTTATTCCGGAAACATTGCTTTCACTTTCAGTACACATTTGCATGGCGACCAAGTAACGAACTTGATCGTGACCGAGAGTCACGCGACAACATTTTAATGTATACACACAGCCTTTTGGATGGACGTTTGTTGGAAAAACTTTTTTGCTTCGTCAAAGGATGAAATGTGTATGTTGCGCTTGAATCGGTTAAACATTACATTTTAATATCATGGGGGGTAATAGGTTAAAGTGGCGTGTTTTTGATTACACGATAAAAGTTTTTCCGACAGTATTTGGAGCTTGTGCAAATTTAGTGCTGGTCAAAGCACCCCAACTAAATCATTTTTCACTGTTTTTGGTCGAAAACACACCATCGAATGGTGTTTGAATAGAAATATTTTACGAAGAGTATTAATCATATGTTCTATAATTGGGATAGAGCGTCATGTAAAAGCTAATGAATTAACGTCTTCTTCATTTTTAGAGTGACTTATCGACTAGACGACAAATGCGAATATCGACAAACGCCAATATGATTTATTGAACGATACAACAATTGATAGTGATTTATTATCTATTTATACCATTTTATCGTCGAATGAATTATGTGGAGTAAAACAATGAAACTATAACTTTATTACACTGTCTGAGTCTGTGCGAGGAAACTGCACCATATCACGATATGATATTGACTATCAGTCGAAATATTGGCTTATTTCAATTTTATACAAACGGATGAAAACAAAATTATTTTTGGATAGTCTAGTCATCGATCATCTAGATATCGATCAAACCTAAATCACTCATATTCCAGACATGTTTATGTCAAACACGATCATGCTGAGCCTATTTATAGCTGCGAAAGCGGTTGTCTCAGCATGCATTTTGGCCAATATTACCTACTACAGTTTTGAAGTTAGTTCTCAGAGTCTAAACTACGTATTAAGGATAACCGCACCAAAAATAACTACCCCCACTAAAACTCAAGCTCAAGTAAACAAACAATTTCCCTGGCTCGACATGAGTCAAAAGTAGGATAATCCCACAATATATTCGTCGACAGTGTCTGTTGCCAAGTGTTTCCCCGAGACGTTATATCAATACAAATTTATGCGATATTTCCGAACATTGTTATACCTTACATCCTCATTATGCGTCTCCCAACACAAACAATGTGTGTGTGTATACAAGGTTATACACGAAAAAGTATACGGAAATCTCGCATAAATCTTTATACCGAAGATACCGTCGTATTGGCATCAGCAATCGATGTGCGGAACCCTCAGCGATTTTCCTCTAATTGAAAATACAGTTTTTGCTTATCACAATGAATTGTATGACTCGCATTTCTTTGGAATATAAAGCTAAGTGCGATTCATGTGGAAATTATTGATTCAATTTAGCCCAAACATGATAAATTTTAATGAAACCACAATCGTTTGAAGCACATGTTATTCAATTAAATCATTTTCAAATGGTACGCAATGTGCAGGTACACACACAAAAACATGAGTACGAGTACACGCATACGCACACCCGCTGAGCCCAATCGCAATGAAATTCCCTTTTACACCGATGAATATGTGTACAGTCCAAAAAGAGAGAGAGAACGAGAGTATACGTAGGAAAAACGTGATTTTGTTTTTGTAACGCAAACAGAATGAAATTGTTTATGATGAAGCGAATGCTACCACTTTTCTGTGTCAACGACTGACGGGATACGCGGAAATAACCAAATGCGGGATGGGCACAAAGCTCATTTAAAACACATCTAGTGCATACAACGATGTGGTTAAATAGCGTAAACTGTCTCTATTCCCATGTCTAATTCCACGACTTTAGAGCGAGAGAGATTTTTTTTTCTATCGTGTATACATGCATCGAAGAACAACGCGCCACATTTTTATCCGCACACTTGACAATCGTCTCATAAATTGATGAGTTCTTTCTTTGTTTATACGGATCGTGAAACACCACAGGCAAATATCAATCGATTTTCGTGCGCTACTTTACATCACAAACACTTTCTCTGTATTCTCTCTGTTGGTTCGTTGTTATAGTTTCTCTTTTTCTGCACTGGGAGCATCACCAGTTCGAAGTTTCTTCAACAAAAGAGCATTTTTCTCTTCACTCTCTCACACTTGCTTGCAAAAGATATAAATTCTTGTGCGCCTCACGGAAAGCTTATTATATCATCAATTGTCGAATCAGAGAAAAGGAAGCAAAACTCATCTCGATTCATCAATATGGATGGATGTGAGGGTAAAACACATCATGGTTTTGCGATTCGCACTCGTACAAATCATCATATACACGCCACACTCCAAACATTCACGCGCGCTTCACTCTCTTGCGACTGTATCAAAACACATCAATTTTAACTTCGTGTTTTTTTTCTCTTTTCTCTTCCTCTTCACTGCCTTATTCGATTCGGACGAGAGGAATTTGCCACAGAAATTCACACACAACAGCTTTTATGAACTAATTTCCGAAATGAGAATTTATGTTACTTTTGTTGCGGTTACTTTTATGGCTTCACTTTAATTAGATTTAACTAACACAATTTTTTTTTCTTCTTCTCTTTTTCTTTCCACTGTGTATCCAGCAAAACAAGAGCAGAGCGTTGTCAATGGAACAGGACAATCAGACGAAAATGCTCTGCATTGCTACGATGTGCACACTGAACCGTCGTCAAGTTTCCTAATGTTATTTGTACATGTGTAAAGCATCCGTTCTCGAGAGAGCGCATTGTTGACTGAGGGTGGGGGGAAACGCACAATTTTCCACATTTAAACCACAACGCCATCGTTTGGTCAAGTTGTGGAAACTCAATACAACGTATAGTAAAAGGAAAGCTTGATTGGACTTTTATTTTTGAGCGTGGAAAGCATGTGGAAAAGCGGACAAGTTTACAAAGTGTTGATTTAAGGATTTTAGATTTAGCTATAGGGTTGATTTTAGACGACGTATTGAAGTAAACAATTGAATGCTAAAACACAGCGCTATGTCTGTTCCTTCTAGCATTAGAGTTTACGGTTATAGTTAAGTTAAATTTGAATCTATGTTAATGTTTTCCGCAATATTTAAATATTCTACGATGTATTGACAAAAGAGGCAGAGATTTTTGAATCTAAAATTTAGATTTAATACGTTTCAATTGTATTTATGCGTTTGAAAATAAAATCTAACAATAAGACTTGGATATAATTTTATGAAACAAACCGCTTAACGTTAGCATCGATCCATTCAATACAAATTATGGTGGCTTACATTGACAAATTTAGAAGAAAAACTTGGAATCTCATGTAAACGATGAAAATAATGTTGTTTTGGCAAAACAATCGTGCGTAAGCTTAGTGTGCGTCATTAATCTTTTCATTCAAAGACGTTATGGTTTACGCGAAAACTTTCTCGAATTCAACAATTTAGAGAGTTTAAAGGTCTACCAAAGACTCCCATTCGGCTTGAATACACTGCAGCAGCAGCAATAGCACGCACATCGTTTAAAAAAGTCAATACGTACGAATTATAAATTCAAAGGTAATTTACTGTCTCGCAAATGGATTGTTTGCCGTTGGCGTAAGAAATGCGCATTACAAGGTGAACACAGCAAGTGCTTTCTCTATGTCTTTTTTTTCATTTTGCTGTCAGTATATGTACGTTGAGTCAACGTTTTCACCGTCAAAACAGAATAAAAACACACGACAAGACGAACTTCATTACGTATAATAAAGGAAGATGCGGAGATTTTTGGCAAGAGGAAGATAGAATTTCCGCCACATGAGAAAGGCATTTCATGGCGGAGATAAAGCGAGAGCACGTTAAATCGAGTGTATAAAAATAGCAAATGGAAAAACATATTCAGCATACAAAATCTCGTCGTACGTTTAATTTAATTCGTACAAGCTTCAAGACATAGGTGTAGTGAAGTGAGAGAAAGGAAATGCTGGATTCAGATAGAGAGGTGATGGTGGTTTTCTTTCCAAATCTAAACTAGATTGTAGTTTTAAGTGGAGCGTACAACGGGTTGACGAAATTCTTATTTGTGGATTGACTTGGAATTCAAGTAAAACGATGCGATTTAAAATAACACGAACAGCGCAAACCGACACCGCGACTATAAAGTTGCACAGCCAAAACCAAATCCAATGTCGAATATATTGAAAAATTTAAACTTTAAATCTTTAAAATGTAGTAGTATTGCGCCCAAGTTATTCTTTCTCCATTTGCTCAGTTTTTAGTTAGTTGAAGTTTCGTTGAATTCTCTCTCAAATGGGTTGGTTTTCGTTTTGGATCTTCGAGTCACAGACTGTGACTGGTAACTTAAAACAGACGCGGTAATTCGATAACTTCAATTACAATTCAAAGGGAAAATGTCACATTTTAAATGTGAAAAGCAAAAAAAATGAAACTTTTGCATTGAATAAAGTTAGTCCATTTTTGCCTGTTTGCTTGCCAAGTTCTCTTTTCATCCGCCCCAAAGCTGTTCTTTGAAAGAGGTTTGTATTAAATTGATAAGTATAGGTTTTCCTTATATTTATATCTCCAACTCAAATACATAAATTGTCATTCGAACCTCGAAAAAATAAATAAATAAATATCTTTTTCGTTGACACACCAACACTCGAATATTTGCACTTAGCGTTGTGGTCGAGTGTTTGTACTTAACAATGACACGCAAAAGTTTTCGCTGATTTTTTCTTCTTCTGCTGTTGAATTAATATGTTAACAAGAAAATAAACTTTAGAATAATGGGGTTTGCTGTGTCTCGGGAGATTTTTTTTTGCTGTGCGCGGGGCAGTAGATACGGAACAAAGATTGTGAGTAAGTTTTCCATATCCGGGAAACTTTTCTCGTATAATGGAAGACAAGTGATGACAGCCAAGAAAAAAAAATCGTAGATAAAATTGAAGCCAATGGAATGAGAAGGAAAACCAACAGCGACGCATAAATGTGGACCGAAATCCATGAAATGCCAACAACACATATTTGCCAAGTGATGCGACGACCTTCGTCAAAGGAATCAATTTGTTGATGTTGACTTATGAGATTGGTTTCAATTTTCGCGATCCTGTTTTTATGGTTGCTGTTTGGTTTTATCAACAGGTGAAGGGGGAAGAAAGCGAGTAGTACATCCCGCAAACTGATTGGTGCCCAATTCAATTTTGAGCATGTAAATTTGTGTCGCTATGACAGCTATATATTGGTACAAATTAAATGAGAATATTCAAATGATTTGCATGGTGTTTGTTAAATTGTTTCCGCTGTACATCGTAAAGTGCTGCAAATTACCACATGAAAATGTCAGAGCAAAAAACGACCACATTTCGTGTGACGCGATGAAAATGAATGGCAATTTTATGGCATATTTCGGTAAATTGGTATTCAATGGAAAACAGGAATTACAAATGAATAGCCAAAGAGCATTGTTTTACAAACGCGTGAATTCATTATAATTCAATTTATCACTGGTTTTGTGTGCGATATTAGTTTCAGTGTTTTTGTCATTTATCGAAAACATAGATATTCACACACCATATTCCGAAATGCAATTATGAGCCGAGGAGAACACAAACACTCCCAAGGATAATTAAGCTACTCCATTGGATATGGCATGAATTTGCATATCCTTGTCTAGTGGAAAAATAGACTTAATTGCAATTTGGATGCGTAACAACAGTGAATGTTCTCATACACACACTCACATCGAACGCACACTTTTTGGCGGTTTTTTTTTTTATTGTTTTGTTTATTGATGCATGTTTTTCGCAATTACACAATGGAAATTATTTCGAAATTATCCATTTTGAAAACAACAACCTCAACCCCATCGTCCCAACAAAAGGTAATTATCGGAATGACTTTTGATTATTCTCGGTGGTATGAACATGAAACTAATATTGCACTATTTTCGCGGTGCATTGAGAATTTTCAATTGGTTCGGGAAAAGTTTCGATACTAATTTCCGACGGAATGTGAGTTCAAGCTCTATCCATCGCTCTCTGTTTGATTTCTCGTTCAATGTACATTTATTATTTAGAGCATTGGTGAGCGATAGATGCATTAGTTTCTGCTTCAGCTTGCTATTTCTAATTACTTTGATACACTTTGATGATGTTATTTTTACACAACCCATCAAAATAGAAGAAACATGTATCTTGTATGTTGCCACTAATATTGAAGTTGTAAGTTGAACCATTTTCGCTTGCCTCGAACGAAATCATCGAGTGGAATTTGGACAGTGCTTCCGAAACGGCAACATTAAAACCACAATGAGATGCATACATACACAATCACTGAGCATACGAATTTCGAGCTGGACTATTCTCCGAAATAATTATATTAAAATATCAAACAACATATTCGGTCACAATTTGCAAATTATTTGCATCAATTACATTTGGAATAGCGCGGACGCGCAGAGTCTTATGCTCTTCCGCAGATCACTCTCCAAAATATTATTAATTAAAAGGTCGAACGAGAGCGAACGCACAGTCCCCGAAACCGAAAATTTCATCCATCACATTTGCGTAAAACAGCGATTTGGTTTATGAACAGCAAAATTAATCTGTCGTTATGACAAGACGAAAATCTGTTTGAAATGCTTGACGCACGTTGCCTGATGCGTGCTTGCTTGATGGCTGGCTGGCTTGCCAAAGCTACAGCTCGAATATTTGTGATTTTTTATGCCTGCATTGACTTAACATGTTTCACCAGATTAAGATCTCTATCTCTATCATATTCGGATACACTGGTGTTTTGCATGCTGATTTCGACACTGAGATTGACGATGCTTCTGCTGATGCTGAGTTTTTGTTGTTGCTTTGTTCTTGTCTTTACCATTTTTCTCTCACTTTTTTCATATCCACTTCACATTTCATGAATTACACCACCACCGCCGCCACTGTCGTCATTGCCCGAGTCCTTAAAACCACTCGCTCACAAAAATTTACGAAAATGTTCTTTATAATTGGAATTCCCTGGAGTTGGTAAGACATTTCACAAAGGCGACAGCGGATCATGTTTCGTTCGTTTGCGGGCTTGCTCGAACAAAAAAGCAAAACATTACACACTTATACTCACACTCACACATTCACCCTGATTTTCCACACGCCGAGAAAATAATTTTAAATACAAAATGTACAATTACCTCAATTTGATCTTTTTTACTCATAGACCCTGTATGGCCCGTACTTTGTACAGAATTCATCTTGTTGAACTAGTTGGGATTTTAAATGTTTATATTGCGATAAAAAAAAGCGTGACTTTTTCCTCTTATTTGTGATGTTATGAAAAGCGTCGATCTGCAGCCTGAATAATGTCGAAATTTTCTTTTTAGCACAATAGAAGAAGAAATTTTTTGTAATTTCTCTGAGTTGAGTTGGTGTTTCTTGAATTATTTTTTCTTTATCTCTTCTCTATCCCTGCTGCTGTAATTCCAATTGGAATTTCACATTATTTTTTATTCTTTGTTGCGTCTTCATTTTATCCCTCTTTTCATCTCATCCATAACTGATGCTCGTTCCATATTATTTTTCACTCGCTACAATTTATACGTGCTCGGCAATATTTGCACGCGGACTACACGAACACACTGAGTCACTTTGAAACTTTTAGGCACATATTACTTAGCATAAGTATATATATTCTCTCCTGCAATTCTCTTAATCTAACTAATTGAATTAACTGGAAACTTTAATATATCCTATAATTCACTTCACTTAAACCACGATATAAAGTTGCGGGAGAGAGGGCGAAAGTATGTCGAAAATGAAAATAGTTACGAAATAGGAATGCAAATTGTCTGTTAAGATGTAAATTCTTTAACGATGAAATTCGAAAAGTTCAACAGCAAGAGAACAATTTTGAACGTACTGTTTCTGTATCTTCTATTTTCTATTTTCTATTTGCATTAAAATGTCTTCAGTGCGGAAAATGTTCTATTTTTTTCATCGTTCATTCGTTCGTTAGACAAATAGACGGAAGTTAACAAATACACTAAATTATTTTTGTGGAAGAAATTTGATAGCGTCAAATGTGAAACTGTGTGCTAAACGCATCATCACAACGATACGTTACAACAGATTGAAGATGATTTAAAATTCATTCGCAGTTCAGTCGAGTTGTACGAAGGAAAAAAAGAACGAAACACACGCGCGCGATTCACATTCACCGTCCGTACGATATGACGACTACATGATTACTGAGCGCTTTTGCGAAGAAAAATGTGGAAAATTGCTTCAGTGCTTCTTCACTCGATAGCATCTGCAGTTTGTCGTCGTCGTCGTCGTTGTCGTTGTCGTTGAGCGTTGAGCGGCGAAACTGCATGTAAACATTACATGTTTAGCAACAAGCTTTGCGCCCTCAACATTTTCACTCAACATCATTTTCCACTCAACATTGAATTCATCCGGATTCTCTCTGCTTACATTTCGGCAGAGCTTTTTCCCGGATAAAATCACTCTCAGAAAATGCAAGCACTAAAATCTTGAATCGATTGTTGAGAAGTTTTTCCTTTTGGAATCGTATCAAAAAGAATTTGAATTGAACACTTGTTTGAAAATAATTTTCATTCATTTTCAAACGCTTTATGACCTTCCTCCCAAAATTTCGTTCCATAATTCCATTTTTCTTTCGGCGCTGTTGATTCTACATAATACTTTGTGGACTTGTGGTCGTTTATGTTTGTTCGTCCATATAAGCCGACACACATGAAAACCCTTGGAACATCTTTCCGATTAAAATGTTTACAAAGTGGAATCTGGTATGGGATTTGGTGAGTTTTCGGTGGATGAAGCACGCAAAAAACTTTGCTTACTCCTCGTTGGTGCATTTTGATCTAGGCATGTAAACATATGTTTCCTTGCCCGATCGAAACTGCTATTAACATGATTGATTAGCAAACACATATTTTCATGGTTGTTTTAAACTTTTTCCGCATCATATATTTTTCGATGGAAGTTGCGTTTGGAATTAAAACAAAAAGTGTAATCAAGTTCAAGTGAACGCAGCAGGAACAACAGCAGCAGCGACAGAAACAACAAAAGAAATTCATATCGTTGAAATCGTAGTAAGTATTCATCATCTTCATTCGCAGTACAGACCGGCAAAGGAAACGAGTTAATATGATACGGAAGCCGTACCTAACTCCATTTAGAACCAGTTTAATTCATGATTTATTACTTTATGGCCCTATATTCATTCGTTTATATTCTTATTAATTCCATGGGTACTTGTTATCACCGCACCCCGAACTGAATGTGCAGAAAAAAGAACACAATGAACACAAGCCCCCACTTGATATAATAAGAGGCAATTTTTGGATTGCCGCCTCTCATTTTCTGGCTAATTTATGAGCACATTTTTGTGAGGCTTTTGAATAAACTGCATATTTTCCTGCTAATTTTCTATTTCGGCAAATGAAAATTCATCGAACGTTAGGCAACGCTCAACGGCGTCCCAAGTCGGTTGGTTTCCATTTGGTCACCCCACGTGAGTGAGGAAGAGAGAGTGGCATCTTGGGAAAACGTCATTAGGAGTATCGTAACAAAAACCATCGAAACCAACGCGTCGTCGTTGGAAATATTACAACTCACCTTTGTACGTCCAAGCAATAGAGCATCCATTTCGCATTCTGGTAGACTCTGAGCGGTGCCACTAATAACCGATACTGTTACGGTAGTAGAGCCGTCAACCATATTGGCAAACTATTCGCAACGCTGAGTTGGATGTCGAATGTCAACAAACGCTTTGACCATGGCATCAAGCACATTTTACTCTTTTCTTTTCTGCAAGCACATCATGAATTCGACCCGATTTCGTTTTGTTTCAAATACTACTTAGTTGTGAAAAAGCAAAAGTTTTTCAGTTTTGTTCACTTGCAAGTGGAAAGCGCGATTGTCACTTCGTTTTTTCTTGATGCAAAAGTTTCTTTCGTAAGTTGGCTTTTCAGCTCGTTAAGAGTTCAGAGATGAACAAGAGAAATAGAGAAGACTTTAATGGACGATTTAAATTCGATTTTGAGCGGAATACCGAATTAAATCGCATGCACTGAAATCCACTCGCACTTGAATGTCTAAACTATATCAGATCACTTGTTTACATTAACAGTTGTTACTACTCGTAAATGATATTCAATAAAAATCAGTTTGTTTTTCTTCTCTATATTATGATATGTGTTGGACCCGATTTTCGAATTCAAAACCACTATTCAGAACATTTGTTTCAATGATGATACTAGAAATAAACACGAATTTTCGCTGTCAATCACTACATAGTCAATGTTTCACAAATGCAGATGTCACATACGAATTTGGTGGGAACACCCGAGCCGTGTGATTAATGGCAAACATTAATGTCATTGTCGATCGATCTTGTACTTGTCGAATATATTCACTCCCAACTGAACATTTCCCATCAACACCACCACCACCACCACCACCACCACCACCATCAACACCGTCGCCGTTGCCGTCGTCGATATCAACGTTGATGTCGTCGTCATCACCACATCCGGATGCGATTCACACTCCAATTACATTCCCTTAAACGGGTTCCATAATCTTTGCAGCGCTGGCTATCCACGCAGAAAACCAACTTTTTATCGGCAGACTTGAATACTTTCCTTCGTAAGCATTAAATCTCTCAAATTTCATTGATTGCATTTGAAGTTGGTCAAAAGTCGAGAGACGGAATGGGAAAACAACAACAACAACGCACACATTCCGACGAATTTATATAGCATTTTATTATAAAAGATTTTCTTCGGAACAATCTGTGACGAGTTTGGCAAACACTTGGGGATTCGCCTCGTTTCATACTAAATAACCATCAATAGAGAAAAAAGAGAGCAGTTTTCAAGAGCAACGGATTGACTTGTGTGTTGTATCGGCCGCGTCTAACCAATTGGCAAGTAAATATCAAAAACTGATAAATATTGGTGAAGTTAGGCGAAGGCAATCAATGAATTTGGTGGTTTTTTTATCCTGTTCGAATGGAGAAGCCCGTAGCAGTTTTTAAGTAATTGCATTACGGAACAACCTTGGAGCACTTATGCTTACTCATTTGCTCGCTCTCTTGAGCCGCCCCAATTCACTTTGCCATCAAATTGAAACAATATAAAACTAAAACTCTTTGACACCCACACACACACAAAACGCATAAAGTGGCTCAATGTGTACTCAGCGTAAGTAGCATAAAGTAACTTTGCGATGATGAGCAAAGTGACTTTGAATACGATCCATGTTCTCTCGATGAATACAATTTTATGATGTTCTTCACACACTCGTTCCCTCACTCTCTTTTTCACACACATCACACTCGAATATATGGTAAGTAAATTGTATTTGGCCATCCATCAATTCACACGTTGAATTTTTGCGCGCCTCGCGTTTGAAATGTTCTCGCAGCACCAACGGTGTGTGTATATATGATGTTGGTCATGCACGTGAATTCAGTTGGACTGAGCGATGTGGTGTGTGGTGTGGAATGCTGTTCAAAATGTTTGATGTGTCAACCATACGCTCCACACATTTGTGAGTGCCACACAGCAATTTATGTGGTTTAGCTAGAGTGGTTGCTGCTGATGCTGCTATACGATTTTTGGAGATTTAATTTCATTACGGCCAGACCAGGCCACTCACATATTCGCACTCACTCACACTCGCGGCAATCATCGAAAAATCGTCATACGAGCACTTTTTTCATATAAATATATAGAACGCGTCAACCGTCATGCTATTCATTTACCCATCTGAATATTTAATATTGCCAACCAATTTATTTGGGATGATTGTTCTTGTCAATGTTGGCCTTTGTCATGCGATTCCAATGAATTTTCATTATTTCGTTATTACATTAATGTTTGCCATTTCGTTCAAAGACTCGGTTCACTTAAGTTTCGAAAAAAAATTAGAAGAAAAATCGCAAGAAACAAAATCACATAGTTCAAGATCACAAGCCCATACGGTAAATTAATTCTTTACCTAATTTGATTTAATTTTCGCGCACCAGAAACGAAAATATACAAAATAAACTTCACACAAGCAACAAATATAGAAATTTGTTGGAAAAAACGGTTTTAATTTTTCTACCGAAGCCGAAAGAATTGAAGAAAACGAAAATTGTACGAAAATATGTTGCAATAAATGAGACAAAGAAGAAAAAAACGAAAAATAATGTGTGTATGCGTGTGTTTATCGTGTGAATGAAATGATGTTTAGAGCGTTAAGAACGAGAAGCGATTGAAAAATTAAAAGAGAAAATAATAATTTTGGATTGTTGTTATGTTGACATCTGCTTTGCGACTATCTTATTAAACGGTTGCGATGGAATATTTTTGTGAGTGGCTCGCTCACCCACGAGTTTATCAGCGAGATGGAGAGAGAAATTGATGCTTGGAGAAATGAGAGCTACTCTCTTCGATGTTGCCATTGATAACGAATTTTTCTGCACGGGGAAACGATTTTGCAGGGGAACTCTCGAACTCTCGAACGAGATGTATTTCGAGAGTTTTGATGGCACTGATCTAATCTTCCCTGATTGTGAAATATGAGTTGCGCATTGCAGACGAGTTTATCAGAGTTCATCGAGTGGGTGGTAATGAACTATTGCGACAGCATAGAGCCATACGAATGAACATTCTACCCCTGATTTTAGTGGGTGGTGATGGTGTTTCGTCTATTTGCTCCAGACGTAGCAACAATATATCTCTTTCAATGATAAGCGAGAATACGAATCATGTATTCGTGAGTGTGACACACTCACTCTATACCCAGATTGCCAATTAGCGATACAGTCGCAATTCAATTTGAAATAATCGCTCTTTTCCAACAGCAAAACACGATATTTATGACAGTAAGGGAATGATACTTACTTCAATCGTCAGGTGATCACGATGCTTGATGTGATGCGCTGCATTCGCATCAATATGAACGTTTGTCTGCATACTATTGGCTGTTTATTTTCACCTTTTTAAAATCGGTGGACTCGAAATTTGAATAAAAATCAGACTTATATTTTCTCGTTCCTCCTTCTTCCAATTTGATCCTATTCTAATGTATGTTTGAAATAAATGCTCGTTGCTTCCCTTTTTCACTCTCTTTTCGATACGTTGTATCGATGAAACACTTTTTTTATCTCATGTTTACTTTTGCTTCTATCTTTTCTTTTTTTTATTCACTGCAAACTTGTAATTGAATTTCACAAAAACTTTTTGGATGGAATCAATACACGTCAGAATTTCTCGTACAGAGAACTTAACACTACAAGAGAATATCTTAAAAAAACACATTCACACTGAGAAGAAATCTATCTAAAACCACAAAATTTCGATGAAACGAAAACGCCTTCTACGCTCCAATTCGATTGGAAATTTATCGACTGAATCACATTTTCTCTCTTTCTCTCTGGAATGCTGATGTGTTCGTTTTTGTTCGACGAATCGACCATTGCACTTCGAATATATCGCTTTTTTGGAGAATACGAACACCAAAAAGCTGAAAATACTTGCCCGAAAACTGTCTTGTTGTTTCGAGTACACACACGCAGCACTTTTCGATGATACACGAGACCGCAGTGTGGTTTTGCGCGCATTTAACGCTTCCACTGAAATTTTTCGCTTCGAAACCGTTTCGTCTCACATATTCGACCGACACGAAAAAGCTTTTGTATGTTTTTGACTTTGTCCAATCGAGAGATATTGAGAGTAACCGACCGATTGGGCGAACGAACGAATGAACGAACAAACGAGCGCAGCAGCTTTGATACACGTTGTGCAAAATCGACTGTTGAAGACGAACTGAACTGAGGACGACACTGGGATTTGGTGTGACGCTGAGTCAACAGTTCTCTGTTCTCACTCGGTGCTGTGGTGTGCTGTGATGCTGTTGCCACTGCTGCTGCTGTGGTGTATGATGGTCGGGTGCATGAAATTTACGGGAGAGACAGTATGTAAAATGATTGTCCGTACTTGGAGATACGGCAGCCACTTTATGCCTTTGCAGATGGAAAATATTGACATGCACGCACCACGAAGTGTGTGTGATTGGACTTTACATCTGCTAAACACTCAGCATTCGCATTGCTGACGACGATATGATGCCACAGTCAAAACAAAACAAAACACCAACATTCAACATGAATCGCTTTAGTATCAGATACATCAACAAAAACAACGGATAAAGCAGGCGTTCATCGTTTAAGAACTCCCTGTTGGTTGTGATAATGATGGAGCCTTGTAATAATACATTAGGCCGATTGCAAGTTTTTACGATCGAAACTGTTTGCTTCTTTTTTGTGGTCAAACATTCAAACATTTTATAGATTTCCAACCGAGTTTTATTTGCTGAGAAAATTCAAAAAAGGCACCAAAATCGCCCGATTCCCCATTACAATGCTGTCATGGGTGATTCGTCATGTAATTGAATTCGTGTGGAATGAATAGATGCTAATCTCGGTTGCCCGAACGGCGCGATAAACAAAAGGGCAGCCTGATGCTGCTGTTGAATGTAAATAAGTGCGCTCGTTGACTCTCCATTGTTCTTCGTCCAAAACTCTAAAACGTATGGTTCGCTATTGATGGATGGGGCGGAATCGTGGAAAATTTAATTCAAAGCTTAACATACGGTTTTGCATCATACGCCATCTACAACATAGTAGAAGCTCATGAGGAAGCTTTTTATCGCAGGGAGTCTTTTTCACCACCGATCTTCCCCATTTTCGAAAATGTTTCTGGAGAATTCAACTTTATTCAGCAGCTTGGATTCTTTTAATCCTAAGATCAAGTGTGTATAAGTTCCATGGAATAGGAAATCATATCCAATACAGAACCTCATTTCCAATATAGGGACCATTAGAATGATCGTTTTCATAGTCACGTTTATTAGTTGAATCTAATTCATTCAAAAATCGATTGAAAAACCTGTTTTTTTTTCTAAATTTATTCGGCTTAAATGGAAACGTTTAACAATTGATTGTTAACTGAATGAATATCTGTATAAATAAATCATTGCAGAGATTACACGGTGGCTTTCTTGGAAATATTAGGATTTTTCATTTGTGTTTTTCTTTTTCTTTCTTTCTTACGTTTTTTGTCATCATGAATTAAAAAAATGTGAATATTTCATTAAAAATTAAAACCAGTTTACTTGGTTTGCACGGCGAAGTTGAATTTGCATCAGTCTGTGCTGTATGTAACCACTGAACGGGTATGTACTTCAATTTCTCGATGTAGCTAGCCCCATCTGATAGAATCAAGCATTCGCTAATCAAATCGACAAAAACAATGATTGAATATTTATTACGTTTTGATTTCTTTTCGTAAATGGCCAAATGGTGGGGGACAGTTACATCAACAAGCTGTTAGATTGTAAAAGTATATAACTATTCCGACTGATCTATATTTCTATCAGTTTGCCGCTGAATTTGAAACAGTGAACAATAAAAAATATCTAGAACGAGAATCGTGCATAATTTCAATTTACATTTTTGTGTTTGAAAAGTGATTGAAAGTAAATCAAATCAGTTTATTCTGTTAATAAAGAGTCTGATTCATTTGTGTTAAAGATGAAATCGTTCACGATTGTTTGCTTAGTCGTTGTATTGTTCGTTGCATTTGTAACGGGTAAATATTTATACATTTAATAATCGTTATTTGTTTTGAAAAATTCACAAGAAAAAAAAACACAATTAAAGGTTTTAACATGAGAAAAAATATGTCATTGCACTTTTTGAGTTGTTATTTGCATTATTCTCATTGAAATGGACGTAATCTAGAGCACCGCAAGAGGAATTTTGTGATAATAGATTTCGCTACACTGCAAGTCGATTGCGACTTGATTGCATTTATTCAGTTGTGAAAATGCATTTTTTTATAGAAAAAAAATGTAGTTCGATAATGAAAGGGCAAGTGTTATCAGGGCTATATAGTACATTTGACAAAAAGACATGATTGATTGAGTGCAACAAAATGCTTCCGAAAGAAACATTTAGAAGAAAACAACAACAAAAAGCACTAAAACGGTTAACCTTTTTTTCAGCTAAAGTCAACCTTTCATTGGACAACATCGATGAGGACTCAGAAGCAGTTAATCTTTGGAGTGGATATAAAGTAGGTTTCATTTCAATCCAATTACTGGCTTCAACTGTTGGAATAACAAAATAATACGTATTTCAGACGAAATACGGCAAAAGCTACAGTGGAAATGAAGACAGAAGACGGTATATAATTTTCGCAGAAACTCTTGCAACAATCAGAGATCATAATAGACAACATGCCAGAGGCGAAGTAACGTACAAACGAGGACTCAACCAATTAAGTGATTTAACGCCCGATGAGAGAAAACAAAGAACTGGATTTGGATCTGCTGCTCCTACTACTCCTCCTACTCCTCAGAAATAAACCAGATGACGAAGGAAATTGACAACATTTTCTTCTGATAATTTTCAAAGCAATCAATGTCCAGAATTGCGATGATATCCGAATTTCATTCAAATCAAAATATTCTCCAATAAAATGGAATAGCGCACACTTAACGATTATTGTTTTTATCTCTTTTTCGTATTGATTGATACAACCAAATGAGAGGTAAACCTTATTTTCTCATCTGTAACGCTGTCGAGTTATTCTTCTAAAGAAAATTATTCAAGACATGTGTAAACAACTAAAAGCGCTAAACAAAAGTTATATAAGTTGAAATTTCCAACAATTTCAGGATTTGTCAAAGATTGAATATTACGGATTTTCTGAAGTAAAATTTCAAGTAAATAAAAATAAATCGAATTGAAGATAAGGAAATGCAAGATTCTCCATGTCGTACAAGGCATTGATGCAACAACCAAAAAGGTACTAACAGAACAGTCGATAAAGCCTAAATATGGAAAACTTGCCCTGCTTGATTTTGACTGATATTGGTATTATTTTTATGTTCAATCGTTATTCTTCTCTGAACAATGATCGAATCACTCTAATAGTTTGTGTATTGGACAGAAAAAATCATATATCCGTTCGATTTGAATTATCTTAGTTTGTTTTATTGTCATTGACTGTTCCATCATTTTGAGAACATCAAAAACTTCCATATATATTGTATAAGTCTGTAAATTGTATTAAATTTACGAAAGATAAAAATAAAAAAGGAAGGTAAAACATTCTCGGAATAGAACAAAAAAGTAGGTTGTAAAGTTTAAAGTAGTTTTTTTTCTCAGTTCAAGCATACATTTCATAATATATGGACGAAGAATTGTTTATTTATTCACAAATTCAGATCCGCGGTGAAGGTTAAGTTGTTGATAAAAAAGGGTATGCTTTTAGAAAAATCGATATCAGATTTTGGATCCGAAAAGTTAAATTAATTCTCAATCCCAATTCTGATCCAAACGACCAAAAAAAAGATCAATATAAGACAGTAAATAATAATTATTGCTCGCTCCTAATAGATGAAATATCAATGAATTGTGAATTAATAAAGCAAAATCATGCGCTTATCATCGGTAAAGCTGTGGAGTTATTTTTTTCCAAGAATTTGAATGAACAAACGCACAAAAACGTTGTTGATAATCTAGCATCAAGTGAAGTGAAACATTCATCATTTGTCAAAGGTTATATAGGTTTCTGCAACTTGTTTCAATTAATACTGTAAATGGATCAATACGTCGCAGCGATAAGAAAATGTGGGAATTTCCAATTTCACGTAAGCCTATAATTTCTTGAAACTGTTAAATATTCAAAGCCCAATTAAATTAAACTTACTCTATTGAAATTTTTTCAAAACTCTTCGTTCGCTCATTTTATCTGTCTTGAAAAATGTTGGTGGCATGGAAAAACGAAAAAAATAAAATAAAATAAAAGTAAACAAAGTGGAATTACAGCGGTACTGTATTTATTATATCGTCATTGTTTCAAAAATCCTGGGAAAGGAATGCAAAATACATTTTTCTTCTGAATAAATGTTAGTTTTGCAAACTAATACACATGGATGACACTCATATGTGGCTTAATACTCATATCAAACTATATATTATTTGATGTTTGACAAACTATTTCAATCGGATGAGCTGTCGGATGATGAGCTCTTGCGTCGGCGACGTTTGTTCTTGTTTTTACGGGAATCAGAATTGCTGGATGAAGAGCTGCTTGAGCTGCTCGAGCTGCTGCTGCTTGAGCCACGCCGTTTGGATTTTTTCGTTATGACTTCAAGCACTTTTTTCACAGCAGACATTTGCTGATGCTCTTGCACCTTAAGTTTTTCCAATGTTTCTTTTTTAATTTGCTCCAAACGTGCAATTTCCAGTGCAGTTTCAGCACGCTCTTTCTTCCGATCGTCTTCCTCTCTGAGCCGTTCTTTTTCAGCCTGTCTTCTTGCTTGCTCTTCTATTTCTTTTTGCATGTGACCTCTCAATAGTTGCAAAGCTTCGGCCCGCTTCAGCATCTTCTCTTTCGCGAGGCGCTCTTTTTCATCGCTTACCGACGCTTCGTTTGTGGATTTTTGTTCAGCGATTCTACGGAACGGATTGGAATCAATAATTGGCTGATCGACGGGCTTTTTGTCCCATTTTGAAGGTCTTTCTTTGTCTTTTTCCTTTTCCTTTTCCTTTTCCTTTTCCTTTTCCTTTTCTTTTTCTTTTTCTTTTTCTTTTTCTTTGTCGTCGACCGATTTTGATCGGCGTTTTTCATCCCGTTTTCTTGATTTGGAACGTGAACGACGAGATCGGGAGCGATGTCTGCGATGGCGTTCAGTTGATCTACGATAATATTTAGAAATTGTGAATAAATTGAAATTGCTGGAATCATGAATTTCTTCAATTTACCTGCTACGATGTCGCTGTTTACGAGATCGATCATGAGATGCTGAACGTGATCGGTTCCGTTTTCCAAATCGGTGAGCATCGTGTCGCCTGTTGTCTCTGTATGGTGAATGCTCTCTTCGTCTGTTGTGCACTCGTCTGTCGTTGCGACCTCTCGAAGAGTGTCGACGATCTCTGTCTTCTCTGTCTTTCGATCTCTTCTCCCTTGATCTTGATCGACGCCTTCGCTCCGTTTTCTTCGAGTCAGATTCCTTTTTGCTGGATTTTTCCTCCACTTCACTATGCTTCCTCGACTTTGATGGCTTCTCACTGTCTTTATACTCCACCTGGACTCGTTGTACAGTGACCGTCGTTTCAGACTCATCAAGATTATCATCTTTGTCAGCTTCATAATCCAGAGCGTTCAAATCATTTTCATTTTTTGTGTATGAATCCTCAACATCCTCAACTCTCGGTGGACTTTTCTCTTTCTCTGCTGCTGCCGGTTCAACCTCGTGTGGTTCTGCTTTCTTTTCGTCGGCATCAGCATTTGCAGTTTTTTCACCAGCTGTAGCATCCTGTGATGTACTCTGTTCCAGCTCATAGAAGGATTTCTTTCCATCGCGAGCCAACTTTTCGTGTCTAATCTTTCTTTCATTTTCTCGCCGCTTAATTTCAGCATCGCGGACACGCTTTTCCTCTTGAAGTCGCTGTGGGATGCAAAAAGTCGTGGTGAATATAAAATAAGAAAAGTAAAATCATTGGATTTACCTCCAAATCAGTGAATTTGATGACTCGTTTCTGTGCTTGTTTCCAATGCGGTGGTGTGATGCTGCGCGATCGGCTTCGAGACTTTGACGGTGTTCTGTATCTCTGTTTCGAAGAATATTAGTAATCGAATTTCAGTAATCAAATCGTTTAAATTAATTCGAACGAAATACTCACAAACACACCACGACCTTTGATAACTCGTCCGCTTCTTGATAGTGGTACTTTACGTTTTGACCAACCGAATCTGTTAAATGGAAATGATTTGAATAAATCTAAATCGTGTTCTTCATATATATGCAACATGAATCCAATTATAATGCTGACGTGGACTGTCCGAACGATGACAGAAATATTGTGTTTGATATCAAAACACGAATATTGGATCCATGCTAGTGATCTACTAGCTTGATGGATCATTCAAAAGCATGGATTTTTACAAAATTAATATCAATATCAAGCATGACTGATTGCATGAATTTAACCGACATTTTTTAATTGAACTCAACGAATTTGCACAAGTCGAACACAAATTGCGGATTTTCGCTACAATACGAACGATTCTGAATTCAGCGTAAACAAATGCGTTCATATCGTTGTGAATGATATTCAGTTGATTCTGTGGCAACAAAAGGTAATGTATAATTTCTTTTTCTTAAAACCTACCCTTTCGATTCGGTTCGATTTGCCTTGTTATCCTTTCGACGATGCTTTGACTCCGAATCGCTATCTTTGTCTTTGTCCTTCTCATCTTCCTTGTCTTTGTAGGCTCTCATAAGAAAGTTATTTGTGACTTCTGGTATCTCCTTTGGGTCAACACGTGATTTACGCTTCTTTGTATCGTCATCATCGCCATCAATCTCACCTTCTTCCGGCTCCTCCTCGCTGCTGCTATCACTGCTACTGCTGTGTGGAGAAAGATTCAACGGTTACTCACATTCATGACATAATTTCATGTATAGTTTATATCAACAATTTCAAAAAGATTCCTCTTTTCACAGAATAGTTTCGAGTGGTATGGAACAATTGCACTTTGATACGCTTTTATTGAACAATATTTTGTTGACTTACTCGGAATCCTTCTTTTTCTTCTTCTGCTTCTTCTTCTTTTTGTTCTTCTTCTTTTTCTTTTTTTCAGCTTCAGAATCGGACGTAGAATTGGATTCGCTCTCACTTGCTTCGCTCTTTCGGCGTTTAACTTTCTTCACTGTGAAATAATTACGCACATGTTTGATTATTAGATTCAATGTTTAATAAACATTGTTTATAATTGCAAGTAAATTTGAAGTGTTTGTAACTATTGATGGAAATGTTTTATGTTCCAGTATTCGAGCAGTGTTCAAACGTTTGATTTTACCTTTGATTTGGCGAACTAATTCGCCACAGTTGCCAATAACCGCATCTTGAAGTGGTCGCGAATTGCGATCAACTGGTAGTTGTTCCAGCTGACGAACAACGTCATGCCCGGATACAACGTGGCCAAAAACCACATGCACACTGCAACAAAAGAAGATAACGCTTGATGTTAGGAATGTGAATTTGGAAAAGATACGAAATGAAAATTATTGTTCAAATTGATTCAACTTACTTATCCAAATGTGGAGCAGGTTGCGTTAAACTAAATTGTGATAAAATGAAACGAAAAAAATAGATAGTAGGTCATAAATTGTCACACACACACAGCACAAGCAAAATTTGCCCTCAACTTCTCATTCAAGTCATTCAATATAGCCTTGAATATATATGTTTGCATAAACTTTTGCATTGGGTTGTGATTGTTCAAAGTAAAGTCTGTAACGTAAATATCGGGAATTTGGTGATTGGCTTCGAATGACAATAAAAACAAAAGATAGAAAAAAATGTGTAAAATCGTTTCTCTTCCATAGAATAATCTAAAGAAAAATTTATGCGTGATTCGCATGAAATGGTTGGGTGAACACTGAAACGACCCGGTTACACAGCGGTGTATTTGTACTCACATAAAAAATTGCGAACCGTTGGTATTTTTACCACGGTTGGCCATTGACAACAAGAATGGTTTGTCGTGCTTGAGTTCGAATGATTCATCTGCAAATGGAAAATGACAAAGAATTAAATTTACAGAAGTTTTTTTTCTTCAAGAACAAATTAAATTGCTTGGGAAATTATTTGAATGAAAACCGATTGCCTTACCTTCGAAAGTACCGCCATAAATGGATTCTCCTCCCGTGCCGTTACCAGCTGAAAAGTCACCCGATTGAATCATAAAATCCTTCACCACACGATGAAAGATAACACCCTTGTAGTGCAAACGTTTGCCGGTAGTTTTGCCCAATGACTGGATCTCACCGGTGCAAAGAGCTCGAAAGTTTTCGACCGTTTTGGGAGTTATATCCGCATACAGTTCGAAAACGATTCGGCCGGCTGGCAAACCGCCTAGTGTTACATCGAAAAATGTTCGCATTCGTTCCCCCTTACTCTTTTCGCCATCACTTGATTTGGCACCTTTCTCCGACACCACCGTCATGGTGAGCAATCAATATCACCAACTAGGAATGTGAAAAGTCAAACCAAACGTGAAATAAATTAAAATCAATAACAATTTCGATACTTTGTAGTTTCACACGCTCTTTAGTCCGATAACAGCGATAACTAACTGGAGATGGTATTTCCCGACGATCTATTTGTACTTTGTGACTAAACATGAGTGATGATGGCTCATGATGATAAAAATCGATTTTTTTTCTTTTACCTAGATTTTACTTACTTGCTGCTTGAAACTTGAACAATATGTCGATTTGATTGGTAATTTGGCGCTTGAGAAGGGAAATTGAAGAGTTTATGCTTCGAAAATTTGTCGCGGAAAATTACAGAAACACAAGCCAAACGCTAATCCAATCGGTGTGTCTGACATTTGTGGCCAATTTTACTCGGTTTGGTGCATTTTTTTCCATTTCGCCGATTCCTACGCTCACGCATACAAACACACACATACACACAAACCACGCAAAACGTATTTTGATGATGTCAAAGGAAACGTTGACATATTATGGAATATTTATTGGCTTCGCTTAAATGCTTCATTGAATTTAGAATGAGGAAAATACTTGATGGAAATGTTGTGAAATTAATCGCTGATTTCGGAGGTAATTTCCAATAGAAACCAACTAAATTGCATTCCGAAAGCCGGTTCAAAAAGTGAAATTCAAATCTGGCAAGAATAATGTCACACAAATTCGCCGCAATTGCCATCTGTCTTGGAGTCACTTTTCCAATGTGTGCCACCGAATGGGCAGTGAATGTGAGCGTGTGTGATCTCGTACGTGTATGTGTGAATGTATCGAGATAGACAAGAATACACGGTTCTTGGTCGTTGCCGCTGTTGTTGTTGTTGCGTTTGCATGACAAGCAGTGTTGGATGTTTAACCGTGAATATACTCAAAAGTGATACATTCGTCAAGTTTTTTTTATGTGCACTGGTGCAACTCTGTGTATAGTTTATTTTCTTTCGTTTTCTGCTTGAAACGCGTAAAATTTCGAGTTTTGTTTTATTTTTCCGTTTTTTCGTTTGATTTCTGAGTGCCGAATCAGAAATCTCTCTCACACACAAATCAGTTTGGAGAAAATAAAGGGGCGAAAAAACGAAAAACTCGACAGAAAAAATGGTAATTAACCTTACTCTCTCTGTGTATTATAATTTTTTTTTGGCGATTTTCTGTGTGCATGAACTTTGTACTTAGATTTCAAATCCAATGAAAATGCGGAGCAAAGAAATGAAACAAAATCAATGACTTACTGAGCAAGAAAGAAGAAGAGAAGAGTGAAATGAATAAGGAGAAGAAAAAAAAATTAACCGCGACAAAAACGACAACAAGAAATAGAAGGTGAAAGAGAAGAGACAAATAAAAGACGGCTAGTTACCGTAGAATATGGACCGAAAACACGATTGAAAATTTTGTTGTATAATTTAAACCAAAATTTTACACACATTTATGCCGTAATCGCTTTGCTGAACCAAAGGCAAAAAAAAACACACACACAATTCACATGCAAACTGCATGGTGCATGTCATGATCAATTCTTAATTATGTACATCGAAGAGCACACATGTGAATTGAAACGTCGAACTCGTAATTATAGTCAATGGATTTGAATCAAACAAGCTCGTCTCGATTTGTTTTGATTCGTTGCCCTTGTTCACTCGGAAAAAAAATACACTCGAAGCGATGAGAGTTGTTGAATGAATGTTAATGAGTTATTTTTCTCTCTTTCTCTCTCGAAATACAGGACGTATTTTTGATGATTAGACGAAAGAAAACTACCATCTTCACTGATGCCAAAGACAATACATCCGTAGGAGAACTGAAAAAAATGATTGAAGGTGCGCTAAAATAAGATGAATGATTCATTTCTAAATGGAGAAATGTGAAGAAAAGAGTGAAATTTTCCGAAATTCTTATGTGCATGTGTGTATATATTTTGTAGGCATACTGAAGGTACATCCACAAGATCAACGTTTATTCAACAAAAATAACGAAGTTATGAGCGACGACAAGCAACTGCAAGATTATGGAATTACTATATCGACAGCTAGAGCGCAGTCACCAGCACAGTTGGGCCTGGCGTTGAGGTAAAAAATACACTTTTTTGCAGCACCATCAACAGAAAAAGAAACAAATCGCACCAAAATCGAATCTAACCTCATTTTTTTCCTTCGTTCAATTATCCTTTTTTTTGCATAGGCTGGAGAACGGCGAATTCGAGGAATTAGACATAGCGCCGTACTCATCACCACCCGATTTGCCCGATGTCATGAAAAACCAAGATTCAGCTAATGGCCAAGAAACAACACACATTACATCTTAACTTAATTTTTAATGCAAATCTATTGGAATATTAAATATGCGCACCCACACACATACACACATTCAATATAAAATAGCAACAATTCATTTTGAAAGGAAAAAAAAACTACAACAACAACCGAAATTAAGTTGATAGAATTGATGATGATAATGAAAAAAAAAAACAAAACATATTTTATTATGATAATTCCCTATTAATTTTTTTCCAAATAAAAAAGTAAAATACATTTAATTTATCATTGTTTTGAATGTCACTAGTGGGATGAACGAAAAATATGCTTGTTTAATAGTAAAAAAAAACAAATCAGGAAAGACTTTTTGTATTGAGAAACATTTAGGTAGACTGACCTCTTGTTATAAAGGTAATGTGAGGCCCAGTCAATGTTGGGTAAATAAAACAAATTGAAAATTGGCTTTTGAATAAAATTGAAAACAGTTACAACAACAACGGTTTACTTGATTTTGAAATGACAGTTTTATTTTCAGTCAAAGAGTACACCGGTTTTGAGGTAGTCTCTGATGGCATTTTCTGATTAAAATATCGACTGATTATGTTTCAGTTGCACTTAATTCACTTAATTGAACAGCGTGATCAATGTCATCACATAAGATAAAAGTACACTATTTAATGACCGTTGGTTTCAATTCACATAGCCCTTTTTATTTATTCATGCAAGTTTGTCAAATTGTCACTTGCTCCTTATTCATTGTTGGGTGGATAATAATCATATATCTTCTTATTTTGGAAACTGAGCGCCATTTAATAGTTGGTTGTTGTTCGAATATAGCCTTTGCCTGATGGCATTTCAAGCCGATCAATTCCACGCGGAAAGACTCGGTCGACTAAGGTATCGTCGATATGCGGAGAAATCAATACAATATCGCCAGGCTGTGATTGTAAAGTAAAATTTTAAATTTTCTTTCCAAAAGTCATTTCTTTAACTTTTTCTTACCACCCAATCAGCCGGAGTAACTACATATGGATTTTTGTCTGTTAGCTGCAACGAGTCAATTACCCGCAAAATTTCGCTAAAATAAAGCCAAGTCGTTAAAATTGAATACACAATGAAAACAGATAACAATTTCATTTATCGCAGAGCAAACGATTTTATTGCCAATAAACTTACTGATTGCTTCTGCCCGTTGATTCGGGATAAATCATAGAGAGCCGGAGCCGATGATTGGGGTCAATAATATATAGAGCCCGTACAGTTTTAGCAACTTCAATGTCATTTTTTTGTTCGTCATCAATCATTTCCAGGGCGACAGCTAATTCCCGATTCGGATCCGCGATAATCGGATAAGGAAATTCACTAACAATACCCGAGCAATATGACGTGATATCCTTTGGGCGAAAAAGAAAAACAAATTAAATTCAATTGACCGAGTCAAACTTGTTGAAAGAAATCTCTTACATTGATCCATTCGAAGTGTGACTGGAGATCGTTGACGGAATGAGCGAGCAGTTTGACGTTGCGCTTGATAAATTGATCCTTCAGCAGAGCAATTTGGCACAATTCCGTTGTGCACACCGGTGTAAAGTCATTCGGATGCGAAAATAGCACGACCCATCTGCGATTAAAAACCAATCACCATTTTCAATTACTCAGTTCGAGGAAAATATCCCCAATCAAACCAATCACAATGAATAATTTATCTACTACGATTGAAAACTACTTGTTCAAACTACGTACGAATCACCCTGCCAATCGTAGAATTTGATTGGACCTTTGGTAGTATAGGCACTGAAGTTTGGAATTAACATTTGCAAACGCATTTTGTACGAAATTTTCCAATAATTTATTGAAAATGAAAAAAACAAATTCACCACATGTTCACTGCAACAATTCGAATTGAACTGAACAACAATTTGCTTTGACGCTTATCACTGTGTAAATACAAAAACAACTGCGATTACAAAACATTATCAGGAATTCGAGCATGAAAACTTATCACCAAAGCAGCAGCCATTGCTGTTTACGTGTTTATTTGGAGGTTTCTGTGATTCGTTGTTTGGGAAATACCCATTCCGATCATATTGTATGAGGCCAAAAGGAATCTCAAGCATGACTGGCAATTGCTTTTTTTATAGACAAACTTATTTTGTGCAATTCTCATCGTTGGATGAATGTACGTGCATTGTCTAGGTTCGGGTTTGTTTTGACTCAATTTTTTTTAAGTGGTTCGGATGTTTTTTCCTCATATTTTAGCATTTTTTCTAAATTGTTGTAATTGTGTTTATATACGTATTCTAAAAATCAAAAACAAGTTTGCTCATGTCAATAAATTTTATTAAACAAATTGAAAATTGTGTTATCAACATCAAATCATTTCGATCGATGGGAAGTTATTTCCCACAAAATGGCATATTTTCTCCTCCATCGATGAATGAATGGCTGTTTCTTTACACTTAAAAATTCTCAATAGTTGGTAGTGGTTCGTACATAGTTTTTGCCTGATGGCATTCCAACACGGTCGATTCCTTTCGGGAAAACTTTGTCAGCTAGAGTTTCATCGACATTTGGCAAGATCATCACTTTTTCTCCCGGCTAAAATTTGGACAGAAAAAGAAAACAAATTTTAAGTTTACATTCCTAAGAAACTATCTAAAAAAAAGTACAAAACACGTCCACAACTAGTTTTTTTTAATATGGTCATGAATAATTTCACTTCAATTCTTAAATACATACCGTCCAATTGGCTGGAGTGGCGATGTATGGATTTTTGTCTGTTAGCTGCAATGAGTCGATAACTCGCAAAATCTCACTGTTAAATATCAAAAGCACGCATATTACTCAAATGCGACAGAGAATCGGTTTATGTTTTAATATTTAAATGAATAGGTCTATTTATAAGTCAACACTTCAATAAGTATCGATTTTGACAAGTATCAAGACCACATCAATTGGTCTAATGAAAACTCACTCGACATTTCTACCAGTTGACATGGGGTAAATCATAGATAGTCTCAAGCGGTGATTTGGATCAATGATATATAAAGCACGAACAGTTTTTGCTATTTCTGGATCATCCTTTTGTTGTTCATCAATCATATCTAAAGCAACGGCTAACTCACGATTTGAATCGGAAATTATTGGGTATGGGAAATCACCCTTGATATCCAAGCAATAGGATTTGATATCCTTCAAAAAGTGCAAACACACATAAATTTCAATATTAATAAAAATCAATTGAGGCCAATCAAAATCGAAGGAAACCATAAACTAGTTTAGAAAAACTTACATTGACCCAATCAACGTGACTTTGAAGGTCATCAACGGAATGAGCCAAAAGTTTAACATTGCGCTTGCAAAAGTGCTCTTTATGAACGGCCATACGACCTAATTCTGTTGTGCAAACTGGTGTAAAATCAGCTGGATGCGAGAACAACACCACCCATCTGCAACGAATCACAATCAAAACTTAGTCAATTAAAAACAAAACAAAAGAAGAAACCGCGCTCAATCCCATTCAAAATTGCCGAACTGGCTTTTATATTACTTCGATCAAATTTAGAAAAAGCAAGAAGCACGAAAAACAACGGAAAACGTATTAATCACTAAAAAGTAAAAACAATTCTTTGTACGTACGATTCTCCTTGCCAGTCGTAGAACTTGATTGGCTCTTTGGTGGTTTGTGCACTGAAATTTGGAATAACCGATCCTAAACGCATTTTGTATGGAGTATTGAATTAAACGAATTTCAAATAAAAACAGAAAAAAATCACTGAATATTTCACGATATGTGTCCGCTGCAACTGTGCGAAGTGAACTGTGAGAAATAATTCACTGCACACCGCCTAATATAGTTTGATCAAGATATTAATCAAATCCAATTTAATCTTGACCCTGACAAAACGTAGCAACAACATGACGACATGGAATATGAATTCAGCATGACTTCGCATCAAATTGTTACAATATCAGTGACAGATATCTCTCACAGTTGACTTCCTATGGGTGTATCTGTATTTTAATATGGAGCAGATTTAAATGGCCGGGAATATAAATTACGTAAGAGCGTCTAATAGCGATTAATTGGCTTGCGCTAGATAAGAAAAAGTACTTTCTAAGTATGACAAACAAATTGTATGTTACGATTTATATTCTGTCACACAAATAGATACGAGTTACAACAAAATATTGTTTTTTTTCTCGTCAAGTCGTTTATCAACAAGTATGTGCAGTGTGCACTCCAAAATAATGTTCTCAGCTATCTCTAAAAGTATTAGGCATTGGTAATAATGAGTAAGTTAGACCACTCACGGTTGCAAATTAATCGATGAATCGTCATTGAAACAATTCTTTCTTTTCGAAAAATTTCTGCAGTATCAAATAAGCAGACGTTTTCACATTGAGTTAACTCTAATGATATTAGGACATAAATCGGAATAATATTGGAGCAATACTAAATCTTGAAGAACTCTAATTGAGGCTATACCATTGCTAATGGAAATTATTTTCCTTGAGTTAATGTGAAATGATGATGCACTTCAAATTGTTGAGAAAAAAAAACTTGAGATAAGTTGTGTCTCCACCTTATACGATGGATAGATAACCCAAAAAGTTAATAAGATTTCTATGCATAATACGAAAAAAAACCACTCGAGTTAATTTTGTTGTTGATCATTTCTTTTCCACATTATTCTACTTCCATGTCACGGTAATAATGTATGGAATCAAAGGTTTAGGGCTCACTTAAATCTACTATGCAAACATTTTCGACACTTTGTTATGAAATAATCAAATAAGATGAATAAAACCAAAAATGAATGGATAATATAACTAAAACATGACGTACTTTTTCAATATATTCCAATTGCTTTCGACGCACAAAAAATCACCTTTCATTTTGGTATAAATAATTTCTGTTTTATTTATTCGTTTAAAAATTATATTAAATGTTTACATGTTCATTTCTTCATTTCTTATAAATACCAACTCAATTGCTTTATCCTAGTTGATAAATTGGAAATATGCACAAATACTTGAATACAAGGGTGGTTTCGTGTTTATCTTGAGTGAATGAAGCCACTTCAGTCGGAATCATCAGACATCATATCGGCTGATGTTGATGGGATACCATCCAGTGGATCAATCACCACTGCATCTTCCCGTTCTAGCTCTTTTTGTTCAAGGTATTCGATAAGGCGCTTCTTGAAAAACTCAACATAAAAAGGTCTCTGTTGCGCTGTGGCAGCAAAATAGTGCCCGCCCAAGTGTTCCACAATGGTTGGCTCATCGAAGCATGCTGCCAGTGATTTGCTCATTTGAATTGGAATTATTTCATCAGTTTCTCCCATAATATGCAGAGATGGAATTGAGATGAGATCTTCATAATAATTCGCATGAGCCAAACTACCCGACCGAAAACCAGCCCCCAAAATAGCAAACTGTGGATTGATGCTTGTCACTGAAAATGAAAACAAAACGTTCATATTAAATGGAATTTAATGAAATGTAATAAAAGAAGCCAATCGTTTTGTTTCTTTTGAACTAGTTGTTCACAGTTTCTTTCTGATAAGGAATCAATTTCGACTATGAAATTAATCCGAGTCTGATAGTACTTACTGCCTCTCATGCTGAGATTACAAATCAATCCAACGAGACAGGCGCCTTGTGAAAAACCCAAAATGCCATGAAATGGTCCAAGCATTTTCCATGCGTGTTCAATCGCTCGGATGGTGTCATCAAATCCATATGCAGGCCCATTTTTATTCGTTCCCTTGAACGTACGATCTTCACTGTTGAACCACCAGCTTCTTGAATCATCATCGGTTTCAATTGTTTCGGTCGATGTGTCACTGTCCTCGATGCGTTGTATTACGCTGCTACCTTTTGATGCTTCGCCATTTGTCGTTTGAACCATATGCGGTGCGGATAAGAACACAAATTCGCCATATTTCAATAAATGTTTCCGGAATGCACCTAAAACCACATTGAAAACAATTTCATTAATAATTTCCTATTTCATAGTTTGACCTTGCTCACTGCAATGTGACGATAATTTACCAATTTTTGATTTAAATGTGTTTCCATTCTGTCGATATCCATGCAAGCAAAGAACTCGTAGTTTTTCCTCGGGCTCCGAATCGTTGCTCTTCTGTGGTTTTTCTTTGTGTTTTGTTGAACTCATGGCCAATTTTCAATCAAAAATCGAATTATCTGTACAAATAACAAAAATTAGGTTATAAATGTTGCCTAAGTATTGCTGTCAGTATTTGGTCTTAAATGTCAAGTGACGTTTCGTTTGGACATGTGTGTGTGTGTTGTTTGCCTGAAATCGCTGTAGTAACCGGCTTCTTGGGAATGTTGTGCGCTGCCGCTGTGAACGGGGGCAACACTTTCCATGATTTTGTTCGGCCGCCGCTCATTGCGTCAGTCCAATTTGTCAATTCGCCTAGCAAATGACGCTGATGTGCGTATAGCTCACACTCTGGGGCTCCAAAATCACTACTCGTTTTTTTTCTTTCAAAAATCTAAATTTAGTAAATAAAACACAAACAACTGATTCGTTGCAGATTGCCGAACGAAATTTTTTGTTGATCTGATTGTGTGATCGGTGACAGTGCTTAAAGGTGTTCACTATGTCGATTCGTCATGAAGGTAAATACAAGTTTCCGTGGAAATCCAATGTTCAAGCCTACTTTGTGTCAAGTTTATTGTTTTGTGTGCATAAAATCAATAAATCACCGGGCTAGTGGCAAATGATTCAAGCAATTCAATCGATTCTAGTTTTTAGTCGATTTGATACTTACTTTGTTCACAATTCTTACAATTGAATATCGAAACAACTTGTCACATTGTCAATGTCAATGGAAAAAGAGAAAGAAAAAAACAAAATTGAAATTTGAGCTGGAAAAATGAAATGGACTTTTGTGCTAAATCGCAATACACACTGTGGAATGTAATTTGTTCATGTTTCAGGTGGTGGTCCGATCGAATCATTTGATAACGATGATATTCAGGGCGATTGCAATGGAAATATAATTCGCATTAGGGGTTTGCCATGGAATACAACCAAACAAGAGATCTGTGATTTTTTCGACGGTGTAAACATTGTGAATGGTGAAAATGGCATCCATTGGGTCACTCTAGCCACTAATCACACCAAACCACTTAGCGAAGCATACATTGAACTAGCTTCATTTGATGATCTGCAACGTGCACAAACATTTCACAAGAAAAACCTGGGCACTCGGTACATTGAAGGTAAATAGAATTGGGGGGAATGTACTATGACGTTGTTTAATGCGATGTTTGTTCCGACTAAATGAACTGGAACATTGAATGCAATCGATGTGTATGATGCATGTTTTACTATCGTTTACAGTGTTCGAATCGAGCTTCGATGAATTCCAAAGTATAATGAGTAAACAAAAAGGTGCCCAAGATGAAAGTGTGGTACGATTGCGGGGTTTGCCATGGAATGCAACCGAATCGGAAATTTCTGAATTCTTTGACGGTGAGAAATTTAAAATGCTATTTTTCAATGGCGGTATTTTAATTCAGCTTGTGGAACTTGGGAATTGCCAACGCGTTCCGAACTCTAACCGTTTTGCACTCTCTCGATAGGTTTACTAATCAAACAAAACAACGGCATTTATATACCTTACAATAAAAATGGCAAGGCATCCGGCGAAGCATTTGTGCATTTTGAGACAATTGAAGACTGTAACCAAGCCCTGACACGCAATATGAATAAGCTGGGCCACAGGTTTGTTATTGCAATTTGGTTTTTAAAAAAAATGATGATTCTTCACCGATATTTCCATTTACTTCGCGACTTTTGATATCTCGTCATAAAGCGGCGGGCGATAAGAGTTCAAATCCATCATATAAAGTGTGTGCATTACATTTTATACGTAAACTATCATATCGATATTCACGATAAACAGTTTACAAGTTTATTTAACTGTCAACTGCAAACCAGTTTATTTATAAACAGCGATTGTTTCATTTGTTTGTTTGTTTTTGTTCTTCGGTTAGGTACATTGAAATATTCCGAAGTACGGAACAACAGATGATTCGAAGTGTAATGCAAACGAATCCGAATCGCAACAATGGTGGCGGGCGAAATTCGAATAGTGGCAACTTTCAGTCAAACGGCAACAATCGAATGCACCCGTACGACCGTAATGGTGGCAACAACTTTGGCCGGGGAAACAATATGCGAGGCAGAAATCAAAATAATCGAAACGATTTTCGAAGAGGTATAAACACGAGAAACATTTTCAATTTTTTTCATAAAAAGAAGGACACATACAAGAACAGATTTACAGGCAATAACATATTATTAACTATACTTAATAACATAATAATAACGGTCGATATATTGGTCCAACATAACATAATAATAACGTTATTAAGATTCAGCATAATAATAACATAATATGTTCCGAAATATGTTGGATTTTTCTTAATAAATCCTATGATTCGGCGCTAATAATATATTATTAACTATAATAATAACATATTATTAAGATACAATCTTAATAACGCTTTTTTCGCCCATTTTTTTCGCCGGAGTACTGACCAGTTGTTTTTTCACTGCGGAGTACACACATGAATTTTTGTACTGTTGCAATGAAATTAAAATGACTTTTTGAAACGGAATTATCATGTATTAAACTTAACCATTAAGTTTAGGAAATTTATTTAGATAACACCCGATATAACTCATAACATATTATGTTATTATTATGCTGAATCTTAATAACGTTTTTAAGATTAAAAAAATCCCAACAATAAATAATAATGAATATGTCGGGCAATAACATATTAATAACATATCGAAAATTTAAATCTGTGGTTGTTTTTTGTCCGCAGAATTGAAAATATCTTTGAACTAACTTCATTTTTCCCACAGATCGCCCGAACAACAATAACGGGGATTCATTCATGCAAAACTCAGGCCAACCTAATAATCGTAACTTTGGAAATCGATCGTTCAATTCAAACAATGGCGGTGGCAACGGCGGCAACGGCGGCAATTCCTTTTCAAACGATCGAGATCGATTTGATCAAAACAATCAAAATGCGAACGGAAATTTCTATGAAGATTTTGATCTGAACGAATTTGCAAAGAATCTTATCGGCTTTGGCAACGATAGTCGACAAGACTTTGGTGGCAATCGAAACTTTAATAATAGACAACAAGATTCTGGTGGTAACAATGACTTTTTCGGAAATTCAAACTGGAAAGGTTCAAATAATCAATTCAATTCCCGTGGTGGCGACGGCGGCGGTGGCAGCGGTGGTGGTAGCAGCGTAGGCGGCGGCGGCGGCGGCACAAATAATCGCTTCAATAACAATCGAAATTTTGTAAGCAACGATGATACTCTCAGCGGCCAGCACTGTATTCATATGAGGGGTTTGCCATACTACACGGATGAAATGGATGTCTTTACCGTAGGTTCCCTCTTCTGACAATTGTTTAAATGGAATGAACTCAATTTTGTTCGCCCGTATTCAAAAGGTAGTTTATAACAATGCAATTTGTGTGTCTTTTACAGTTTTTCTCACCACTAAAGCCAAATTTCTGTAAAATTATAATCAACAAAGCTGGATTGCACAGTGGCGAGGCTAAAGCATACTTTGATTCATACGACCAAGTTAGAACGGCAATGAGCAAAGATCGCATGAAAATGGGAAGTCGCTACATTGAATTGTTCTACGGCGGTTCATCAAACTAATATAGCCAAGGGGATTTATTTGCTAGGGGGTTTTGAGTGATTAATCAAGTGTTTCATTTAATTTATAAATTTATAAACTAAAGAAAGAAGAAATCAGCAACAACAAAACCAACTACCTTCTGATTCCAGTCGAATCAATTTCATATAACACAAACTCACACGTGCGCATTTCTTCAGCTGGAATTTGAACATTATATTTAAACATTATAGCTAAATGTACGTTTGTATGCGTAAACTAATTTATGTCACGAAATAAACAAAACAACGGATTTTTCATTCAATTACAACAATTTTAAAAGAGTCGTTTTTCTTCAAATTTCTACGAATGGTTCGTCCTTTTTCATGTGTTTGGTTCAAAGAAAAGTCGACTTTTTTCTTGGAGTTATTTCAAATGTGGTTTATTTGAATCCCAGGTAAAGTGAAACGCAACAAAAAAAGAGTATACCATACCAAATATAAAGAAATATACTAATACCATCGTCGTAAAAAAAACCTTTCCAGAAAAAGTTGGAATTTCCAACTTGGAAATTTAGTAAGAATTTGTGATCAATCTTCTCGTGTGTCCATACAGTAAACAAGGTAAATGTGACTAGAGTGATATTACTTTAGCTCATCTTTTGCCCCAGATTTTGTGTCTGGTGTCTTGGATTCATTGGCGGAATCAGACTTAACATCATCATCCTTTGGTTTTCCACTTCCTCCGGCTTTGTCTTCTGCATTTGGTTTCTTGTTTGCTTCATCGATTTCCTTATGTTCATGTTCGATAAGTTCTTTCAATTCATCACCAAGACCAACTTTATTAGCTAGTTCCAAAACACCGTCATCACAGTCACCGAGCCAAGCAACATCTCGTTTGTTATTCTTCTTGCCAATCAATAGTGCTGCATTTCCGAAAAGGAAATCGTATCGCGAAGCCGTGCCAACCAACTCTCTGTTGATCAAAAATCGTACGCATTGTTTCTTCGGTCGGTTAACGAGCGATGCAAATGGTTGAACTTCCAGCGAGGTTCCCATGATGATCAATAAATCGCATTCCTTGAAATCTTTGTCCGGTAGTACATGGAATTTTCGTGGCAAATCCTCTCCAAAGAAAACGATATCCGGTTTCACAACACCATTGCACTTGATGCATGTAGGCACATTGTCAGCGAATATTTGCTCTTTCATCCATTCCATGCTGTACTCACGACGACAGCCCAAACAGTGATTGGTGTGGAATGTTCCATGCGCTTCCACCAATTTCTCACTGGGAATGCCCGCAATATGCTCCAAAGTGTCGATATTCTGAGTGTAGTGTCGCAAGAGTAATCCTTTTTCATGTAGCAATCGCACGAAATAATGGCACGGTGTCGGTTTAAATTGCCCCGGATACAATTCTTTGGCCAATGCGAAAAATGGTTGTGGATTCTTCTTAAAATAGCCTATCTCGAATACGGCTGTCGGGTATGGAAGATCATACTTTTGCAAATTGTGATAGAGTCCAGTTTCAGGAGATCGAAAATCGGGAATGCCAGCAGCTGGAAAGAATTGATTGGAAACGTAGTTTTTTTTTTAAACCAATTGAACCTTTTCTGAGTTGTCACATTATTTTGACACGAACCGTATCGAATTCACAGTTCACACCAAAAACATGCAATTTAGGTCAACTTACATGTTGAAATACCAGCTCCAACCAACGTGATAATTTTTTTAAATCCTTTTTCCTTCCAATGGTCAATTAATCCTTGACAATCAACCGTTTTCAAAACTTGTGGGCCACTTGTATCGGCTTCGTCATCGGATGACAATCCCAATTTATGCTTAAGATACTGTTGAATGTAATCCAATTTAGATTTATCCGTCGTTGGTTTGGTGTAGTCTGAAGATGCGCCACACTCATCGTCGTCACTTTCAGAGGAAGAAGGAACGTGTGGTTTCTTCTTTTCACGATACTCTTGCTTCGAGCCATCTACACAAAAAAAGAAAAACGTGTTTCACAGTCAAAATTAAAACGCAATACATCGAATATAATTCCCCATATCAATCACCTAAAAGCAATTTTTCAATCTAAACTCACCCTTTGATTCGCTCATCTCGAATCGGATTTGCGAAAAACTGAAGAATTTGCTGGAAAAATGATGCAGATGTCGAAGTGGCGATTGTTGACAATAATATTGCATGACAAGTGCAGCGCATGAAGTGTCAAAACCAAAACAGAGTCCCGTCCAATAGTGTTTGCGGCGAAATGGTTCACTGTATGAGTGTATCATGTAATTATATAATTGTCATTTCTCATATTTCTACACGCTAAAGTCTTTACTCCGTCCAATTGGAATCCTAACCTCAAACATGTGCCATTGACACAAAAGTCCAGTTTCAATCATCGATCTGCCGAATAAAAGTGTATTTTATTTAAATTTCGCAGTATTTTGAATGGATTTTTATTTTGTGCGGACTACACAAATCTAAAATGATACGCATCCATCTCGAAAATTCGTTATGAGCGGTTATTTTTATTTGGATATTTTACTGTAAGTAGCAAAAAGTGCGATCAATCATTTTCATTGAAGTTCATTTGTTGTGACAAAATGAAAAACCAGTTATTGATTCATTTTCAATTTTATGTTATTTGACCAATAGGAAATTGGCAAGTGAAGCAGAAAATTTATTACCAGTTTATGTAAAAGGTTGCATAGAACAGTCGTTGCATCGTATTTTTGGAGAAATTGGTGGTCACACAACAATTGACGTGCTAAAATTTGATGAGAAACGACATCGTTTGATTCTAAGAGTTCCTGAACAATTTTATGTTAAGTTGAGAGCCGCTTTGACACTTATCGATAAGTTCCAAGGCATTCCTTGTTATTTTCACGTTCAATCAGCATCACGCGTACTTCTCTCTCTGTTGGATACATTTTGATTTCGCTGAAACGATGTCGCATTGCAAGGATTATGGAAAAGACAAAGTGATTTTCGCCACAAAAGAAGACCACGAAAAGCCGAGCACAGTTGAATTGCCGGAGACGGAGCGAGCGCCTGGTTTGATTCTACCCGATGGAGAAATCAATTGGAATTGCCCCTGTTTAGGTGGCATGGCAACAGGCCCGTGCGGAGTTGAATTTCGAGAGGCGTTTTCATGCTTTCACTACAGGTATAGCATATAGATCGTATTTTGATATTGCAACGAGACATTTTTTTTCGATTTGCTCACTAGCATCACAAGAATTGCGATTTCGTCATCTCATTCAAACCCATTTTTTCTTCTGTTTTACAGTGAAGCGGAACCAAAAGGTTCCGATTGTTACGATCAATTCGCCACGATGCAAGAGTGCTTCGCCCGATATCCAACCGTATACAATAAATCCGGCAGCCCCGATGATGATGACGATGACGAAGGGAAAGATTTGGATCCAACAAACTTATTAGCAACACAAAGCAACGTCGATACTGTTGATCAGCTCGAAGAAACAGACAAAACTCCAAGTGTTAAAAATGATAAATCAACGGAAACAACAAGCAAACCTAAAGTTTAATCCCACATAGCAAATAAAATTGTAGTTTTTTCGGAATGAAAGTATAAGCAAGCATGATTTTGTGTCAATGCAAAAGATATAATAAAGAATATGTTTATTGACTTATTCAAAGTTTAAAATTACCGTGGTTTTTATTTTAATTTACTCGCTTAAACGGTTTATGTTAAAATTTAAAAATTTGTCATTCTACTAATAAGGCTGATGAGGTTCATAAGGTCTAGCTGTCTCGAGTTCCGATACTATTCCTTCTCATCGCCAATACCATCTGTGTTGATGGAGAACGTGGCCTCAGACTCCGGAAGACATGGCGAGTCGTAAATTTTGCAAATGCGCGAGTCACCTCGACCTTTGCGTAAAGACAGCCGTGTCGTCGATGCGTGCGCAATGATGTTGCCACCGATTGGCTTCTTTGGATCAGCTTGATGCATTGGACCACCTGAATCCACCGTCGCTACGACCTGATTCGTTATCAATATTGCAACGCCGAATTCGTCTGACAGTCGAAGCAACATTCGCAGAAAACGTGCCAAATGCATCTGACGAGCTGACAGTTCACCTCTTCCGTTATAGTCTGTTCGATACAGCTGCAATATGGATAGAATGAATCAGAATATTTGAATTTAAGCAGGATGTTTAATGTGAATGTCTCAATGAGTTTCTGAATGAACGCATTGAAATGCCCAATTCATAGCATTTTACTTACAGCTGTAGCACTGTCAACGATGAGCAAAGCATAACGCGTCTCAGCCATCATTGCAGCTGCTTGGATCAGAAGTTCAGTCTGATGATCTGTATTATATGCCCTAGCACAAGCCACATTGTCCAACACTTCGTTTTGATTCAGTTTGAAACGTTCAGCAACCTAAAAAATGCATTAAATTCAGCTTGGTTGGATGAAGAAAAGTGGCACTACACGACTGGACTCACCGCTAACAATCTTTCGGGCCTGAATGTTCCTTCTGTGTCGATGTACAGGCATTTGCCTTCACCACCACCTTGGCTGATTGGCAGTTGACATGTTACAGCCAGTGTGTGACACAGTTGTGTTTTCCCTGTTCGAAACTCACCAAACATTTCTGTGATTGAACCAGTTTCAATACCACCACCTAGTAATTTGTCCAGTTCACGTGAACCTGTCGTTAAGAACACGATTTCAGAGCGCTTATGATGAAATTCATTCGCAGAAAAGAATCCCATTGGCACGAATTTGGCCGCTTCGGCCAAGAGTTTTTCCACTTTTATTTCGGAAAATCCTTTAATTGCACTGGAATAAGAAGAAGAAAACGGTTAGTTTGAACATTTAAACTCTTTTCGTTTCGATTTGTTCTAGTTTGAGCTCATTTCATTTGAATTTGCTAAAAGCAATTACTTTATAAATTTGTTCACAGAAAAAAATCGCTAAACGAAGGAAATCGCTAGTTTCCATCCCATATTTCAATTGAACACATCAAACTCGACGAAAAACAGTACTATTGACAATACTTCTTGATTATCTATCTGTACTCCTAACTGTAAATTGCTGCCATGGCAAAATCTGCATTGAAAAATTCCATTTCACACAATACTGAATGCCAACTTTGTGTGTAATGAAACAATGGGGCCAAGCATAAACGATGCTGTTGTTGTTGTTGCTGCTGCTTTAGTTTCAACTCAACTGCAAACTTCAAGTTAGATCGTCCGATTTTAAGAAATGGGTGCTTTGTGCAACCAAAACATGTTCAAACACGAATGTCATTATGTAAATAAACAAGTCGTATCATACTCACAGCAAAGCCTTTTTCGGCACAAACAGCAGTGAATCAACGGTATAATATCCCTCCGCTTGCAATTTCTTAATGTCGCCATTTGTGATTCCGTTAACCTATTCAACGACAACAACTTGTTGTGAAATTCTCTGAATGAAAAAAAAAATGCATTTTTTCAAGTCATACATACCTCGAGTTTTGTGATCAATTGTGGTCCAAATTCTTCATCTGCTTCATCATTTGGAACGGTTTTCACCGATCTACCTGCTTCACTTTGTGCCATTTTCGATGTTTCTTCTATCGAATTTGTGGAATGGACAAAAATATGTACATCAATTGTTTTCACAGTGTGTGCCGCACAATACGACTTTGTTTGTTGATAGATTCACAACGACAAATCCCGCTCAGCTGAATTGTCGTTTGATTTTGACAGCTGACCGCTCGTAGCGCCATTCCATTGGCGAACAAAGAAAACAAAGAACGAATAGTCTCCACACAGTTCAAGTCAATGAATTTCTCGAACCATCGTTTCGAACTGGTTTTGATGGAATCAGCTGAAATATCGGTTGGAGAAATACCGATTCAATTTTGTTTAAATCCATTATTACATTTTCTAAAAAAATTTCTGTGTAATACTTTGCCAACAGAAATAATTCATTCAAAATTCCATTGACAATTTCGAATGAAAAAAACAATTATTGTTTCCATTTCAATTCCGCATGCGGAGAGTTTATAGTCAAATGGAAGCGTATATGAAGTCTCCGCAATCAGCCAGCGACTCTACAAATGTTTTGTTTTTCTTTTTCACACACACAATGGGTCAACTAACTAGTTGAAACAGTACGAGTAAAAGTGCAGAGTTGGAAATGTGTTATGGAAAAACACAAAATCAAAATAAAGTAAAAATCAAGTGAAACAATAGTAGAATCTTGAAAAAATTTCGATAAAAACAATTGAAAAAGCGAAAAAATATAAAAGATATAGAAAAATTCGCCAGTGTAAGTGCGTAAATGTGTATTAGTTCAATAATATGAAATAAAAATAGAGACTGTCGTTGCATGGTATTGAAATCAATTAGTTAATTCATTCATCGTTGTTTTTTTTTTGCTGTGTTTGGCCTTGTTGTGGTATTATGAATATTTCTGTGTGAAAAGAGTACCATTTGGTTATTTTCGTGATGATTTTTCGAGTGTTTTGGCAATTTGATAACAATTGATGTTAAAAATTCCGCCAAAATTCTATAGCTAGATGAAAATAAAAATAGATTTTTATTAAATAAAATTTAATGGGCAAATTTCTATTCAATCAAAGTTGCTCATTAAGTAAACAGTTTCTATTTATTTTACGATGGTCTTGATAGCAGCAGCAGCAACAGCGACAACGGAGAAGAGAGAGAAAAAAACTTTAAATCACATTGATACTCATACGCATTCATATCTTCTTCTTCTTATATTGGTTCGTTCGTTGTGTATTGTTGTTTCATTTTCACGAATCTAGTTTGTGCTAATAAAATATTCAATTTTCAATGTGTGCCTTCATTTGATTTTCTTCTTGTTTCGGATGTTATTATTGCTGTGCAGTTGTTGTAACACCACATTCGTTAAGGCCATAGAGACAGAGGCGAACACTGATAGCAAACACACAATGTGTATGTAGTGTGTGTCAGTATCTGTCTCTCTGTCTTTGCTTTCATGCTTCTTCTTCCTTTTTCAATGTGCGATGATTTTGTTTTTGTTGTTGCCTTTGTTGTCGCTGCTGAGCGTGAATTTTAATTTCTTTGGCATTCTTCTTCAATTTTTTCTTTCTTCCATTTCTCGGTTCACATGATATTATTGATATATACCAATGTGTGCATATATACTATTACGCATGGAACCTATACATTGGCTGATTGCGTACGTTGTTTATATGTATCAATGTGTGTTGATTTCATTCCGTAGAATGAAGCCATCGGCCATTCAGCTTAATATGAAATCGAACTTTGATTGAATATACTTTGATAACTGCACCTCACCATCTCATAGTGAAAGTTTTTTTTTTGAAGCAGTGTGCATGATATTCGCCGTAATGTTTATTAGGTGTATAAAATCCAATTATTAAATTTACAGTTCGAAATTAAAGGATTACTCGAGACTCGAGGTGAACTCCAGCGAAAGACAAAAACTAGTGAAAGTGAAAATATGATTTGAACAAAGTGCACATATATTTGTGAGACAAATCGAAAAGAGGAAGCAGATAGGAAAACGTGACTTAAAACACAGAGAATTTAAAGCAAAAATTTATTTAAATGTTGTGAACGCCAACCAGAGGAAGTGAAAAAAAACAATGTGTTTCATGGATAGTAAATCACAGGCGTCGATAAGCAGTGAGCTACCGAACAAAATGATCAACGGAAAACGGGCCAAACCGAAGGAAAAACGAAGGTAAGTGTGATAGTGAGCGTGTGTGTGTGGATGTGTAGAATTTTCACATCCATATAATTTGTCGTTGTCATCATTTCAACATCCAACGTCTATATTTACTCACTCACTTATTCGGTTCATGTGACATGGAGCACTGTTTTCAGTTTTCTCAAATAAAAGATGCACGAAATATCCCATTTTTCGAGTAAACTTAACGAAAACAGGCCTCGATTATCTATATCAAGTTGCCACAATTATAAAAATTCATATAAATATTGCTTGAGATTCCCTGTCAACGACTCACAATTCTATTTATTTTCTCTTTGGTCGTAAATACAGATGACCTATTTTACTTTGTCTCTCTCCCATCGCCATATCACAAATGCACACAAAAACAACGTGCTGTTGTGAGCTTGTGCTAGTGCGTGTGAGACAGCTCCTTGGCGATCATTTTCATTTATACATATTTTATGGCTGCGTGTTGTTGTTGACTGTCTGTGCTGCTATTATATTTTAATCATGGTAACTGATTGAAATTTTTGTATGCCGTATTCGAGACTCCATCCTTCGAATAAATGATATTCGCAGCGCTCAACACATTCGAAGGAGGTTTTTTTCTGTTTTATAACCGAACAGATTAAAGCAAAAGCCATAAAAGTTTATTCGTTTCAGCAAAAAGTGTGTGCAATGCAACGCACAAGCAAATAAACATGTCAACACAAATGATATTGTAACTGCGTTTTTATCGGCGCATCGGTGTGACAATTAGCGAACATCAACAACACACAGCTCAAATTCACCCAGAAAACGCGTTCAACAGAATTTAAATGAGCTGCCTTTCAACTAATACAACCACACTTGCGCAGCCTGCTATCTGATACTTGTTCTCATTTATATTTCTCAATATTTCTTTTGTTGTTAATTAACTGCCTTCGCTATACCGCATATACGTTGTATTTCTCTTTCTCTCTTTCTCTCTTTCAATCTCCTTTTATCGACAATATTTTTTTGGACAATCGTTATTTTTTTTAATCAAATTTGACTGCAAACAAGTTTTTATTTCCACTTTTCAACTGTTGCGTTCCATTGTTGTCGTTAAATTTTCGTTCATTTTCGGTGTCGCGATCGAATGATCCGAACCGAATTCGGGCTGAAAATTCCTGCAACCACAACTCTCTGATTGTGCATGCGCACACCATACGTGCTGAATGATCGTTGTTTTAGACGCAAAACATACGCATTTGAATTGTATGAACAACATCACGGAACACCATGGGAATGACGAAAATAAATTGATTCTTCGGAAATACAACTTCAGGTTGGACAACATTTATATAAACCGTTTTGCAGGTTGTTTTTTTTTTTCTAATGGAACGCTTTTTTATTTGTGACGACCCTCCGATTTAATACACTATTTTGAAATTGCTACGAAACCTTGCACAAACAACAGAAAACCCGACCAGAGAAATCGCGACAATATGCAAATTTGCCCAATTCATTCGCACCGGTTACTTTTTTCGGTGTGGTGCATAAAAAAAATGTTGCATGGCAAAAATTCGTTATGTGAATGGTATGCAGATTAATGTCATTTACGGTCAATTGATCGCCAGTTTTATGCCCGTTGTTCTCAGCGCACAGAAAATCTCGAGAGCATTTAGAGAGGACAAAAACCAGTTTTTCAACTTCGATCAATTTAATTTACGGCGTATTTCAATTTGATTTGTTTTCATCATTATGCCCACATGTTTACATCTGTTTTTCTTTCTCTCTCTCTATTTTTTGCTCTCTGTCACTCTCTATCTACAAACGTTGTACATACATTGTAAAGAACAAAAACAAATGCGGATACAGTGTGATAAATAAATACCACTGTTATCATATCATTAGGCAAAATGTGTGCATTTCTTTAAGAAGAGAACAAACAAAGCGTTTCATATTCCAATATCCTAGTTATTAGTGGGGCCAAAAATCAAATCGTTCATGTAATGTTCGAACTCATTAAGAAATGAGTTTTTTGCTTCCGATTTTGAACAAGCGTCTATATTATTGAATGGTGCCTGGTGACTAATGACAAAATTACCAATTCAAATGTGTTTTTGAAATCAACAAAACACTTTTGTTTTGATTCCATTGATAAGAGATCGTTTGCAAATCATTAAATTCGCATGTTGACCGACTTGAATAAATTAATTTCTATAGATAGAAGCCCGTGTTCGATAAAACGTTTTGCTTTTTATCTTTATAGGCGCGCATATTTCCATTTCTACTTCCCAGTCAGGAACCATGTGTTTACCAAGATTTATCGGCATGTCGTCAAGTGAAGTGTTCGATGGCAAACAATTCGATATGTTCTTTCATGACCATTCCTATTATTTTATTGACTAAAAAATCTAAATTTGCAGCAAAAAAAGCGCCTGAATTTCTGCTAGTCCTTTATCAGATTCACCCTTGTAAGAAAATTTATAATGAGAGCAATATTTTCTATCAACAGAGTGTGACGACACTGCTGGAACAAAAAAACGCAAAGATGGTTTGATTGAATTAAATTAATCTTGAGAGAGTAAATCGCGCGCGTTGTACTAAAATCTAAGCGCATGTCGAACACAATCAAATGATAATCTCAAACGTTATCTTATCATAATAGAGTAGAAAACAAGACCGCAGAGCTCCGCTTCGCTCCGCTCTGCGTTCTTGAGTTTTTGGTTACCTAATCTATTTTGTTGTTCCACAACAAACTATTTTTTGGCGCACTACATGAAATGTATTTCATCAAAGTAACTTTGAAGTAATATATTTATTTGAAAAATGAATTACAAGATTTGTCGTTACTGCCACTGTTTTAAATTAAATAAAAAATATGGGCATAAAATTCAGATTCACCATATTTTGTTTCAACACTCAAAAAGTATCAAGGAAAAAAAAGAGCAGATTAGTAGCTCTAGATTTCATGTAGTGCTAAAAAGAAGAATTCTGCACATCATACAATGATACTGGGCGATTATGTGTGTGCGTATGTCTGTGGGCCATTGTATGGAGAGTTCATTTGTTCGGCTCATATTTGATAATTGTAATTGTTGTGAAATTGAAATTGTCTATGTTTTGATTTGTACTTTACGGGCGATCGCTTATCTGATTATTGAGCTGCAAACTGATGAACCGACTAGCGGTACGGACAGTAGCTAGGCGAGTGCGGTCACATGAAAATCAACGACGACTCTAGTGATGTGCTGTTTGAAATTTCGTCAAAATTCAATAACAATTACCGAACCCTATTCTAACATTTGGATGGGTGTAAATATTCGATAAAAAGACGCAATAGAAATCATATTTAACGCAAACGGACAGAACGAGACAAAGAAGAAGTGATTTGTTTTCTTCATATTTTGTAAATAAAATGGATTATTACCGGCAATCGAGTGCGGCCACTGTGCCGACAGGTTGTTCACCAACTTGGTACGAAGCGGTTAATTCGGAATTCTTCAACGAACAAGATCAAATACAAAAAATGAAATCGAATAACCAACACATCTACGCGAACAGTACTGCTGCTGCCACCACTGCCACGAATCACTCGATAAATATGCACGAGCAACCTTTGACCAACGCGGTGACAACAACCGAACATCAACAAACACACAACAACAACAACATGGAATATTATAATCGGCCCATATCAATGCATTTCAATAATGATGCTAATAACTATTTTCCACCGCCGCCACCACCGCCTTCGTCTCTTGTTGGCGATGGCAATGCGTTGCTGTCATACGCACCTTGTCAGGGGCCACGACCATGGAATTTTGCACAATGCTATGGCTTTTATGGTCAACCAGCTTGTTCAATGCTCAAGATTATTGACATGGAAGATTTTATGTGAGTTTCGTTTCGTAAGTGCAATTTGCGGCGCTATGTCTGTCTCTCTTTATGTGTCTTTGTGCGTGCATTGGTGTTTGTGTGTGCAAGAAAAAATTGTTGTGCATTGCAATAAAATCGTGAATTCTGTCTCGGTGCATTCGTCGTCTAAGCGGATGCGTCAATAAACCGCCGATTTGATGTCTGTTCTTTTGATTTTTATTGCGATTTTGAATTAATCAGGAGATCCGCGTACGTGCTGCCCTATTAAAATGTTGTGTGTGTTTTTCTTTCCGTTCGAGTGCTTGTTTTAAACATTCTACATTTATTTCTATCGATCCAGAAAAAATCGTTACTAAATGAAACTGAGCGTACAAACACATGCCGTGTAAATTTTCTTTGTTGTTGTTGTATCAACAATTCAACCAAAAATGAAGAAAAAAACAACAAAACCATCAGCAGAAAATTGTATGGCGAGCGCGTCGATAGCCTTTGCTCCAATATAAAAAGCGCACACCATTCAAATTGCTTGGAATTCTTTCATGTTCGATAGCGTTATCATTTGTGACATTAGACAAAATACAATTTGTTTTTTTCGGTCTTGAAATTGGCAAACTGATTAACAGCCCTCTTCTTTGCCAAAGAGAAGCTCTCAGTTGGCAGCATTTCTTATTATAAATCAATCATAAATTATAATTATCGGGTAAAAGCAAAAAGAAAACAATAAGTTTTGTTGGTTTTTTTTTTCAATGACAAAAGTTCAATTATTATGGAAAAAATTCCATTTCGATGATGATAATAACGACTATTTCCTTCGGACAGTCAGAAGGTTTTGATTGATATTTCATGATGCAATCGTTCTTCAAAGAAGAAATGATAAAATTCCCCTTTGTTGAATATGATAAAATTGACATTTCAACCTGAAATTATCGATAATCAACACAAGTTTGATAATGTGATAATGGGGGAAAACCAACATTTAACTATTTTGTGATTTTAATCTGTGCGAATGAACGACATGGTCCAAGGTTGTGTCTTTGTTTTGAGCGTAAATGACGATAACATCGGTTTTCATGATCCAGTGTGTAGATAAAATTTTGTCAAGCATCAATAAATGGAATATGAAAACGGAAATCTAATACCTCGAAACGTGCAATTAGCTGATAATGGCACACCAGAAAACCATACGCTTTGTGAGCGAAAAGGATCTTATGTGAATAATTTCCATTGAGACGTAAATGTGCTCGCTGAAAAATGAATAACACACACACAGCAAATGAGTCACTTTGCAGATCTCTGCGCTGATATCGAAATAGGGTTTTTGGAGATAAAGTAATATTGTTTGGCCATAACAACGAAACGGCTATGAAATTAATAAATCTTACATGGCAAATGAGTTATACCATTATTATATTGGTGTTATTATTGCTGCGCGTGATAGTTGCGACTAGTAATAAATTCATACATGAACCGTTTAGTAGAGACAAATGATAAATTTGGCGAAATGCGTCGTTGTCACTCAATTTCCATATGAAACAAATTGAAATTTATTCCGAAATGAGAATGAATGTCAAATTGAGCACGATAATTTATCTTAAGCCACTTTTTTTTCTCTCTTTCTTATTCTCATATCAACATCTCTTCTCGTCCTTTGTTTTATCGAATGCAGGAACAATGAAAAACGCAAGGAGAAATCGCGTGATGCGGCCAGATGTCGTCGTTCGCGCGAAACGGAAATTTTCACCGAGTTGGGCGATACGTTGCCGGTACGCAAAGATGAATTGGAAAATCTTGATAAATCATCCGTGATGCGCTTAGCGATTGCTACATTGAAAATCGAAGACACGCTGCAATTATGTGAGTAACATTCTGATTAATTTCCAACGGTTGAAATTCACTTTGTCTGTCTGGGGCGGGCGAGTGGCTCTGCAAAAATCGAAATCAACAACATGCTAAATTTGCATTTTTCTTATAAATTCTAGTTAAATTTGACGATGAAGCCAAACAGACGACGGATGATCAACAACTTAGCAACATCGATGAAAATGTTGTGATGAAAGCACTTGACGGATTCTTGATTATCCTCTCGACCGACGGCGATGTTATTTATGTCTCGGAAAATATTCACGAATACATTGGCATTCAGCAGGTATGTAGACAGGATTAAGCATCAGCAAAAAAAAAACAACAATCGAATATCGAATTTTTCAAATTATTTTTCAACGATTTTTGTCTGGTCATTTTCAGATTGAGATTATTGGAAATCCAATTTGGGACTACACGCACCAGTGCGACCATACTGAATTGCGTGATACTTTGAAGGCACACGTCGAAGATCAGAAGAAAAACGGCGAATCGTCCCATCGCAATGTTTTGATTCGTATCAAGTGCACGTTGACAAGCCGCGGTCGCAGCGTTAATATCAAAAGTGCAACATACAAAGTAAGAACCCTGTTTTGCTTTGGATACATTTTTTTGTTCGATTCCATCGTTTCAACACTTACGATAATGGTTTTTCTAACGAATAAATGCATTTCGGAATTGCAGGTCATCAACATAGAGGGTCATATTGTGTTGGATGAAACAAAGAACCAACATCAATTCGTTGCAATTGCACGCTTGATACCACATCCCTCAAACATTGAGGTGCCATTGGATTCGAGAACATTTTTATCGAAACATTCATTAAACATGAAGTTCTCTTACGTCGATGACAAGTATGTATATAAGTCTTTTTTTTCCTATTCCCGAATCAACATTTCATTTTAGTATTGGGAATGCTGCTGCTTTTTCTTCGAAAAAAATCTGACATGTATTCATACATAGATGAATGGGTGTGTTCGAAAGACGCCGATGTGCAGTCGGGCCCCAATTAAAACTAATTGATTTTACAAAATAATTTTCAATTTGTTTTTTTTCTCTGTTTCGTTTTTGTCTTCAGAATGCTGCCAATTTTGGGATACAAACCGTCTGATTTATTGGATAAATCGTTGTATGAATGCCATCACAGTGTCGATTCCGAAGCACTAATGGTTGCATTTAAAAATGGTGAGTAATTACCTCATGTTATACTAGCGTATATCTATTTCTCTTGATTTGCTCCAATCCAATTAGAAAGCACTTTAACGTTGAACGTTCCATTCACCTTTTCGTAGAACTTAAATTGCTGGAAATGTTTCTTTATAAACATATTTGTTTTGAAATTAATGTTACGCTGTGCTCGGTACAGCAGTACCGCCAATACCCATAACGCTCATTCTCTCTCACTGGCTGGCTGCGGTTTTATTTACCTCATACACAAACAATCATTTGACTTGTTCACTATTTTCATGCACTTCGTGGTAGATTGAAAACACATTTTTACCGAAAACCCCCTCACCACTCTCCAACCCAATTCAATCGAAAAGTAAAAATCGAAGAAATCCCAAAACGTGGGAGAATAAGCGAAAACAAGAACAAGTCGAAAATAACGAATCTGGCGATCGCGTTGAGGAAAAAACTTAGATTCGAACATTAATTAAAAAGAAAGTTTGTAACATGCTGTCAAGCAACGTTCTACTTCATATCTTTCCTTCTTCCACACTTTATCGATTAATTACTGAGTGTTCGTGCGGACACAGATTGAGAGAGAGAGAGCACATACACATGCAGCAATCGGTAGTTAAAGTGAATCAAAGTAAAGGAAAAACTTTCAAATCGTACTAGTTTATAAACATTAATTTATGTAAATTTTAATGCGCTCTCGTTCGTTAGATCTCAAATTACGATATTCCAAAAGTTTAGTGAACTAATGGCATTTTGGTGGCGATGGTGGTGGTGGTGGTTGGTTTCGACTTCTCAGAGTTCTTCCGTTGGTGTTTTGGTGCTGTACTCTCTTCGTGCGGCTACGAAAACAGCGACTCGATGGGTGTCGAGCGGAAAAACTTGTTGATTTCATTAATTTTCGATGCTTCGAGGATTTAATTTCATATCATTTTTTCCTGTTGCTCACTCTCTAAGTCGTTCGAAGTTTGTGCACACACGCATACACAGTTCACCATTCGGAAGCGAAAATGAAATTACCATTTTTGCTTGTTGTGCAACTTATTATTGGTACCATTGATGCTGCTGATGCACATTAAATGCTATTCAATAGAGCCGAAGTCATTGTGTGACTACTGTTCCGTTCAGTTCCAACAATGTCGCAATAATTGAGCATAGAATTCGAAATGATTGGGTAATCAATTTTGGCTTGCGGCGCTTTCAAATGGAACGAAATCGTTTTGTTGTCGCCGTGGGAACATTTCAAACTCGCTAAAATTAACTTTTGTGCAAAAGCACACAGAATTTGCAAGCCAAAAATGTGATTCGTGTAGGGAGTGTGAGGCGGCGGAGGTTCGATATGTTGCTCCGAAAATAGTGTGAGTCGGTTTTCTTTTGTGTAAGCAAAATCCAAAGTGTCATCCGTTTGCCAAATTCAATTAAAATGTAATGCTTAAGTGAACGTCATGACATCGACATTTCCCATGTAGCAATCGCACTTCGCTCTCTTTGCTCATCACTCTCTCACTCTCTTGCTCTTGTTTCACAAAGACCGTTTCATTTAGCCAAATTGTTACGAATTTTATTAGCAGCACACTGCGAGATGCGTAAAAATAATTTCACTCGCCCGATAAGCAATGCGCTATTGTTCCCCGATAAAATAATAAATTTAAAATGGCTTGCATTAAATGCTGAGTTGTGCATCTGTGAATGAAAGTTTTGCACACACACACACACACACACACACACACACACACACACACACACACTTCTCGCCAGGGATGCGACCATGTATTCGTATAGAATTCTACGGAATAGGTAATGACAGTTCGACAATGTGTAATATGCCTGAATATACATCACAGTTAACAATTTTCGTTCGGGTGATGGAAATTTATAGTTTCGTCTCGATCGTTGTATTTTCTGTTGATTTTGTGGTTTTCCCGTAATACCCAACGTCTCACAAACTGGGTGATTTCGTCGCTCGTAAACGATATATACATATTTGAATCCTTATCGACCCAGAAAATCTGCATATAAGGACAATGAAAATGTCTTGTCTGATAAGTTTTCCCATGCCCGAAGTGTGGTTTTAGAATTTTTGCAGTCGAAAACATACGGGATTTTCGGAAGCTCAAGAGCACACAAAGGGAGTGAGTGAACTGTGGGAGTGTGAGTGAAAAAGCACTCAAACCGAAGTTACGATAATGTACCTATATTATCTACACTTTGAATCTCACTCTTTGTGCTGGTGTTGCTGCTTTTTCTGTAATCAGCCCAGATCATTTTCACTTGCATTTTATACCGCCACCGTCACCACCACCGCTGCTGCTCGTTCGATCCGTTTTTCATTTGGCTGCCGTGTAAGAAGTTCATTTACATCTTTCACGCCATTTTATAATTTTATAAACATGAAATGCATTTCGCATAATTTATTAACCTTTTCTCGTTCATGCATTCGAGAATAGTTTACCGTTTGCCATGCCATATCCAGTTGGCTGTGTGTCTGTGTGAGAAGTGAACTATTATTATATTTACTAGTTAGCGCGTTCTGGCATTTTTCAAGGGATGCCCGAAAAGCAGTGGTGGTAGAGAGTGGTGGCGACGGGGACGAGGAAACCAGTTGTTCCGATGACGGTTTTTCCACCATTGGTTGAGAAAGAGCGCCAGCAAACAAACAACATCTAAAGATGCAATAAGATTGTGAAACATTGCAACCGTACAGAGCGTGAGAAAGAAAAACGCGCACTTTGTACAAAAGAAGTAAGAGATTTGCTAAACAATGAACGAAATCGTTCAACATGTAAAGGATTAAAGACCTTATCACCTTCATGCAAACACATTGAAAAGCAACGAAACAAACAAACAAACGGACAGAATGAACGACGGGAAAAACACACACACACAGAGAGAGAGAGAGAGAGAGAGAGAGAGAGAGAGAGAGAGAGAGAGA